TTGGCAAAATTCCAGCTGCTTTTCATCAGAGATACAGGAAGAACTGAAAAAAAAGAAAAAGGAAAAAAAAAAAAAAAAGATCTACCTGTCTTAGGTGGACTCTTTAGAAAATTGAGAACACCCAAACCTGAAAGGCTGGTTATGGAGGAATTCCTTCTCTCTAACACGCAGGTGAACTTTAAAAGTGATGCACGGTCTTGAAAAGAGCCTTTTAAAAAGTTATAATGCCTATGTCACCGTAATAGTTTTCAAATTAGCAAGGAAGCATTATAAATAGTGCAGATTTATTTTTTTTTCACTAGCCAGCAGGTATGAGCAGGAAGAAATGCCGTGTCTGGAGCCGCAGCGGGAAAGGTCCCTCCCCCAGCACCACTGGGAGACGGGGTAAACACTGAGCAAGGAATAAATGACAATGAATTGCTTCTGGCTTTTTCACCATGGGGTTTATCTTGGTATTGCACAACTTTAGCCTTAAGGCTGGGCTTTCTTGGGTGATATTTCTTTTCTGACATGAAGTGTTATGAGTTTACAGAATTTTTATACTCCTTTAGAATAAGTCATTCATTTGCTCAGTAGGATTTCTCCACAAGCCTGTTCCTTCATGTCTTTAACTGCAGTGTGCTGGTGGCTCAGTCAGAGGCAGAGCTCTGTCAGCTGTACCCCTGTGTGAAGCTCTCTGGTCTGGCCTCAGGTAGGACAGTCCCCAAACCACGGAGTGCTCTGTGTTTCAGAACCATCCTGGGTCAGCTGCTGCTCTGAGTGCAAGCCAGGGGCCTTTGAGCTTTTAGGGCTGCGTTACGTAAGGATGTTGGGATGGACTGGCTGGAATCCAGATCTGTCTGCTTCCTGCTTGGCCCCTGGCCACGCTCCAGAGCCCACACTCCTGTCAGCACCGGGGCTGCAGCAAGGCTACTGAGGGACCTGGCAACCAGAGCCAGTGTCCAGCTCCTAAACACTGCATTTATGAGCCAGGACTGGTATCAAACAGTCTTTGGGGCAACATCCAGCTTAACCACCACCCCCTTCTCTCAGTCTGACAGCCAGCCTTTGCATTCCATGCTTTCCACCCCCAGCAGCCAGGCAGACAACAACCTCCTCTGCTGCCCTGCCGTGATTCATCACCAGAGCAGGTCTGTCCTGTGGGCTGGCTGAGATAGCTCCATGGAAAAACCACCACGTGACCATGTAATTAAAGACTCTCTTAATTCATTACGTAGTGAGAGAGCAAAGGGAGATTGCAGGCAGACAGAGCAGTCCTTGGCAGTCCTGGGGCTGCTGGGCCATGTGGAGGAGCCTCTGCCCAGCCCTGTGTGGGCTGGGGGCGACCAGGAGGTTACAGAAGCTCCAGAGACTTCAGCTGCTCGCTCCTCACATCCCTCCTGGGCCTGCAGGAGCCGTGCTGCTCTTCCTCCTTCCCTGGCAAACTCCTAATGAGGTCAGCCCCGGGGGCAGGAATGGCAGAGGAGAGGTCACCTGTGGGCGGTTTTTAGGCACTTGCCCTTGGGGATGTGATGTTGGAGCATCTCACAGGAACACAGAGAACTTTCCACAGCCAAAACAACACGTGCATCTTCTGATCCCCACTGGAGGCTTTGTCCTCTCGATCAAAGAGCAGATTCTGGAGTCAACAACTTATATAGAAAATGAGAACAATTCAGAGATGTTTGGAAGAATTTTAAACAAGTCCTTAGTTCTGGTAATGGGCCTAACCTGAACTTTCTGGTGTTTGCATCTGTGTTGGTCCAATAAATGTTAGTACAAGAGCCCTAATCAAGTTCCAGTTAGGAGCTGCCACTTTCCAGAGGCCGTGGAAGAGTGAGTGGCCTCAAACTTGATTTTCTGTACACGAGGGAGGCAGAGTCGTGTTTTTAGGAAACAACACACTGCAGATGTCTGCATCACTTCTTTTAAGCCTGAGGCTCACAAAGAGTCTGAACCTTCACTTCTGCACTGAGTTGGTTTTCACTGAAGAAAAATTGAAGAATAAAATTGTTATTCTTTGTGTTGAAAATAAGTTTAAGCTTCATCATTCATTAATTGTAGGTTTGTAGCTTCTCCTGCCATGATATTGTGCACAATACATCGTTCAGGAATAGCAAACATCCACTTTGTAGTACTTTTTCTTATATGATTTAAAAATAGAAGGATTTGCAATATATTTTTTATGGATTGAAACAGCTTCTCTGCCTAAACAGTCCCTATAAAAACATAATGCTTGTCTAAGATAACATTGACTTAATCTGTTTTAAGTTGCACATTTTAGTTTGAAACTAAATTCAGACAATTCTTACTTAACTCCAGATCCAATGGAATTCTGTATTAAATTAAACAAGGTTGACTTGACCTTTTTCAGTTTTCTTATGGAGACAAGGCCTAGGGCTGAGGAACAGGTTTTTGTTGTTTGTTTGACTGCTGTATTTGTATATTTTATATGATAAACATTGCACTAAATTAAAAAAAAAAAATTACTATGTGGAGTTAAAGTGACAAAGGGCTGTGGATGGCACACAGGTTGTAGTTGAGGTTGGTGTAAAGTATGTTTCTAAAGGACTAATGTAAAGGATCTTTCATTTAAATATATAGAATAGAACCTTTCAGTATCCAGTGTATCTCCCACAAGCTCCTTCACCAGACTTTTATTGTCTCTCACCTGCGCTGAGCATCCACCTGTGTAAAATCTGTTTAAAAAGCAGAACATCGCTGCAACCTGTCTCCAGCATGAGGAAAAAAAACCAACCCAACCCTGTTGTTTGTAATGCCAGAAGTTGTTTCTTTATTTTCCAAGGCTTGAGCACAAGGCTGTGCTGCAACTGCAGTGACGCTCTTGGGCATGGCAGGGTGGGGTGAAGCAGGTGCTTATTGATACCTTCAGGCTACAGGTAAAGGTGACTCTGTTTTCTTGAGCATTCACAGACCTGCACAGGTGGATTTTGTTTTAATAATCAGCTTGAGAGTGGGCACTATTTATCCTCTGGTTTTGGTGGCACACTTTTTTAAAATAATGGTAGATACCTTTGAAAGAAATGGAGATTGTAAAATGAAAGTTAAACTTTTAAAGTTAAACCTGTAAAGTTAAGGAGCAGTTCAGATCTTCTCCTTCGTGCATCTTCCAGCCTCCTACTTTTCAATAAAAAAGGCATGTTCAGATTTTCAAAAAAATCAAAGAATTTTGTCTCCTCCCTACCAAACTAAACTAAGTTTCTTCTGGAAGACTTTTTTTCTGAAGTTCTTGGATTTTTAAATCTGTGATTTTTTGGGTAAAGCGATTTTAGGTTAAGATTTGACATGGTGTTTGAGGAACTCCACAGCAAGAAATGAAGTTAAGCCTGGAATTTTGGGTAGTGTTTCTTTTGGATTTTTATAACTCTTGAAAACCCAACAAGGAATGCAATGCTGGACCTGCTTTTTTGAACACGCACACACTTGTGTCAAGAGCAGTTTTTATTCAGCATTTCCTATATGGCTCACCAGTAAATATTCAACCAGCGATAGCACAAAACTTTACCAGATACCCCCTAGATGAGTATTTCCTTTGTTGTGTTTCTAATTACCAGTGCTGCACACTTCACCTTGTTTCCCCTGTTAGTCCCAGCTCCCCAGAGCCCGCTGTTGTTTCCTTCCTTTTCTGTCCCCAGATGTAGGAAAAGGGCACCAGAGAGGTGTGAGAGCTCCAGCTGCCAACAGACCCTGCAGCATCACCACTGGCCCTGACAAACAGTTGGGTGTTGTGCCCAGCATTTGGGATATTGTAGTGCAAAAATACATTTTTTCTTTCACAGAGACAATGCAAATGTGAGGAACTGCTGGAGGGGCCTCCTTTCCCCTTTTCCTTCCCTGCACAGAGGTGGGAGTGTGCTCACAGCTGTCAGAAGGAGCTGGAGCGGTCACTTGCGCTGAGGGAAACGTGCTGCAGCTTTGCAAAACTGCCTTTGGCACCTGCTTGAGTGTTCCTGTAGAACCAGCAAATTCCATTTTTCTCATCAGTTGATGCAGCAATTTTCAAAACAAGCTAGGCAGCATTTTTAAATACTTTCATTGCAGTTTCTTTAGGAACTGGGAAATATCCAGCAATCCGTCCATCTCTGCTGTGTCGTTGTTCCAGAATGGGAATTGCACTTTCTCCCTTGTAGTGTTCATGCTCCTATTAGCCAAATCTCACCCATCCCTATATCTACTGCTTGATTTTCTTTAGCAGCTTGAAATGAATTTAAACAGCCTTTTAACACTTGACTTCTCCAGTCATGGTATCTATCTTTTTGTTAAAAGCAGCAGTACACAGTGATGAACAGCACATGGAAGTTTTAATTGTTTTGTGATTATATCCACTCAAGGATATCCAGGCACAGATTGCTAATGAAATACAGCTCAGTGATCCCATTTCTTGTTAATGGGATCACCTTGTGACAAGTATTTTCTAAGAAAAAAAGATGCATTTAATAAATTTGATACAAAGAAGAAAAATGAGAGAGAAATGTTTTTTTTTTTTCAGAGGCTGTTGTTTCTGCAGACATTAGTCATTTAATAAAGTTGTGTCATCTAGAGAGAGAGAGAGATGTATTGAGATTTGCTATCTGGATGTGCAGATACCAAATGAAGGCCCTCTGGGGAGCCCTGCATTCATATTTCTTGAACTGTGGCAATGTGTTTCTAGACCGGTGTAAAAGAATTATCCTTACAGGTTTTGCAAGCTCTGTAGAAAAATGTTACTGACTCCTACACGTAGTGACTGGACAAGGGGGAATGGATTTAAACTGGCAGAGAGTGGGTTTATGTCAGATATCAGGAAGAAATTCTTCCCAGTGAGTGTGTGCAGGCCTGGCACAGGGTGACCAGAGCAGCTCTGGCTGCCCCTGGATCCCTGGCAGTGCCCAAGGCCAAGTTGGATGGGGCTTGGAGCAGCCTGGGACAGTGGAAGATATCCCTGCCATGTTAGGGGGGTGGAACAAGATGGTCTTGAAGGTCCTAATGTTGTTTTTTGTGGATTGTTTTTGCTGTAACAGTGGTTCCTGTGATGCTGAAGGCGCTGACGTACGATGAGAAGAGGGGGGCGTGCAGCGTGGGCTCCAACGTCAGGGACGCGGCGTGTTATGTGTGCTGGGCCTTTGCTCGTGCCTATGAACCTGCTGAGCTCATCCCCTTCATCAACCACATCTCAAGGTGAGCTGTGGCACTGGGAAACTCATACAGGTCACTTTTTAAATCTGTTCAAACTTAGGGTGTCTGCTAACACGTATGCTGAGAAATAAAGAATTGCGTATGGGTGGGATGGAGGTGACATAAACATATCTCAGTATTTCCTCTTCAGGTGTGGTGAATTCATTTCCCTCTGTTCACCTGTTTTTCAACGGAAAATCCAGAGAAACTCACTGTAAGGATAAGAGAAATTGGTGGAGGTTTTGGCAGGGTGTCATCTTTTGACCCACCTTCTCTGTGGGGAGCTCAGTGACATCAACTCAGGGAGTTTGAGAAGATTTGGAACCTTAGTTCAGTAGAGGTAGAAATAACAAACCCTTCTAAAATGGAGGAGTTGCTTTATGGAATCATAAAGAGCTGGAAATGTTAGGAGAAAACTTTAGGAAGAGGTTGTTTCTTATTTTTTCAGGTGTGTCTTGTTCCTAACAAGCCAAGATTCCTGGGACTTTGTCAGATGTGTTTTGTGCAAAGAATAAAGCATATTTATATTGACCAGCTTACAGCTTGCAAATTGAGCAGGTTAAAAGAACAAAGTGCATCACAGCTCTGCTTCTACACAAAATTTTCCTTTTGAAGTGTTCGAATTCAAAGATTATTTTGAATAAAAAATAAAACCACTTCCAGTTTCTGAAAGGGGTAAGAACCTTATGTAGCAATACTGAATTCTTAGTAACACAGCAGTTTTGATTAGTGGGGGTTTTATTATTACTAAGAAGATATTTGAGTTAAAGTTAACAAATACATGAGAGAATTTTTCCTCTTTTGATACCTTGTGGTTTTACAGAGCAGAGAAAAGTCCAGGATCTCACTTAGCAATGAATGGAAGTGCCTGGTGTAGTTCTTCTATCCTTGGTTTTGGTTTCAAAAGACTTTCAAAAGTAAAATCTTCAAGAGATTTCCAAATCTGTGCTACTGCAATGGTGGACTAGAAGTTGCTGCAACTTTTCACTTAATACTGTTGATATTTTTGCAGATACAAACTGGTTTTACCTTTTTTCTTTTGTCTCTTGTTCTCCCTCCTCCTTGGCTGTGGGATTCTCTCTTTATTGTTTGGTCTTTTTGTTGGTCACACACTGGCTGACATTTTGAGTTTTCTTAACAGGTGACTTGCACTGCAAACACACACAGGTGGCTTCTAACAGTTTCTTGGCACACTTTTAGTGCAGCCATTGACAGCAGCAGCTCAGGCAGCTTTGTCTCCATCAGAAGTGTTTTGATCAGTGGTCATTCAGTATTTTCTTTTTCAAAACAATAGAAAGAAGTTTGGACTATACGGTGACCTGTGGTTCTGGAGATCTGCTTTAATTTTTAGGGACTTCTTTGCTTCTGGATTACTGACAGAATTATTTCAATCTCATCCAAAAAGCCTTCTTTGCCATCACAGAGCTACCTACAGAGCTCAGCAGGTTCCCAAAGAATACATGATTGTTTCTTCTTTGAAAACAGTTTTAAAAGTTCTGTGAGACAATCTATAGATTAATCCATTTTTATTTTTTGCCCCTGTGTCCTGGCTGGTCTCTACTGTTTTTCACCTTTGTAGCTTCACTTTTTAGTGCTGGTCCTTCAATGCAAGGTCACTCATAAAGTGTCTGTCCTGTGGTACTTGTTCCTGGTGTTTTTTGGAGACCTTGATAAAACTCTCCTGTCTAAGAACCTGCTTTCAACTTCTTAAGGCCAAGCACCATTTTACTTCCATTTTTTCCACAGAGAGTAGACAAGAAATGCTGGGACATTTTTGCCTTGTTTCTCTCATAAAGTGTTTCATGGTGCTTTGATGATGGTTCATCTACACTGGCATAGATTGTAAAGGAGGGGATCCTGGTAACTCTGAGCTGTGCTAGGATGTGATTCGATCCACTGTTTTGGGATAACTTCTGGAAAGAGAATGTGGAGCTCCAGGATAGCCCTGCTTCACTTTGGCATGCTAGCAACAGTGACATTTGCCACAGTCAGTTATTAATAAGATATTTTATTTTGAAGGGTCATATTTAACTCACTTCTAGCTGAGTTCATGGTAAATTATATGTAGTATGAGTTCATGGTAAATTATATGTAGTATGAAATTCTTAACCGAGGGTACCTGAAGATGTACTTGCACAGTGAAATAATCCCATGAGTACAATTTTGTATTCTTGTTTTTAATCTGACCAGCACTAATGGTAGCAGTGAGGGCATGCTGTCACCCCTGACCAGAGTGGGAACAAGTGGCTCCAGCAGGGTGGTAGCAGCTCTGCAGAGTTACATTTGTGTTCTCACTGCCAGCAAATCTTTAGTCTTGGTATGGCCAGACTCATCCTGAAGTCTGCTTCAAATCTGGTAATTTTTCTAGATTGGTCAGCAGGTTGGTGAAAATAAAACCTCTGCTTCTGTCCACTGAGTTGCAAAACTCAGTTTATTTTAAGGTTTCTTTTAAGGTTGGACAAGGTTGTTGCTTGTGGAAACTTAAGAAAACCCAATTGTGAATATTCAAGCCTTCCCTTTATCAGAATTCTGATCTGTTCTGTTTATCAGAACTTTTCTTCTGCTCATGATACTTTGAGCAATATATTTCATATTTTATCCCTTTCCCCCTGCCATACTGCAGTGTTGGTCTCCATAGGCTTGGTGTGGGTTTACCCTTGTGATTTTTCAGGGTTTGTGGTATTTAGTTTTATGGTCACAAAGGTGTTGGTGGGACCTCTGGAACAGATGTTTACACCAGGAGGTTGTGTTTCTGAAGAAGCTTGTGTCCTTCCAGCCTCTTCTGAAAACAAATTCTTTTCTTTTCAGAAAAGTGTCAAATGACAATATTTGAGATCCCTCTGCCTTAGGTAGTAAAACCAATGAGTGCTCTGGCTGTGCTATGACAACTTCAGTTGTTGGGAATAAATTGGTGGGATGAAGAGAAACACGAAGTGAAAGCTGAAAATTGCTAATGAACATCTGTAAGGTGTTGTGGTTTGTAATATCTTCATTTTCCAACAAAGCTGCAAAGTATTTTAGCAAGTATTAATGCTACACAAGGCTTTACTTAAAAATCTTCATCGTTATAGTGGCCATTCCTTTTCTAAATCAACTCTCAAAGGTAGAATTGCCACTCCAAAGAGAAATGGTGAAAAAAAAAAATCAAATAAAGTATGACACACAGTTTCACCTATTGTGTCAGCAAGCCGATAATTACACACGGCTTTTTTTTAAATCTAGCCTTAGGTGTGTCACTGTTTTACTTAAAGAAGAGTCATACTTCTAGCCACAAGCAAATTGTTGCTACCCTTAAAAAAATGCAGCACTCAGCATCTTGAAACAAAGTGCATAATGTCCATTGTGAGCTGAATTACACAGCAAAAACATCTGCCTGGATAAGAATACACACTGTTAGAGAAAAATAGTAAACACCTTCCAAAACTGTGATGAGTGATTGCAGTCCTGAACTGCTGGCTGTGCTTAGTGCTGGGAATTGCACAAGGTTTATCCTGCACTCGGTGTTCAGCTGCTGGAAGCACATGGGACCCACTTAGGTACCCAAATACATAAACTGGGTCCTGCCCTAGGTTCCCTTAACAGCAGTTACAGATTAAAGCACAGGGTGATTTGCAGGGGATTCTTTTTTCCTTTTCTTGTATCATTATGTAATTGAAAGACATTGTGTTTTCAGCAGTCAAGGAACATAAAAATTTGACTTTGGACCAGTGAAAAATCACTTTAAACTGCATGAAGTCAGATTTTTTTAGTAAAATTTCTGACAGTGCTTTAAAATAGATCCTTCTCTCCGTATTCACTGTCAGCTGATTCTTCCCTGTTTTTTTGATGAATGTTCTCTTCAGTGATGAAATTGGCAGAATATTGAAGTTGCAAACTTAGATTGCTGTAGATCATAGATCAGCCCTTCTCCTTCCTGACCTTGCCACTCTTTTAAGAAAAAATAAAAAGGCAGAAAAAAGATAGAGAAGACTTACTGGAAATACGTGCCCAAGAGTATTTCTAATAGCCCTTGCTTGTATTTTTCCATGCCAGTTTTTTTTCCCAATCCGTATTTCAACAAGATACACTTGCTCACATCTGCTTAATGGTTTGTTAAAGTCTAGTTAAACTGGTTTCTAAAACCTTGCCTCATCTATTCAAACTACAAGACCACGAAAATAAAATTCCTGGCAATGTAGATGAAACTTCACTTCTTTTGCAGGACCATGTTGCCTTTTTTTGAGATGCAGACACTGAAGTTGCTGTTCAAGCATATCATTATAAAAGCACTACTTGACTGAACTTTGTTTCTCTCCCAGTCTCTACATGCAGCCTCTCTTTTTAAACTTACCTATGAGGAAAGTGAAACAGATTTTAATGACTTGGAAATGCTGGTAATTTGATTCCTGCCCCCTTGGGTGTGGAAGTTGCTGTCTGTGAAGTGGCAGGTGCACAGTAGGGAGCTGAACTGTTTTGTTTAAAACCTAAACAGAAAATAAAAAGGAAAACATACTTGCACTCTGTAATACAATTAGAGTGATTAAATGGTTGCTGGCTACCTGAACTGTGTGGAGCTGTGCAGGGTGCAGGTTCCTTTGCCTGTTGAGGCTGGTGAGGGGGGGGCAGGAGCTGGGATCTGTTGGGGTCTGTGACTTGTTGGGATCTGTGATCTGTTGGGTTTTGGGACCTGTTGGGATCTGGGACTTGTTGGGATCTGGGACCTGTCTCCGTGCAGCAGAGCACAGGCACACGCTGTGGGTGCAGGGCACGAGGGCGGGCAGCCTTGGCTTCCCTGGGGTGCTGCTTGCCTTTGGGAGGGGGGAGCAGGCAGGTGTGGCTCAGGATGGATGATGGAGCTTGCTCCAGGGCAGGCTTGTCCTGCAGAACTGGGGAAATCTGAAGCATTGCTTTGAGCTATGTCTTGTACTGTGATGAAATATGGAGAATGGCTTTCTGCTGTTATGTACCTGCAGAGGAGAGCTGGGTGCTGAAGGCACTTGGGTAAAATGACCTCCTGCAGGGGTATCACAGACTTCCCTTCCCTTCCCTTCCCTTCCCTTCCCTTCCCTTCCCTCTCTTTTCCACATGTGTATTTCCTACATTTTCACCATTTAAATTCAAATTTTTGGATTGGAATAACCCACTGGGAGCTCTATGTGAGCTGGGTTAGACTGCAAAAGCAGGCAGTGTGGAAATGGAAATGGGAATGGCCCCAGCATTTCTCCTTCTCCTTAGACCTTCTCCTAGATAAACAGGAGGAATTGAATCCGAGTCATCTGCAGTGTGGCTGGAGCTGGTCCTTGTACTTGCTTCTTCCCCTGTGTGGCTCCTGCAGTGGTGTAACACAGCTCCATGAGATAAGTGAACAGGGGAGCTGCTCTGGTCTCAGAAATTAAAACCCCTGAGTCTAGTTGTGTTTTTATCACCCTGCTGTCTGTGTAGCCCTCCCAGGTGGGCACTGGTGTGACTGGAGAGGTGCAGAAGGGGCTGTTTGCAGCAGCAGTGCTCAGCAGACCTGATGCTGACTCTGGTCTCCCCTCCTTTCTTTAATTTGCTTGGATTGCTCAAACCCACTTTGCTTGTGGTTACTGTGCCTTTCCCTTTCCTAATGTACAGCAGGGAGGAGAGTTTGCTGTCCTGTTACCCTTTCTAGGGGTCAGGAAGGAAATTTTGGTTTTGTACCAAATACACAAGAGGTTTGAGAGTTTATTTTTCTCCTCCCACAGCTTCAGGGTGACACACTGGAATTGATGGCAGCAGATTCCCAGGGAACAGCAGTAGGATCAGCTTCTTGCTGCTTGTGGCTAGTGGAGACTGGAAGTGCCTGCTACAGGTGGTAAAGGGAATTCAGGTTTATTGCTGGTACACCTGGTGCTTGTAAGATGAGGGCAACTGGTGTTTGTGCTCATTTCTGTGTTCTGATGTCTCTCACCTGGCCTACCTCTGCCCCCTGGTTCTTCCCACCTTGTCAGGGAAGGGAATGAGATCCACACGGGCTGGGGAGTGCCCACTGACATACTTTGAAAGTCCTTCTAACTTTCCCTGGAGCCAGTTAGGTGAGTCCTTGGGGGAGCAAGGAAGTGATAATGAGAAAGGGAGAACTATTAGTTGACTGATAAATTGCAACTTCCTTTTTAATGTCTTTTGGTTGTTTATTGTTCACTTAACTGCTGCCAAGCATGCAGGCTCCATATCCCTCAAGGAGCCAGGAAAGGTGTGCCATGGGGACTGGAGGGTGCAAAGGAGCCAGGAAAGGTGTTCCATGGGGACTGGAGGGTGCAAAGGAGCCAGGAAAGGTGTTCCATGGGGACTGGAGGGTGCAAAGCCGTCCTCTGCTCCGCCTGGCAGCGGGCAGGTGTGGTGCACTTGGGGCAAGTCAAGACACAATCCTTTTGAGTAGCTTAAAAAAATATCCCACTTGGTTTGACATAAACAGTTTCTTTATGTTAGGAAATCCTGGTGCAGTATCACATAAACTCCCACGACAAAGCAGACAGGTGAAGACACCTTAGAGGTGTTCCACCCTCCACACTGAGCCTGGCCTTGTGGAGGATGTGCCTGTGCTTCCCAGTGGGAATTATCCTGAAAATAGTATTTGTGGAGTTTGAGAAGTTACTTCCTTAAAAGGAGTAACATGAACAGTGACTGCAGTATGATTTAGGAATATAAGGGGACAATGATAGAATTCCTGGCGTTGTTATTTTGCTTCACACAGTGGTTGCAGCACCGAGTGACTCAGGTGCCATCACAGACAATGTGTTGCTTTGCTTACACAGCTTTGTCTTAATGTAACAGAAAATTAAGAAAAATTGGAAAAGTACAATGTGATTATGAGATGAGCTCTTGCTCATGCAATGAAGCAGCACTCAGGATTCTGAGTTTCTTGCTGTGATCAGGGGCTTTTTGTGGTTGTGTTTGTTTTTCGTCTCTTCAGAAAAGACCAATATTGAAATACTGCATAACTAACAAATTACTGTTCTAGCTTCTAGTCCATATAACCAGAAATATCAGGCAGAAATTCGCTTCTTTTTGGTTTCCTGGATTATTTTCCTCCAATTCCTTTAGTCTTGAAAATTCTCTAATTAAAACATTTATGGAAGCTAGTCATATCATTAAAATTATATACTTCTTAAGTGTCCTTTTAAAATCATTTTTAAGTCTCTGTGTGTGCCAGAGAATTAGCAAGCATGGTATGAATGAAGAGTGTGTATCTGACCCAGCAGTTTTTCAGCAGTGAGACATGTGTGCTGCTTCCTGATGGAATGCTTCCTGAACATCTGCTCTTCCAGGCTCTGTTGTTTGGATGATCTCCTCTTTCCTCTTGTCTTTGTGGCAGAGAGGGGTATTGCTCCTGCAGGTAGCAGTAAGAAAGCATTAACTGTCTTTAGAACACTTTATTGGGGCTTGTTTTCATTTCATTCTGGCTTTCTGTCTCCTGTTTTCCCTAATGGAGATAAACTGAAATTACAGAGGCCAAGCTGACTGTGCATTTCAGAGAACTGGAACAACACAGTATTCATCACTGTAGGGAACTGATAGCCACTGCCCAGGGAAGTTTGATATTATCAGTGTAATTAATATCCTTATGCTGAAGCAAAGCTATCTTGAATTTACTTTTCAGCCAGTATTTATTTCCGGTTTTGCCTGGAGTCAATAAATCATGTAATGAAGAGTTTCAGGGTTTGAAAGGAATAATTTTCTGCTTAAATGATTCTCCTGAAGTGATGTTTATTTGTTGCTGAAGTTAATTGAATGCTGGAGGTGGATTTCTAAAGCTGCAGACTGCGTGTCCCAGGATATATTCTCTCTCCTGTGTTGTGTAGCACATCTTTGAACAGCAGTTCTTTTGAGGCAGAAGAATTACCCTGTGCAGGGTCACCAGACTTCATGCATGAAGAAATTGTTTCATGTAATCATCCTTCTGTCTCTACAGGTCACCCTAAAACACTGCTTTGCAGTTCATCTTGCAGGTTACTTTTTATCAGGATTTGCATGTTGTTTGATTTTTGTGCCTTACAGGATATGACTGTTCTTGTGGAGATAACTGCAGCTTTCCATTGCTTCACCTTGTGTTGTGTTTAAACCTTACACAAGACTTGCTGTACATTTGGCTATTGAGAAACTGTATTTCCAAGTTTTAATTTAAAATTGCACTGAGTCTCACATTAGACACGATTATGTCCAAGTCTTAAACCATTTTGGTTCAAACCATTTTGGTTTCTGCTCCATTTAAAACAGAAACCTTTCTGTGCAGTAAAACATGTTTGTGTATTCCATAAATTCCTTTGATACAGTGGGGTGGCTGTTGTGCTGTGGGAAATCCACAGAGGAACAAGAAAGTACAAGGTTACTTCAACTCAGATTTTAGTTCAGGCTCGTATTTGTAAATAATACACTCCTTAGAAGATGTGCTGCCTGTTCTGCTTAGAAGGCTAAATGTTGAAATGATGGCATTGCACATTTCTTTTCATGTATTTGGTACTAATGCTCAATGTTTTATTTCCTCAGTGCACTGGTTATTGCTGCAGTATTTGATCGTGATGTTAATTGCAGAAGAGCTGCTTCTGTAAGTTACCACATTCCACCTTCCATGCCTCTGTTATTTTTTTGTTTGTTTCATTTAATAATTTCTAAACTTGACTATGTAGAACTACGTTAAAGAAGCAAAATACTATGTTGGGAGCAAAAAAGTTTCTTTAAATCCTTAGAAGTATCATGTGAATTTAGATGTTAAATTATATAATCCACAGATGCAGATCTTGGTTTATGGCCACAGTTAACAGTCTGCTGTATTGCTGTCATGATGAACAAGATAAAGTATCAAAGAAAGAATTATTTAGCATTTTTTAATCACAAGACAAAAGTCACAGTCAGAAGGGTCCTACATAATACACAGATATTAGCTCTTTTGCAAGTCTTCAAGCTGAGTTTTGTGGGGTTACATTTTAATCATGGTAAGTTCAAAATTTCTAGAATTATCTCTCTCCTTAAACATATTATTAATTGTTCTATAAAACTCTTTCCACAGGACTGAGAATTTTTAAAAGAGTGAAAATCCATTAGTCAGATACTGCTAGGCAGTGAATAGAATTGACACCAAAGTATATTCTGTGGAAACTTTTTGTAGAAAATATTTATGCTGTTGAGTGTTCTTAAGAGAAATGATGGAGAATTACATATTTCTATAGTTACAGAATTTGAGAAGAAAGAATGGACATCTAATCTATGAGAATTTAAGTCTGTATGTGGTAGATATTGAACTTGCTGTCTTTAAAAATAAAAAGAGCATGAATGGTATCTTCTAACAGAGAAACCAAATTATACAGATGTAAAAATCTTCACCTTATAACTGTATGAACTCAAACTAGGAGCACAGAGGGTCTGCCAAAGAACCAAATGTATCTGTTCCTGACAATAAATGTCACTGTGGATGTGTTAAACAAAAAAACCCCAAACAAACAAAAAAGCAAAACAACAAAAAAAACCCAATAAAAACCCCCAAACCAACAAAAACAACACTCTTTGCAATATGCACATTACCAGATCTGTCTTTTTTGACTGAAATTTTGAAAGCTGATGTGTTTAAACCATCAGGAGGGTTTCTCAGGGATACCTGGATAGCATCCTTACTTTTTGTAGCCACACCTCTGCTGGTTTTGAAGCTGCTGAATGAAGCTGCAGCTTAATTGCTGGGAAGTGAGTCAGTGCTTGAGCAACCCCAGCACAGCTCCTGGGTCTGAAGGTGCTCAGACCAGAGCAAGCCAAGGTGCTGCAGGTTGCTGAGCAGTGCTAGAACTCTTCCCATAGTGTACAACTAATGAATATCAGCAATGCTGCTTCCCCCAGGCTTCAACTCCTTCGTTTTAGAAACTGTAGAATTTGCCATTCTTGGCCAATTTAAGACCCTTTATTCAGATCAGTTCCTTAGAGGAATTTGTTTTCCTGAGAGCTGCTCTAAACATTAGGGAGCATAGGTTGTGAAAAGTGCATTATTTGTGTGATCCCTAGGATCTGTCCTTGGAATCAGGGTTTATATGGACACCAAGGAGAAATCTTTATAACACAATTGCCACTACAGGTGTGCTGCTTACCTTTGGTGGCTTGGTTTAATTGTCCTGTGTGATCATCAGTGTGTTTCTACACTTAAACTGGTAGTTTGACCCTGAGCTGTGTCCTAAACCAGCCAGACTAAAGCTGAGAGCTTAGTGCAGCCTGAGCATTTGTATTTCTAATTAAAACACCCAGCACATTTTTCCTCATTTTCCTTTTCTGCTGTAGTCCAGGCTCCTGAGCTGTCTGCAAGTCAGCTACCTCCAGTCTCATTAATTTTATCACTTGTACTTTCTAATTTGGAGCTGGTCAAAATTTGGAATAGCTGTTTGATGGACTTTTATGGAATTACTAAAGCCTTTTCTCTTATTTTAGAAAGGCAAAGAAATATTTTGTGTTTACCAGCTGTTATTACAATTTTGAAGAAAAATACCTGGGAGTGCTAAATATTTCCAATCATTACTACAGTTAAACACATATTTAAATAAACAACAGGTTTTACTAGATTTTCCATCTCTTACAATATGCAATATATTATAATGCAGAGCACCAATAAAATAAAATGGTGAATAGAGACATTTTGAACCCTGAGGTTAGAGAGAATAGAACAAGACTCTGCTTTAGAAGCTCCACAAGCATTCTGGGCTGGCTTGTGCAACTCTTTCATGAGTAATCAGTATAAGGAATAATCAGATGAATAAGTGATGTTGAATTGGACTCTATTCAGCTCTGACATCTCAAAGAGAGGCTTTTCCCCCTCTCTTGTTTCACTGATAGTATTTAAACTAAATATTTTTAGGGAATGTTGTGATATTTTTTTCAGTTTTTGTGGGAAACAGGAGTGTTCAGGTTGCCAGACTAGTTGGTCACCTTGGTTCTGATCTCCTGGAGTCTTTAAATTAGTATCTTTGTATCCAGTTTTTCTATCTCCAGAAGGGGATTGTATAGAAACTGAAAAATTACTCTCACAAAACACTTGAAGTGCTTGGCATCTCTTAGGAATTTGGCATCTTTTAGAAATTTTAGGGCTTTACAGATTTTGTAACATTTAGGCACTTGTCTGAGCAGCACATTTTTAAATGACATTGTAATGCAGTGGTTAAACTGTGAAATCCCTTGGATATGATAGAGAATGTCATCCTCAGTGAAATGTTCCTGTGCTGACTAAAAAAGGGTCTCAGTAACATAAAATATAGAATCATTTAAGTGAGAAAAGACCTTTAAGATCATCAGGTCCAACTGTTAACCCAGCACTGCCAAGTCTACCACTAACCCCATTAGAGTGGGATTCTGGACACACCAGAGTTACCAGAAAATCCATTCTGCATCCCAAACATACCTTTTTTTATGGAATGGGCTAAAAGATTATCACCCAATTGCTTTCTTTTCACCAAGGGGGAGCTCAGAGCTGCACAACTGGCTACAGGTTAATGAGATCTGTTTGATCTCCAGAGGGTGCATAGCATAAAATACAGCCTGTGCCCACAGGAATGCATTGAGGGTAGCATAAAACAGGACCTAAAGCTGGAAGTAGGAAGAGATGAATGCTGCAGAGTGACAGGCACCGCTGTCCTGGCTTGGGAGCAGAGATGAGGAGGAGAGGAGGGCAAAAGGCCCATGGCAGCAGCAGGGCTGCAGCATCCAGCCAGGAGCAGCCCCAGGGCAGCGCTGCATCCCCGGCTGCTGCCCCATCCCGGCTGGATGTGCTGCCCGGGGGCACTGCTGGCAGGGCTGGACTCCATCCCAGCCCTGAGTTGCAAACAGCAGCTTCACCTGCCTGGGCAGGTCTGCAGGGGCTGCAGGCAGGAGCCTGAACAGGCAGCAGCAGCTCGGGAGCGCTCCGGGAGGCTCCGGCTCCATCCCGGCTGGCGTCAGCCCTCGCTCCACCTGCAGAGTGTGATCCTCGGGAGCCAGCTCAACCTGTTGTTGTCACAGGTGGATTACCACAGGGCTGCTGCGCTTCTGGAGGAAATACAGAAGCTCTGGCTGCCCAAATTCTTGTGGCATTTCGGTAAACATTAGGAGCTTTCCCCCTGTCCATTAAATATCAGTTAACAAGTGTTGTCCATCGGTGGAAAGCTGTGTGTGCAGAGAGAGCAGCAGTTCCATGGAGAAGTGTCCAGATAATGATGATCTCTCCTCTCTTAAGAGTTAAAATTCACAGAAGTTTTTAATAGTGATTAGGATTTTATGGCCTTTAAAGGGATAAAAATAATGGACTTTCTTGCAAGAGAGAAAATTCAAGTAGGGAATTAAGTAGGTTTTCTTCTGAATGCCATACAAATAGACAGGTTAACTTTATGGTTGTTGTCATTGCATTTTTGCAAGATTTTGAGTTTCTTTAGTGCAAAATACAAGAAATATACATGAATTTCATCTTCAGATTTTACAAGCCCAATGTTTCAGTGTCCTTTCAGACACAAACCCTACAGATCAGTATTGCAGTCTCAATGGTTTCTGCCTGAAGTTTTCACTGACAAAAAATTAAACTTTGCCCACTCTCAGCAAAGGATGTTGAAGTCAGACAAGAGTGAGTTGCCTCAGTTGCTGTTGTCTACAGGCATTGACTTTCCATCCCAGGGCCAAGCCTCGTGTCACTACTCCCAGGCCCTTGTGTGGGTGTGACGAGTTTAATAAACCTGCATTCTCAAACTGCTGCCGTGCAACGTTCGGCTCCAGGAGCAGCACAACGTGGGGATGCACAAACAGAAAAGCCCCACGGGCTTGTTCTACTGACAAAGTTTACTTTATTTAAAACAGAAAAGCCATGGGTCATTTATATTGTTGTGTGTTTTGAATTCATCATCTGGTGTTTATCAAAAAGCAAACCTGACTCGTTTTGGTGTGTTTGTTCTCTGTTCCTCAGGCTGCCTTCCAGGAGAATGTTGGGAGACAGGTATGGTGACTTCCCTGCATCTTCATTCATTTGTGCCTTGGAGGTTACTGGAAGCGTGGAGTGCCTAAAATCAAAATTAGACACTGTGGCTTCAGAAAAATTGAGTGAAAGAATGTCACAAAATAATGGTTTTCATTATGAGCAGCTAGTTCTTGTGGAATATTTTTCTGAGGTGTGAATTTTATTTTAGTATTCCAGTTTGGGAAGAAAATGAGCTTACTGGTAATTTTCAGTCCTCCAGAAAAGCAAAACCAGCATTTGATCTGGTTATTGTACACCCTGGAAAGTACAGTGCTTTTAAAGCAGGAAAAGTGCAGGGTTTTGGTTATTTTTTTTTTGTTTCATTGATTTTCTAGTTTTCAATAGAAGCAGAACAGCTGAAGTGGGCTGTGCAATCATTGCTGTGGATGGTAGTTCCACAGTAAACAAAGCTCAAGAGTCTTCAACTCAGTTTTTGGGCTTGTCTCTTATACCATCTAGATATTTTGAGAAAACTGCTATCTTTGGAGGTACCCAAGTCCTTTGATAAAAAGTATTGTAGTGGGTTCCTATGTAACTTAGCAATATTTAAATAGTTAAAATCCTGAAGACAACTTTGATTTTCAAACTTGGAGGAGAAGCAAATAGGGTAAAGCCTTGGATTTACTGGCTTCTCACCAGGAATTAATAAAGCTGAATATACAACTAAGAGAGAGAGAGAGAAAGTGTGGGGAGGAATGGTTCAGTCAGTGTATTCCTGTAGGGAACAGAGTAGGGCATGTGAGCATGCTTAAAGCAATTTTGTTATCAATATACTGCCCTTTAAAGGATCTTTGTTGAAATGCTGTCACCTGACAACATTCCTGAAAATCTCTCTGTTCATGTAATTCCTTTAGAACTCTGGCTGTTAAACCATCTGTTCATGTTCAGTGTGTATTTCTAGACAGAAGTAAGTTAATAGCAGAGAAAGGGTGCAAGAAGAAGAGAGTGGGGATTTTTGGTGACCTGCCCCAGCTGGGTCTGTGATAAACAGAAGCCAGGGTGACTCTTCCTGGCTCTGCAGCTCCTGCCCTGGAGAGCTTGGGCATCACACAGCAGCCCAGCCTGATCCCACTGAACGAGTAAATAACACCTTAGCCTGACTTAGCTCTAGGGGAGAGAGGGCTCCTGGGTGCTGCAGGTTTAGAAGTGCTTCATGTAGCAAAAATTCTGTGGGGTTTTTTTTAATATTTATTAATCAGAGGAGTGCAGACCGTGTTAGTTTACAGCCAGGAAGGTTCCTTACAGCCTCTGCTTTGACCCACAACTCAAATGTGTCATCAAATAATGATGATTTCAGTCTGTGTTGGCACATCAGCAGTGAAACAGTTTTCATGGCATGGAGGAGCTGTCAAGCTCCAGCTGCTTCCTGCAGAAGGTCAGAAGTTTTACTTGCTGAACCATTCCTTGGTGCCTAGGAAAATGGGTTACTTAATGAGTAGATCCACCCTCTGGAGTTCACACTGTGTTGAAAGAGACACCCTTTCTCTGGATTGGAAGGAGCTAAAACATATTCTCCACCTGAGGTAATAATGCTGATACTAAATAGGTAGAGAAGAAGGTTGCCCTCGCTTGTTCCTTGGTTCCTGCTTCCTTCAGCTTTGTAATTCCACATGTCCCAAATCCAGAGCTTGCTGGTGGCCACAGAAGAATGTAAGAATGCCACTTACACTGTAAATGGAAGCTTTGAAAGATCTGCAGAATGGTTTTGAGCATAAATCATGAGAAATGCACATTCTTCTAATAATGCCAACTTCTGTATGGGAGAAGTTTGAAGTGTTCTGAGAGAACAGAAGCTGCTGGCTGTTCCTGTAAAGCCTGACCCTCCCACTGGCTGTGGCCTGTGTTCCTGAAGTCAGGAGTGATGCTGTCTCACTGACAGGCGTGGTGGCACCATGCCCTTTGTGAGATGGCATCAAACTGGCACACTCACAGCTGGGAAACAAATACCAAGGTCCAGCTGGCAGCTAGAATTCAAATTGTTTGCCTGAGATTTTCCTTATGTAGTGTGCATCTTTATATCTTCCACTGTATGTCTTGCTCTTTGGCCTTACATCAGCATACTGAGGTGTTTCTTACCTTTTTGCCCCTAATCAGGGTTTCATGAGGCTTTTGAAGAGAACATTAATTTTACCTTTGAATTACCAAGACTTGCAGGCTTGGATAAGCCATAAATATTCTGTCTCTCCTTGGTCCAGTCAGATTTCAGACCTTGTTTTTTTGGGAGCACTGGAATTGTGCTTCCCAGAGCAAGACCTTGGCAGCAGCTCCCATTGCTTCCAGGATAAACTGCTTCAGTGATTCAGGCTCAGATGGAGAGATACTTCCCACCAGTTTTGCATGGCTGGATCCTAATGTGGAAGGGATGAGTGAGCTGTAAACAAACCTGCATCACATCCCAAACCTGTACTTCCAGGGAGCCTCATTGTTTTAATACTCTCTGATTGTCCCTTTTGGAGGTGAGTGGAGCCAGTGTCAGCTGGCTCTCCTCCATTTGCTCTTCATCGTGGCTCATGGGTGCTGTGCTGCCTCTGCTGATGCTCTGTTAAACCTGCCAGAGCCACTAAAACTCTGAATATCTGAACTGTGTTGCTTGCATACAGAAATACAGATTTCTAAGTGTAAATCTCATACTCAGAAAGGTAATCTGTCTTCTGGAAACAGGCTGGTTTGAGAAGTGATGGCAGAAGTGGGATCCTTCAGTAGGCTTTAGTCTTTCAGGCTTTGTTGGGAACCAGTGTTCATTTTAAAAAACAAACCAACCCCATTTTTTAGTTCATTAATGAGTCATGAAATACAAGTGTAAGTAGAAACTCCCATGTGCTCTACACGTGATGTGCCTCTTGGTGCCTATATCTCGAATTTTGTATTTCATTAAACTCACCTTGTGCCTTCACATGAACTGGAAACATGTTTATGTTTATCTAAATCCTTCTAGAGGAATCATCTTTTGGGTATATACATAATCATGCATTAACCAAATACATATTTTGGCATGACTGGGAGGTGTGAAGGGAGCAGTTGCATAGGTTGCTGCCTGCTGCCATTTGCTTGGGCCTTTTATCATTGACTCACAAGCAGAGTGAGGTATTTTGCTGTTTATATATTCAATATCCTTTATGTTTCTAGTGCAAGTGATTTTACTATAAATTAAATTGTATTTTTTCAGTGCTTGGGAGAGTAGCAGGAGGTTTATTTTCAATCATGTTGCCTATTTGGAATGTGTTATATATTTTAAAATAATATTTTGTTTGTAGGGCACTTTTCCCCATGGCATCGACATTCTCACTGCAGCTGATTATTTTGCTGTTGGGAACAGAGTTAACTGTTACTTGACTATAAGGTAAGTTTCCAATCATTTTTCCTAAATGTGAGGAATGTTTCCTAATTGTACCTAATGAAATACTTGTCTGATTGCCTCACCTTACTGAACATTGTTTAATACTGTTTGAAGTGTATCAAAGTTGTGTTTTTGTTTTTACACTGAACTGATTGTCATGTGTGAGACAGAGTGAAAACGTGGCCATGATTTCCTGGAGGACAAGGAGGAAGCAGCCAAGAGGTGTCACAAAACTGTCTCAGCTGCTCAAGGCTGGACAAGATGAGGAGGTTTGGAGAGTTGTAGTCAAAGGAGAGGTTCTGATGTGGGTAAAAAAATCAAGTCATATCTATTAAAAAAACCAGTTTGCCCAAGCTCTTGAATTTGTGGTCTGTGCATAGACCTTTAACTCCAGTGCTTGTGTTAGCTCAGTGAAAAGCTGGCCACAGTGTGCAGTAATGTTTGAAAAACCAAACTGATCTCTGCAGTACAGTCTGCAAAGAGCAGATGGGGAACACCCCAACTGGGGTGGTGTGGTTATAAACCAGGGGCTTGTCCTGGAATACAGAGTCAGCTCTGGAAACACAGAGGTGCTGAAATCAGGGGAGTTTGGATCCAAACTGGATGGCCAGAAGGAACAGAATATTGCATTTCCTCATGAGGAAATGATGAACAGCAAGGGCTGAGTTGTCTCAGACAGTCTGGCCTCGAGTCCAGCCTGTGTCAGAGGCAGGGTGGGGAGAGCAGCATGGCAGCACAGAGGGTGATTCAGCCCTGGTGGAGACAGGGCAGAAATTGCCCCATGGGGCTGCTCAGCAGAGAGAGCCTTGAGCAGGTGATGTCCTTGGGGAGCAGAAACAGCAGACAGGTACACGATGCTTCATGCTCCACTGCCAACTTCCAGTGGGAGGTTTTGAAGATAATTTGTACTGGAACCCTCTGTCTTCACCTCCACTATTTGTTTATTGATCTCTCCACCTCTGTATTGTCCTTTTTGTACAGAATCATTTCAGTCTGTTCACAGCTTCACCTTTTACCGACTGGCAGCCCTTCTGGGGTCCCCACCCTCCTCCCACAGCCTTCCCTGAGCTCCCGCCTACGGGAGATGGGGAAATGCAGGAGCTCTCCAGATCCATGTGCATGGCATCCATGTGATTTCTGAAACTCCAGGTTTTTGTGCTTACAGAAAATTGAAAACATTCAGAAGTGACAAAGCAGATTTTACTTTTTCTCTCCTTTAATTCTGGCCTGCAGACTGATTATGATTTTTTGACATTCAAGAGCTGAATTGATAATTTAAATTTTATTTTATTTACTACCTTCACTGTGATTTCCAGAGGTTTTGTATGAGTGCCACTTACATAAGTGAAAATATTTTTACTGTTGGTTTCTTTCTGTAAATTGCTCAGCAGGAGGAATAAATTTGTAAATCTTTTTATAAAGAGCCTTATGCAATTAGAAGCTTGATTTTCTGAAACCAGTTCAGTGCCATTAATCAAACAATTTTCTTTGTAAATTATTTGTCATCTCATTCATTCTGTTACTTTCAAACACTGCTCTTCAAGCAGACTGTCATTATTCAGGTCAATACTTAAGTTATTTGGCTATCTCCTTATTTTTCCCTAAGTAAAATGAAAGGCAAAAGCACCCTGGTATATGTTTGGCTACTCAGAAAACATGTACCACAATAATGTTGAGTAATAAAAGCTAAAAAAAAAAAAAGTGTCAATTTCTGCAGCTGAATTTGGTTCATAAATGATGATACCGTTCCAGTAAAGAGGCAGTTTCATGTATATTTTCAAATATTTATTTTTGTGTATATAAATAGTTGCTTAGAGCCTTTCAAATTTAAATATTTTAATTCAGGCTTTTCACCATGGGTGCCCTTTTTGCTGATGGTGTTTGGAGAATTCAGCTCAAATACACATTTCTGAGGATGGAAGGTCAAGGAAACCTACTTTATGTGAACTGGCAGTACAGAGATTATGTGATTCCAGGAGTTCTGAGCTTGGTACAAGCAGAGTTAAGGAAAAAGCCTCTTAACCTGAGTGGGGTACAAAATTCTAACCAGCACCATCATCAGGAAGGACAGATTTGTATGCAAGCATTCTTGCATTACATTCTCAGTAGGACACACAAGATGAGGACTGTAGTTAAAGATAGTTATAAAGTAAAACTAGAAGTGGGATTTAGCTACCTGTGACCCAAGAGATTGATTTTTAGCTGGGCAAGGAAGAATTAAAACGACTGGCTTTCATTTTTCCTCTCACATTCAATGCCATATACTGTGAGCTGTGCAAAACTTTACTTAATTTAAAAAATAAAATTCAGAGGGAAAACCTCTTTAAAACTATTTCTCTATACCCATTTGAACCTTTTTTTAAAAAAAAAACCAAAACCTAATTTAACACATTCATAAAGCACTAATTTCCTGAATTCCAAACTCAAGCTGCTCCTGCTCCTCCTCCCAGTGCTAAAACTGGAACTCAAAAAGCAACTACAAAGAGAGGAGAGCTCAATCATGGCAGAGGAAATGTGTGTGTTATTGTGTGTTCCTGCAGAACAGGGAGAGGACCTAGAGATAGGAATTTTATCTTTTCTCTGCTGACATCAATGACAGTTTGAACCAACTGTCAAATCCTTCTCCAGGGTGTAGTACAGGGTGCTTCTGTGTCCAGGGTTGGCTCAAGTAACTCAGGTCTGGACTGCTTTTAAGGATTCCCTCTCTGATGAATTCCATAGATATCTGGATGGGAACATGTGGCAGTATTTGGTTTTTCTCTTTCTTTGCTTCTGATTGCACACAGGTTTATTAATGGAACACCATTATATCTGCAAAGTTAATCACTCAAAAGATATGAAAAGGTGAAAGTAAGGTAATCCATGAGTCCCTTTGTGCCCTTCTGACACAAACACTTCCTGCTGATGGTTTGGTTTCCCAAGGTGATTTAACACTCATCAGATGTACTGAAAAAACATTTCACTTTACTTGTGTTGACCTTGGCTTTTGATAGTTGATGCTTCTGAAGATTGGAAGTGTGGCTGGGTTGGGTAATGCAGGCTCCATGGGTGATTTGTGCTGGTGTTCCCTTCCAGCTCTCACCTGAGCTCTGCAGCTTTCACAGCTTTTGTCACAATGAATTTCTGCATATGTTTGATTTTTAAAAAGGACAAATTGAAAATCACGTTTTCATTTTGGACCATGGTATTTATGAAGATGTAACTCATTTCTGTAACTTATTTTTCCTCTGTCTTGTAGTTGATATCAGTGATGTGTTTCTCCAATCTGAAGTAATTATTCAAGTTTCTATACAGATCTGGATTTTCTGGAATGTAACAATGGGATTGGATATCAAGCTTGTTGTACATAGAGCAGATTTTAGAAGCAATCTGAAAGTTTTACAGAAGTGATTTTAAGTTTTTTCAATAATTCAGAATATTTCCCATCCTGTCATTCTGCTGCATCTCATTTAAGTAATTTTTTGGTTGGCTTAAACCCAGAGGATTTAAACCTTTGGAATAGATGGTGCTAACATGCACACAGATACTGGTTCTGTTCTCTGTCTCTGGACCAGATTTCTAACCTATATCTGGGATTTTTTTCTTTTTCAGTGTGTATATTGCTGGCTTTCCTGAGTATACACAGCCAATGATTGATCATTTAGTTAACATGAAGATTAACCATTGGGATAGGTAAGTTCATAAAATCTAATTATTAATATCCAGGAATTGACTGTTCTGCACATTGAGCTTTTGTAGATTATTTTTGTAAGTTTTTCTCACACCTGGGTTTGCAGTAGCATTTGACTGAAGGAAACTGGGCAAGTAGTAGGTGATATCATCTGCACCTCCCAAGCAGATTGTCACTTCAACAGCTTTATGAATTTTGTCTTTTGGCCATGACCTCAATCTGTTAATAGATTAATAAAACCCATTTATATGGTGTATATAGTGTATGTGAGGGCTAAACACTGTCACCATACAATTATCCTAATTAAAGCAGATTTCATGCATAGAGATGGTGCTTACTCACATTCAGTGTTCATGAAGATTGAAATGTGTACATATCACACAAGGGAGATTCTATCAGTGCTGATCATAGTTTGCATCATGAGAAATAATCACAGTTTACTGCACTGTCCCTGCCAGAGCACAGAACGAGCCCTCAGGTTCCACCAGCCCCACTGGTGTTTTTTCTTGTGTCTTTGAGCTCTTTTCACTTCACTGAAAGCTGGCTGCATGGGTCTCTTTGGTTTTGCTGGCTTTTTTACAGGGGGGAAGCACAGGGTGGACAGAGAGCACTGTAATTTTGAATATTTGCCCAGGTTTTGGTTGGGGGCAGGAGTCCCTCACATTATCTTTTTAACACATTGCTTCTACTGAATTGCTAACCCTCAGAAATGCTTTCTTACACCTGCAGTGTTATTCGAGAACTTTCAACCAAAGCTCTGCATAACATCACTCCCCAGGCCCCCGAGTACATGGCGAATGTGGGTAGGTATCAGCTGAGCTCTGCTCAGCCAGGCTGAGCTTAGGCAGGACAGACCTACAAAGATTTAATAAACCTACTTAATAAAAATTAAGATTTGTCCTTGCCACTTAATACAGCGTAGTGACCCTGATGGATTTACCTGTTAACAGGCTTTATGCAGAAATTATAAATTACGGTCAGGTTGGTTTTTTTCGTGGGTGTGGGTCTTGGAAACCTGGCTGCACTGGACTCTGCTGCTGCTGAGGTGAATAAATGGGTGTGGGGACAACTCCAGCAGCTGCCCCTCAAATGCCCCAGCTCTTTGCTTTGATGGTGTAAGGGGGGGGATCTGTTTTGTCATGCCCAGCCTGACATCTGCAGAATTCCCTTCTGACTGTGTGTGTAATTTGATGTATCTTAGTACGAGCCCAGGGTCCTTTGCTGAGCCCATTGCAGATGCTGGGGCTGTACTGGCAGATTTTTCACGTGGCTGAAGGCAGTGCCCTGAGAATCTGCAGTGGCAGACCTTGCCTGGGCTCCTGTCGTGGTCCAGGACAGTGGCACTTAACATGGAAATAAAATTCCATGGCAGTACAAGCCCCACTGCCCTGACTGCTCAGCCAGCTCAGTGCCCAATAGAAATGTTATTTTGGGAGTATAGAATAGCTCAGTGTGGTTTGCCAGAATTTACTTCATTAAATCTTGTTTTTCATAACATTGCCAGGATACTTGACTTTACAGAAATGCTTTTCCAGTGTTATTTCTAGACAGGCAAAATTACATTTAGAACTGGGATCTGTCGCTATGCTTTGTTTAAAAAAAACCCAATTATTTAATCTCTTTCAGTTTTGCCAAGACTTCTGCCTTTATCAGTGGGCTCAGATCTGCACACACGCCATGGGGCAATCCTTGCCTGTGCTGAGATCACCCATGCTCTGTGTAAACTGGCACAAGAGAATAATAGGTATTAATGCAAGATTATCTAGACTATAAATTTTCCTTTCATGTCTGGTCTATTAAAAGCTTCCTGAGTATAATTATGGAAATCTTCATCTCACTGAACTGCGTTTGCATTGAATTTTTGTTTGTTTTCATGAGTGATGCTGAGCCTTCACGTTTTATTCAGTGATTTAAGACTTCACTCTTAAATTCATAATGAGGAAAGAGAGATCATTTGCTGCCTTTCTTGGAGAATTGAATGTGTTCAGTTAAATGCAATTTAACTGCAATAATGCAGTTAAATGAAAGATTAATTCCTCTTTCCCTATAAGTGTGCTGCCTTCCTGGGTAGGGACAGTCTTTTGTCTTTAGAGTTGGAGAAATACCTTCTCAGTATTGGAGAAAAACCTCTTCAAGCAGCTCATTGATTTAGACTGATTTAATGCTGATGAATGCAGGTCCAGGTATATATATATACTTCTGTATTTCCACAGAAATTTTCCAGTAGTGTCCTCATTTTTAGTAGTAGGAAGTAATTGACATAGATGGAAAAATCACAGAAATTTTGGAATCTAAAAATACAACTGAGCTGAGAAGGGTTATCAGTGTATTGGCAATTGTAATGTTATTAGGAAGTGACACTGATTTTTTTATAAGCCTTTTGGAATAGTTTTCTGTATGATAAGGAAAGAACTTCTGTTATGTTTGCTGAACTATTAAAAAATAAATATTGCATATTTCTGTGGAGAATAATTTGAAAATCAAATGATTGGATTTCTGTTTGAAAGTACAGTGATGGAATGGAAAAAAAAATAATTTACAACATGATGAGGAAATCAGTTTTAAAATTTTTGTATACTTTTACAGATCTGTAACATACTATTTCAGTGAAAAAACATTGGAGGGACTCAAGCAAATTCACCAAGAGGTTTGTAGCCAGCATAAATCTGTTTTTAACCTGGAATGCTTCATGATTTTTAGCAAAGATTTACAATTAAGGCAGCTGTTCTCCACCTTCCTTAGCCCCATGCCAAGAGTGAGCCTTGTCACAAGCAGTGGTTTGGAGAGCCCCAGACCCTGTGACAGCTGGGTGTCCTGGACCCTGGGTCCTACACTGGGGGCTCTTCTGCCTCTCGCTGAGCCCCCAGCTCTGATGCTGGAAATTGCATTTCTGAAGTGCCTCAGGGGGTTGCTTTGACTCCTTTTCTCTCTGTCTTTGCTTTCCCTTTGTCCTCCTGACTGGCCTTGGGATGACTGTGCTCAAGGGACATCTAGTGAGCTCATTCCTCGCCCCTGCATCCATAATTTCCTGTTTATCAACCTCAAAAGTCATATTCTGCATTTCAATTGATGATTCTACCAATACAGATACATTGTCTGTATGAGTTTTTATCTCTGCTTATGCTAAATGAAGCCTTGTCCTGCTCATAGCATTTCCAAACACTTCTGTGGAGATAATTTTCATTTGTCCCTTTTGTTTTCAGTCATCCCATGTTGTTGGATTTTTCTTCCCAGCATGGAACAGACAATACTCCAGCATTCAGGCTCCTGCTGTTCCTGCAGGATCTGGAGGACCTTTAGTGCCAGCTCTGATGTGCTGTCAGGCTTCACCACTCACCCACCCAAGTCCACAGGTGCCTGTTTAATTCTGGGTGCAGCTCAGAGCTGCTGCCACAGGTGGAAAAGCACCTTTGTCCTCCTTTAACTTTCTCATGTTGAAGTGCCTGAAAGCTTGGTCAGCACATCTCTGCTCGTACAGTGGCCTTAAGCTATTATGATGCAGGTGCATAAACTCTCAATTTTAAATAAAATGTGTTTTTTGGCTTTTACTACTTATAAATGTTATAATCTCTGATTTTTTTTATGATGGCTTGCTGTAACATTAAAAATGAAGTAAGTTTTTCAGTCAAATTAAAGCCTTTAAGTTTTTTTTCTGTTCAGTCTGTGGCTTCCATTTATTTTCAGTGATCAGACAATGCAGTCTATCATCATTCTAAAAGAGCCAATGGTGGAAAGCAAATCAGTTTTAAAAAGCCAAACTTTTTAAGAAGCAGAAGCAGCTTGAGTTTGGAGTTCAGGAAATTAGTTCTTTATGAATGTGTTAAATTAAGGTTTTTTTGAAAACAAAATTCAAATGGGTATAGAGAAGTTGTTTTAAGGAGGTTTTCCCTTTGAATTTTATTTTTTTAATTAAGTAAAGTTTTGTACAGCCCACAGTATATGGCATTGCATGTGAGGGGGAAAAATGAAAACACTTGGATCAAATAAACTCAATTAATATTAATATGTATTGCTTTCTTTTCCCCCCAGCTTTGCAGTCGTCAGTTGTACAGGTAAGAAAAAAGCAATGCAAACCCATCATTTTTCATCTTGGGAAATGTCAGTTGAAAGGGATGAAACCAGGATCTGGTTTCATTTGTACAATTAGTGACACCCACCCCAGTCCCTCCAGTGCTTTGTCTGCAGAGGATTCATAAGGGGCTGCAGAACTGGCCTTGAACTAATGAGCCCCAAATCCTATCTTTTCCTTTTCCTTTTCCTTTTCCTTTTCCTTTTCCTTTTCCTTTTCCTTTTCCTTTTCCTTTTCCTTTTCCTTTTCCTTTTCCTTTTCCTTTTCCTTTTCCTTTTCCTTTTCCTTTTCCTTTTCCTTTTCCTTTTCCTTTTCCTTTTCCTTTTCCCCTCCCTTCCCTTCCCCTCTTCCCATTCCCCTTCTCCCCTTCCCCATTTCCTTTCTTAACCTGTGTGACAAGCAGGACAGGAGCATTGCAAAAGGTTCAGGGCAATTTTTCAACTCTTGCGACAAAGAAAATGTAAATGAGTTTTCACTAAGTTGTTTTTCATTTCCTATTTGTTGAAGCTTCCAGGAAATTAAGGGATATTGCTCAAGGAACTGTTAAGTAAATGTGAATTAAAACTGGTGTGTTTGCTTCTAAATTTAAGGAAATCAAACCATAATGATTTGTATTCCCTAGTAACTCTATGCAAGTGAGGGTTTTTCCTCTTTTAATTGACATTTTTTGGTCATTTTTAGTTCACTTCTTCACATGTGCCTTACCTGAAAACAATCAACCTGAACTAGTTTTTTTATGTAATTCTTAATTACAGGTTAAAGAATTTTTATGAAAGTTTTTTTAATCATGAAACTTTGTGAAAAACTGATAAAATTTACTTTTTGATGGGTTATCCAGAGAAATGTGACACTTGCAGCCCCGAGTGAGCTTGGGCTGGCGGATGGGCTTAGTGCTGATACTGTATTCATGTCTTTGTGGGTGGCTCTCTTGGCTTCCATAAATTCTTTAATGTCAGGGTGGAGCTTGGGTGTAATTTGTTTTTGTCGTAATATGCACTTCTTGCACTTAATGGTATTTATTAGGTGCCTACAGAAATGTTTTTGTTCTAGGTAAGGGTTCTAATTCAACTCCAGGCGAGATTGATTCGCTGCTGTTTGCTCTCATACTTAGCTGAGACACAGATGTCTGCCCTAATCCATATTGTAAAATATCACTATGCATCAAGTATTTTAAAATGGGACAAGAAAAATAAACTAGGTTATAAAAACAAACCAACAATTTGAGTGTTGCTGGGCAAGCATTTAGTGAAACAAGCCAAACTCGTTTCATGATGAGTAATTATTGCACATAATATTCCAAAGATTTCCATTTGAGAAATTGCTACCGGGAATTTTCAGTGTTAACAACGTCTTGGAGGAATGTTCAAAACTTGTGTTTTTTATTTGTTTTTCAGGTTTTTAAACTGTATTAAGAAACAGCATCTGGCCACATGTCTCAACTGTTTATTAGATATTTTGCTTTCACTTCTGGCCACAAAACATCCTTGTCGGGGACTGAAGGGATTTTAATGCTTGAATTAAGCAGTTCTAGGGATTTTTTTTTGCCCTCTGAGAAATGGAAAAGGAAGTAAAGCATAGAAATGCTAGATTTTGGGTTTTTAAAAATAAATTTTAGAAAGTTTCTATTTATAAATTTTAAGCTGGAAGATGGGTCATCAGTTTCTTGATTGTCTGATTCTGTTGAACCCATAAGGACCTCAAGTCAAAGGAGAGAAAGCCAAAGTGCTGTAATGGAAACATTCATAGAGCTGCTGTAGCATCCTTCTTTGTTTAGCAGTTCTTGCACCATCTTTAACCTGATTTTGAAAAATGGCCATAAATCATCCTTTACACAGTCCAGTTTTGAGTTACACTGCAGTAAGTCTCAGTTTTGAACATCCTTGAAGCATTCAAATTTATTAATGCTCATTGTAGAAAATCCCATCTTCTACCCTATTATCATTTTTTTAAAAAAATACATGTATTTTTCTGTCCTCCTGCAGAAGTCCTTTCTGGGTTTACCATAGTACAAAGGAGCCTGCAAGTCCAGGCACATCAGTGTGTACTTCCTGCCATTATCCTTGATCCTGACACATCTGATGCACTGGTTTGTCTGGAGGAGCTGGTTGGTTTGAGCATTTGCATGTGCACTTCCAGCTGTGGGTTGTGCAGGAGTTTCTGGGTTTCTGTGTGGGGGTTATGCAAACCATGCCCTGTAGAGCATCTGCCTCCTGTGCCTGTTTAGGGCTGTACAGGTTGTAAAGTTCCAAAAATTGGGCTGTGTTTTATTTGTTTTAAATGACACTTTTATGTATAAAAACCTAAGATGAAAAACTTGCGGCATCTGTTGCGTTCGTCTCTGTTACCTGAGTTAGGAAATCCCTCTGCTGGTTTGAACACAGAGTCACTTGTCAGCCTGATTTCCATTCTGCTTCCACTGCACCAGCATGGTTAGTAGCTGTTTTTTTTGTAGCAGATCTATTTCTATTGTGGATCTGAGACCTTGGACTCATTCTCAATACACTTTCTCTCAAGTAACAAGCGATAGGAAAGAGGAAATGGCCTTAAATTGCACCAATGGAACTGGAAAAAAAAACACTTTTCTCAAAGGTTTGTGAAGCCCTTGCACAGGCTACCCAGGGCAGTGGTGCAGTCACCAACCCTGTTTTTTACCATTGTGGAAACCTAGATTTAAAAGATGTGTTTAAAAGGTTTTAACACATTTAAAAGACACGTTAAAAGGATTAGGTTGGTCTTGGCAGTGGTTGGACTCAATGATCTTAAAGGTCTTTTCCAACCTAAATAATCCTGTGATCCAATAATATGAAAAGTCTTCAAGAAAAGAGTATTTTGATAGTAGTTGTGTTAAGGTTCTCTGAAACTGCTTCATCTGGTCTGAGGCTCTTGAGTGACTTCTCTATTGACAAAATTTGAGTTCCTGACTGTTCAGCTGAACAGATGTTCAGAATACATTTTCACTTCCTCGTAGCCAGTTCTGTTGTGACCTGAATGCCCAGAAGGAGCTCAGGAGTGGCTATGGAAGTGCTGGGCTGCCTGCAGGTGGTTGCAGTGCACTTTGTGTCTCAGCAGATGTTGTGTTTATTGGCCCTCGAGGGTTCCATCCGAGCTGGATGTGTCGGGATGTTCGTCAGCGACTCCCACGCCGGGCAGCGCGGTGCCTGCGACGTGCTGCACACCCAGCCTTGCCATGAGCTCATCCCTGCAGCCTCTGGAGAGACTGGCTGGGTGTGGAGCACGTCAGCTGTGGCAGCCCAGCAGATTTAGGAGCTTGGAGTAGCAGCCAGTGTCAGTTGAACCGGCACCTTCTGAGTTTCGGCTTTTCCAGCAGAGTAAGGGAGCCTGCAGGTGTTGACAGGTGCTGGGCAAAAGAGAAACTCGTCTCATTTCAAAGACCTTTAAGGTTGTAACTAATCTTGATGGTTTCAGGGCAAATGTGTTTCTTGGCATTCATCTGCCTAAAAGAGTTTTTTTTAGGCAGATGAGCTTAATCAGCAAAGAATTCCAGCTTTGCAGCAAAGCTCATCTTTTAACAGTTCTTCCAAGTTCAAGTGGTTTTATGCATCCAGGACCTGGATGGCTCTGTGAGATGTGCTGCACTGTTCTCTGAAGAGTTGTAAAGTGAAATTCTTCTGCTACAAACTGAAGTCACTGGGAAAGCTTTTACTTCCAAAGTAGCATTCTGATGTTAGAATACATCATGGCATATGAATTTACAGTAGCCTAAAACCTGGTGGTTCTCATGTTATTGTGGTTTATTCTGTGCATCTTGAAGGGTTGGCCATGAAAGTTTTGTTAATCTACTCAGCTGTGCTCAAGGTTTTCTCTTTCCCCCTTGTGTACCCTCTGAAAAAGCTGTTCTGTACCTGCAAAACCCAGGGAATGTGCAGCCTTTAAGGATACCTCAGTTCTGTTTGGGACAAAGAGTTCCCAAGGAAAGTGCTTGGTTGCTGTTCATGTGGAGGTAAAATACGTGTTCTCAACTTTCCTGAAATCCAGTATTTACAACTGAATCTCTTCAGCTATTCCAGTACTTTCAGCTTCAGATTTGAATATCTGTGAAAACATAGATGCTGTTCAATTCTAAACAGCTTCAGTTACTGTTTTTTTTATTATCTTAAGTGGGAATTCTGGCTTTCTCACAAAAAGCAGCAGGCTTAAAATAATTTTAAAAAATAAATCCCCAAAAGTACTTTGAACTTCTTTATGCCCTGGGAACAGCACTGTCACTGGTTCTGATTCAAGCCAATGTAATTATAAAATAGGTACTGTCATTCTTAGGTCAGTAATGTTAATTTGTCAGTTCTGCAAGGGATTATATATTTTATTTTCCACATGTAAATTGTGACTCATCCCAGGATGTTTCTAGGAGAGAAGCATTGCTGTGGAACTGCACACATGAAGGAATGCTTAGGAGCTTGTGGAACCTGGGCACTGCATCAGTCAATTTGCAAATTGAATTAATAATTAAAGCTTGAAACAGGTACATCTAATAATGTGATGCAACTTGTGGATGTGTCTTTGGAATAAAAAATAAAGAATACTGACTGTACAGCAAAATTCAGAATCTCTGAATTAGGTAGATCCGTATCTTTTTAATTTAGTGAAATACTGTGCAGTGAGATAATAGAAAGATGTGCATCGTGTTTGACAAACCAAGCACTGAGGAAAGATCTTGGATTACGATAGAATTATTGGTTTTTAAAAGTGAAATATGCATGAGCTGTGGAAAGGGGGAAAAAATGAGCTCTATTGGTGGACATACAGAGTGTCTGGGCAAGATCCAGCTCAGGAAGCTTTGCAGAGGAGCACACACAGGTCATGGTGCCACCCAAGAGGGATTGGACTGGAGTTTGTGCCACGTGGAAAAGTTGCTTTGCAAATCCCTGTCACCTTTCTGCATTCTTGCATGGGGACAGCAATCCTCAGAGAGGCTCCAAACTCTGGAATTAAATGGAGTTGGTGAAACGCCAGAGGAAGGGATAACACTCAAATTATTACCATCAGCACAGCTTGAAGTGGCCTGACTTCCTCCTTGGCAGTGCAGGGAAATGGAGAAGAGCAGCCTTTGTGAGTCAGTTCTGGCTTTGTAGTTGGAGCAGAACTGTCCATATCTGAATCCCTTCATCAGCAGACTCTGCTGCACACCAAACACATTTGCAAGGTGATTATTTTATACTCATTTGCAGTAAGGCAACAGACAAAAGGCAAGGAATGGGTGAAGACAAAATAAAGGGGAAAAGAAGTGTGGAAGAGGAAGCAAGGTTTGCCACATCAGTCACTTGTTTTTGCCGCTGTCTCGACTCCTGGCATCACTTTTTTTGTTTTCTGATTTAAATTTTTTTAGAAGCTGGAGAGCAGACAGCATGGCAGGAGGGTGGGGTAGACAATACACAGACCTTATCAGCATGAGGATGTAGAATCTGTGCTTGCTTCCTACAATGATAAACTGAGCTGGCAATTATTAAAGTAAGCCTAATATATATTGATTGTGGAAACCAAAAGTTTCTCAATTAAAGGAAGTGCTGACCTATGGCAGATGAGAATATTGTGGAGTTGGCATCTCTGTGTTTCCTGAAACACCAATGAAATTGTTGAGCAGTCAGAAACCCAGAGCATATTGCAGAAGGGACCTCCTTGTGTGGAATGGAAAAATGTGTTTAAAAAGTTCAGGCTTTTAAAGCTCATACAAAGGGATAAATTGGAGAACAAAGTTATAAGAGTTGTTAGGATTGCCAAGCTGGCCTTCTGAGCACAGCTGCTAATTTTATTGTGGGGAGGGAGGAGGAAAGGATGGAAGAAAATGTTTAAAATAAACAAAAAACAACAAGCAAATAAACAAAAAAGCCTTTGTTGTTGCTCTCCTTGCTGGGAGTTTCTGCCAGAGCATGGACATGCAAACAGGTGATTAAGGGTTTGGCACACCTCAGGGAGGAAATATTCCAGCAGAAGTGAAGTGAGACAATAAGGAGTCAAGGGAAGAAATATCCAAAGGAAGGGGAGGTCAAAGGTTCACAAAATGGAGCAATGAAGTCACAGAGGGTGACACTGAGTGAAACACCTCAGGCAGTGCCTTGGGGATGGGGATCCAGACAAGCAGCAGACAGTGCTCAGCGGGGTGAGGAGAAAGAAGCCTCTGCCCACAGCCAGGAGAAGCCACAGAGTGGAAACAGACCCTGCCATTCCCAGGATATTTTTCCCTCTCCCCACTTTCTGCCCATTCAGATTTTCTTCTCCCAGTGCTGTTGCTGGTCGGGCTCATGTTCAGACAGAGGAACTGGGCTGAGGTCTGAGCTGGTGCAACATCCTTGAGGAACACACCTTTTCCTCAGGAAGGTCTGAAGTAGCTTGAGCCATTTGTTTCTCTCCCTTTTCTGATGTGTTTCTTGTGGTGATAAACACAAAATCACCTGGGAGGGGACTTGAGCAGGAAAGGAGAAGGGTGATAAATGTCACCAGGAGAGGAAACCAGTTAACATATGTGAAAATGGGAACTGGGAAGGGAAGTTTCTATTTAGTTTTGTAGAGATTATGATTTTATTAAAAAATTGCATGTAGTTCCTTTTCACTTGTGGAAATCAGAATCTGGTAGAGACTGGAAAGTCCTTTGGCTAGTCTCATGGGTTTGGAATGTTTGTGAAGCAAGTAAAAAGAAAAGCAGAAGGAATTTGACAGTCTTTTTATTATTCACATTAAAAATAAGGAAGACTGGGAGTGCATTTTTGCAAGAAGAAAGCTTAATATTCAGGAGAGGTTTGCAGTAATCGTGCTGAAGTCAAGAAAAGTTGATTTAAAAGGGAGCAGAGCTGATCAAATACAAAACTGTGGGTATTTTGTGCTCTGCTTTCATTCTGAAATGGTTTCCAGGTGCTTTTGCCTCACTGTGGGCACTCAGGTCACCTGTGGTGGGTTGTTCTCTGAAGGCTGTTTCTGTTTTGCAGGGGTTTAGGAGGAGAACTGATGAGACCGGCTGGTAAGTACCACAGCTGGGGTGGGACAGCACAGGAGGTGCCCTGAGGAATTTAGCTGTTTACATGTTTCCAGTTCATTTTGCATATGTTGTGTTGAATGTATAAGTGAAGTCTGCACAGTAATTAAAAAATTAGGAACTTTGGAGGCCAATCAGCAGATGGGTGCACCAAGACATGGAGTGCCAATACACTTGGAATAGCTCTGTGTAAGAGCTGGAGATGGTTCTGGGCTCTGTGTCACACTCTCCTTCTGTTGTTGCACACAGGGAAGTTTTTTTAGGGTTGAACTGTCTTCCTTCAGTGATTTACTCAGATTCCTCTCCAGAATAGATATAATCTGCACTTTCAGACAGAAGCCATGGTGGAAATAATGATTTTATCGTAACAAGAGTGCGTGCAGAAGTGAAGCATAAAGATCATATAAACAACAGTCTGTGGGGAGTGTGGCATCACAGAAAAGATGGATTTTGCAGATTGTTATATGCTGTAAAAAGGAAGGGTGTTGGAGGAAGAAGTAGGCTGGGTGGATGAGGAAATGATGCCAACTTGGTTTCCTGCTTGAGAGCTGAGTGAAGGAAGTGCTGCAAAGCAGATTCCAGCTTGGAAGATCTGAAGCCATCCAGACCTCGTGGGTAAAAGAGCTTCAGTACTTAGGTGAAAGAGCCAGGGGATTTGAGTGAGATTACAGCTGTATGACAGGAAAATGCAAGCTGAAGGAATGGGTTTTTTTCTGATATGTTTTCACTTCTAAGCAGCTGAACATTTCATGGTTTTGGAGAAGTACAAGTGGCAGTATTTTGGCATTATACAATTGTGTAGGTGGAGTAAGAGAACAATTGAAAATGTTCCACAAATTGCCTGCATGTCTAATGAAGATGATGGTCTCAACCACAATAGAGCAAAGAGAACTAAGGAGGAACCCCAAGAGACTTGGGTTTAGTCACATTGCACTTAACCTTGTCTGTGAATAAATATTAGCACAGAGAAACTGACACACAGTGTTGAGAGGATTTTGTGTGACGCTGCCATAGTGGGGAGCGAGTTCAAGAGTAGATTTGGAGCCCAGTAAGTTGATTATAAATGAAAATGATGAGCTGTGTGCAGAGCCCAGAGGAAGAGTCAAAAATCAAGTTGTGGGAGGAGAGGAAAGCAAAACAAAATGTTGGCATTACTTTATACAGCACCTTCTTCTGTCCTTTCCCTCCTCTCCACCAGCTCTAAAGCCGCCAGGCAGTGAGATGGAACTATGCTCTCCAATCTCATTTATTTGAACTGAACCCCAGGAGGTGAAAGATAATGGCATTCCCCAAGTGCTGAGTTTTCATTTGAGCAGTACAGTCAATCTGTTGGATAGAAAATTTTCAGTGTTTACTGTGTTAATTTTCATCCCCCAAAAAAAGCCTCAAAACAGTTAAAAAAAATATAATTCTCAAAGTGGGTTTGTAAGCATAGAACTCTTCAAAGTTCATATATTAAAAATAATTAGGATTTTATTATGAAAAGGATGTCCTCATGTATTCCAAGTATCAAAGGAAATAAAACTCTATCCAGTTTCATAGCTCCCAGCTCTGTGCAGTGAACAAATGCCACTCCTTGGAGGTTCAAAAACAATGTGAAGAAGAAGTAGGAAAACCTGTCCTATATATTTGAATAATTTTTAGTGGCTGTAGTATTATCCTTGTCTCAGTTGCTTTACTGTCACTGATGCTACACTGCCATTTCCAGACTGTATAGCAGAAAAATTGTGGCTGACATGAACATCTTGAATGGCACAGGGGGAAAACATCCCACCAAACAAGGGATTTGCATGAATGATGGAACTAACTCATGTCAGAGGACAGTTACTGCATTGTAGTGATTTTTGTACAAATGTAATTTCCTTTCAGTTTTTAATTTCTCTTATTTGGAACATCTATTTGTAAACATTCTTAAACTTAAAATTATAGCTAATGTAACTTCCTGTGGTTGTCTCTTCAAATTTGCTTCAATTTCTCTTTTTTGGAAGGGTATTTATCTTCTCATCAAACTTATTTTCTTACAGTCTGCACTTTAATTGAAAAGTTGTCGCTATCAAAAATGCCTTTTAGAGGAGATCCAATCATCGGTAGGTCCTATTTTAATTAACCTTCCATGACTGTAGCAACTGTTCATTAAAGTAAAGCATTAACAAATGATGCTTTTCAAAGAAGCAAAATTAATGGTGACCTAACCCATTAAAAAATACCAAAAAGATAGTCAAATGCTGCAGCAGATGCTGATGCAATTTGAAGATTTGGTTTTTAGCTTTTAACTTGCCAATAAATAGAATGTGCAGTACTCAACATCACCAGGCATGGGGTGTTCACTGTGGGCATGGTAATCCAGGCTGGGGTAGCTGTACTGGGAGTCAGAGCCTTGTTTAATTTGGAAAAGCAAAGGCACAGCTTGATTTATATAATTGCTGGGCTATGGAAAAATTAAATGGAGAATGCTAAAGTTCAGAAAGTTAGAAAAGTTGAAACTGTTTATGTTCCTTGCTGTTCCAGGAGGTTGGCAGTGGTTAATAAATGACAGTCTAAGACATCTCACTCTTGTTTCCACTGCTGCACGACAGCGTATAAAGGTACAGTAATTTCTCTTCCTTCACGTGGTCACATTAAATACAGAATTAGAAATACTCTTGCTTTCCTTTGGTGGCTTATCCATGGGATCATATTGGTTCTTGAATGCTTGTTTCTTACATGTGTGAGAAGGGGTGTTTAAAAAATATATTTTGAGTTCCTCAAGATTCCAGTGAACCTTTCTGATTAATATTTGAGCAGTTATCCCCAAGGTTGTTCTTGTCTGTACCTCTGGTCAGGGTGAGGAGTCACTGATGGTGCTGGAAGGACCTCCTTGGTGGCTCTCTGGTTACATTTAGAGGGTGTTTTGCTTCTGTTTTGGTGTACCTGTAATATGTGTGATTTCAGAGAACTCTTGTGAGAATTAAAAATGCTCTGGATGATGTCCACAGGTACTGAGGGTTTGGTAGCTCTGTGAGCATTGGTGTGAGTTACTAGAGTTACTCAGGACAAGCAGCTTAAATTTTCCATTAAACTCTGCTGCAAATCCTTTTTCTGTGTTCTCAGGCTGCTCTGATTGTGTATATTAAAAATATTAAATCCATTGATGGATATGTCTCATGCTGTTTTACTTACATCATCCTAACACCTCCAGTTACTCGCCTTAATTTTCCCAAGAAATCCCATGGCAATTTGATCTCGTGCTCTTAAAGGCTCTGCTGAATTATAAAGGCAATTTCTGTCTGCCCTGATGGAGCTTACAGACAATCTGAATTTAACATACTGTGTTCATAGTGTTAGGTTTTAGTAATAAAATAAAAAGACATTTCAGGTACCTCACAGCTCATCTTTTAAAGTTGTCCTTGGGAGACAAAGGAGACTGGAGTGTATCCAAATCAGTGAAGAAAATTTAAAAAAAGAAATTTGAATTCTTTTTTGGCATTAACAATTTATTCAAAGTGCTGGTATGTCTTATAACTGGAACTTCTAAACCTAAAGCTTAAAAGAATTAATTATAGGCTGTAGAGAATTTTAACTTGTTTGGTAAACATCAGTTAAAGCTGATTAAAATGTATTTAGTAAATGGCAATTCTGACTTATTTCTGTTCCTGTTTTAGAGCGAAATAATTTTAAAGGGCAATGCTTAAGATATTGAAAAGTAATATTTATTTTTTTTCTGATATACAGTATTCTTTTCCAGTTTAACTTCATACATTTAAGGTGAAAAACATTTAATTTATAAAGTTAAATATCTGAGTAGTCTGGTGTGGTCCCAGGCATCCCTGCCCCTGGCAGAACTTGAATAATTTGGCCTTTAAAGGTCCCTGATCTACAGCAGTTTGATAATTCTGCATATTTTGCTACTATAATGCCTGTGGTAGTTAGAATATTGTTTAGGTAAGTGTTGGTTTTCTTTCAAGTCCTTGATTTTGCATAGAGAACTTGTCTGAGGTGTCTTTGAGGGCAGAATGAATCAGCTGGGCAGGATATCTCTGTTACATTTGAGATTTCTTGTACCTGGAGAACATGAGTGTTAATAGGTATTGTTGCTATTAACATGAAGTGAACAATGCATAGCTTTTGTGTGCTTTCAAATTTATTATAATTTTGGGTAACATTATATTATCAGCTGAAAAGTATAATTCAGCCATAAATTCCATGAGAAGAGCTATGATGTGCTTTCTGAAATAGCAGCTGAATTGTTTTGTGTCCTGTATGCGTAACTGAAACCACTCTGAAAATGAGGAGGTTCAGGTGTAATACACAATCATTTCTCCTTTTCTAAACCAATTAAGATCAGTACTCAAAGCCTGGATCATGGATGTTTGGGTTTTTGTTTCTAACCTTCAGTCCATTTCATTTTCTGTGTTTCCTTTCTGTAGCTCCCTGGGTAAATAAGGTTTGTTTCTGGTCAGTCGGGTATCAGTGTATGGAAGATGAAATAATGACTTGTGTGTTTTATAGTGCTGGGTCATCCTGGAGGTCTTTCATCTGAACTGAAAATACATTTCATACATGACTGTTATTGTCTTAAATAATAATTTAGCTTACTGCTCATATTGAAGGAATAATATTAAAATCTGTTTTTTCCTTACATAAGTTTCCTTACTAAACCAGTATTGGAAAGAAATAATAAGAAAGGAAATGCCAGTATCTGAAAGGAGTTTTTTGGGGTTTTTTTGTTTTTAAAATCCACTCTCTTTTTCCTTAAAAATTCTGAGAACATATGAGGTGAGTAAATGTATTTCTGTGCCTTTGTTGCAGGAGTCTGCAGTGTCTGCTCTGGCCGCGCTGTGCAATGAATTTTACATCAGCGAGAGGGGAGAAGCTGATCCAGCTCTGCAGGGTAATGATTCATGTTTAACATAGAGGCTGGACCAAACTTGCACTTTGGAGGTATTGCACAGAATAGGGAGGAGCATCACTGGTTTTAAAGGAACTGAAAATTCTTCAGGAAAAAAAAAAAAAGAAAAAAAAGCTGAAAAGTGTAGGAAATGTCTCAGGGGTTTTGCTGGCTTTAGACTGGAGGTGGACAGAAGGTACCACCATAATGAATACGAGACAAATTTATGTTGCTTTTCTATTCCATACTGTAAAACAGATTATGTGTTCCTAAAATCCTAAATTTTAACGAAGTGAATCTTTTTCACATCCTATTTCGATAAACTCTGCCAGAGATTATGGCTGATTTACAGAAGAATTGCTAAGGGATAAGAAAAGGATAGAAAATGACACCCAGAGTTCTGATAAATGTGCATGTGTCAGTTCATGTGTTTGTATTTGGATCAGCAGTACTGGAGGAAGCTTAAACTTCTTTTGGGGGCATATGAATCAGCATCTTTTTTTTTATACGGCTTTTCTTGTACCTGTCTTTAGGATCAGATTGTATCATGTCCATCAGAGACAAATTGCTGAATTGTACAGATAAATATTTTAAGAATAACAACATTTATATTCCTGCTTTTCTAAATATGACAGTGAATTTACATATTCTTAAGAAAATATTGATTTATTTTTCTATTTTTTGCCATTATTAAATCAGGTTACAAAATACCTTACTATTTATTTGTCTGAGAGTTGTTCCCAAAATGAACTTGATATCGATCACATATGTATTTACATGCAGTCCATTCTCTAAAGACATTAGGGCTGAACTAAAAACTAAAAGCAGCCTATCCTGATTTTAAAATACTTTATATAGTGCTAAATCTCTATGTTTTTGTCAAAAAAAAAAAACCCCAAACAAACCCAAACCCCTTTATAGCCCTTTCCTTCCTGGAGTTTGGCCCTGCTTGCCAAATTCTTTGTGGGCAGCATGGGAAGATGTGATATGGTACCAAGGCAGATAAAATCCCCACAACCTCAGGAAAGGGTCATGTGTAAAACCAGAATGTGCTGGGCAGGAGGAGGAAATGCTGAGTCAAAGCAAAAAAAGCTAAAAATGAGTTGAAATATTGATAGGTCAAATTTTATGTAAGGATAAAGTTTCAAGTTTCTGTAAAAGTGGACTGGAAAATTCAGGCAGGTGCCCAAGTCAGGGAGAAGGGATTGCTGGAAGCACAGGCTGCTGCTGTTGTTTCTGAACTAATTCAGGCCCCACTGAAGCCTCAATGTTTCTTTCTGGATTTCAGATTAACTTCATCTGTGTGCTTGAAGGTACCATGGCAGTGTAGCTGTGATGGTCTAGGGACACAATTAGGTGAAATTTGTAGATACAGACAAAATTTATCATTGGACTTTCACAATAGAATTGTGAATTGGCAGTTTTTTTCTGTTCTAGAAAACTCTCTGGTGAGCTCCATCTTGAGTACCCTTTTATTTGGCCTTGACTGCACCAGACTCTGCTCCACACACAATAGCAGAAGTGCCATTACATGTGCAAACATCTTTTAAAGAACAAAAAACCAAAAAAGGCTGTATTTTATCTCTGTATTGATGAAACTTACACATTTCATGTCTGTCTGTTGTGGGATTGAAATCCAGTAGTGAAAGTCCTCCCCACAGTGTGTGATGGATGTGGGGATGTGTGGAAGCTGCAGTGCAGGAGCCTTAGATAAATCAGTTAAAGCAGGTCTGGACATGATCAAGGGGATTAGGGGAAAAAAAAAAAGGCTTTTGGTAACATTTAGCCAGTATTTCACTGATGTTTGATGATTAAAATGAAAACACCAATCAAAGGTGCTTTAGCAATTTGATTTTCTGAACCTGTCCTTATAAGGCTGCAGTTTTATTGAATCACCACTTTTGCCTCTGTTTGTTTTGATCTCCTTGTTTTTGCTTTTCCTGTCTTAATGCATTCTGGTTTGGTTTTGCTGACTTTCTCTTTTAATATTCTTTCAGGATGGGTTGTGTGGAATTAATATTGTAGACACTTCATAGGCCCTGTTGGTTTATGAAGCTGAAGGCTCTTAGAAGAATATTAACATTTGCATGACACTTTCCACTGTAATTACTGTTTGTAAGTGAAGAGCTGCTTGTTTGCTCGTTGCCATGTCAAAATGGCAATCTTAAGTTTACACCACTCAAAGTGGAGACCATCACAGCCTCACTGTTTAAGATCTTCTTGCTGTCACAGCAAACACTGCATCTTCCTATGGCCTCAGGACTCTTAACACCCTGGTGGTTTGGAAAGTTTTAAATAACAGATGTTGTTATCTGAAGGTATTGCTCACCTCTGGCCAGGGAGCCTGGCCCGTGATGGGAGGGACAAGCTGGGGCCTGTCCACTGCATTGGGGTTTCAAAGAAACACTCATGAATTGTGATGAATGGGGAGTTTCTTATGGCAGCTCTTCTTTCTTCCTCTAGCAAATATTGCTCAACCATTTAAACCTTAGATTACAATAAGCAGTGGCACAATTATGTAATCTTCCCAGGATCTCTGGTTCTTTTTCTTTGAGGATTAAAAAGTGTCTCTCCAGTAAAGGGATCGATAAGACCACCTTGCTCCTGTCTGAATCAGAGCTGTGTTTATTGCAGCTGTCTTGGAGAAGCTTTTCTGGAGTACTTTTGTTTTTCTCTGCATTTTACAGGAGAGTTTAATGTGGAAAATCAGGTAAAGGAAGTATTGTCTGTAAGTCTGAGAAAAAGACTGCAGCAGAAGTGACTTTTTCTCTTTTTATTTTTTCCTACACCCTAATTTTTTCCTTGATACCCCTTTAAATGTTTGGTGAGGCTCCTTTTCCCAGCTGAGTTTATTCTTGTGCCTGTTGACTGCTGCTGTTTGTAGGGCCACTGTCCCTGCTGGGTCCTGTGCCAGCACACAGAACCAAAGGGGGAATTTCTTCTTGAGCTTTCTCCTCCTAAACACTCAACTTCATTTGTGTCTCTCTATGAAAAATGGTCTGAAATTATCTCACTGTTTAGGTGTGATGTGTATGTGCTTAAAGAGGACTCCAGTCAGGAGTTTTCAGAGTTTAAATAACTGACCTCCACAAACCTGGGGATCTCCTGCCTAACACAGAACACTTATCCAATAAAAGAATATAATGACCTATAAATATAAAAAGAACTTGCTCCCTTGTGCTTACCCAGAAATTTGTTCTTATACGTATCTGGATGTCTAAAACAACTCTTTAAACGGAGAAGTTTGTCTTTCTCTCTCTGAAATAGTAGACTTAGCCTAAATACAAAGTCAGATTTTTAGACAGAAAACATGAATTCATTCATGTAAAAGTGAATATCTTAAAATTTTTATCCTTTTCCTGTAGAAAACTGAGGTATTCTGCATTTTAGTTTAACAAATTACAAAATTTTCCAGCTGCTTTGTTTAGGGGATCTTTTCCTTATTTTTTTTTCTTTAGCCAAATATGAAATTACAACAATGTGGTGGTTGCTTTTGACTCTGCAATTGTATTTTTTCCAGATGAGCTGGTGACACAGTACGTTTCAGAACTACAAAATGCAGAGGAAATGATTCGTTGTGGCTTTTCACGAGCTCTTGGGGCCCTTCCAAGATTTCTGCTGAAGGGCAGGCTCCAACAGGTGAGAAAATAGGATCATTGTAATGAGAAGAGGGCACAAGGCATTTTGAGTGAAACCTGTGACAGTAAAACAAATAAATAATAATGATCATAATTAAAGGTCTTTGTCAAAGGGGTTTGAATGCTAATGTACAGAAAATCATCATGAGTTGAGCTTGCCATAGTTTCTGATAATTAATGCTTTAGTAGTGTTAATGGAAAATTCAGAGGTTGAATTATCCCTTTGCTATGGGATGTTGGTCCAGGGGCAGAAAGAGAGGTGTGCAGGCCACTCCTGCTGAGAATCCAAACTCTGCTGCCTGCTTGGTTCTTTCGTACAGGATTGAACTCATTGTGCTATGATATCTAAATTTAACATAGTAAAAAATGCTTTGGGTTTATATATCTCAATCTTTGTATTTTTTCAGGTTTTGGAAGGTTTAAAAAAAGTTACAGTAATTTCCCCTGGAGACGTGAGCTTTGCTGAATCCAGGAGAGATGCCTTAATAGCAATTGCAAAGTATGTTTCTCATCCCTGCCTTTGTCTAATTTTAAATCTTTCTGTAGAAGCTTTCTCCTGTTCATTCTGCTGGGGCCATGAGTTTTGAAATCAGTTATTTTGTCACACACATCTTTTGAGTGCCTGCATCTCCAGCACTCAATTTATTTTTGATTCAGAGGATTACCACACACCTGACTATGGACTACAACTCTGATGGTGCTGTCAGTTTTTTATCAGTTAACTGACTGCTTAGAGTATATTTTATTATTTGCCTTTCTCATGGGCTGCAATTTAATGAGCTTGATTGAGGAGGAAGAATATATGTTTTTTCCACAATCTTAAAAACATTGTATTGATTTAAAGAAATCGTACCTTTTATTTAAAGGAATATTTTCTATGTTGAATGTCACAGTGCAGTTAATAGTACACATGAATACTTTATGCTCTATAACTGTTACACTGCTAAAACCCCTGTGTCTTCAAGGTAAAGAAGTTTAATATCAGGTTCAATGCACGTTGTGTTGGCCCTTTGCTCTTCTTCCTGACTTCAAGGAGAGTTCAGAGACTGACAGATACTGAAGCATGTTGCTTTTTGTAGTGTTAGAGATGTGAAAGCAGCCTACTTCCCTGCTGAGATCTTAGCTTTGCCAGTGTTGCTTTGAACCCAAACACTGCTCAGAAATCCTCAGGTCAGATCCAGCACAGAAATATTCTCATTGCATGTGTAGAGGACGTTACGGGTGTTGGGAATTTTATTAAGTAGTGTAACAAAGCTTGATCTTAATTCCCTCCCATCCCTTCTTTTCCTCTATTTTTGAAGGGTTTGCCAGACAATGGGTGTGAAGGGAGATGGATCCCAGCAGGAATATGTCTGCAGGGATAACGTTGATCAGATTTATGCCACGCTGCTCACCGGTGTGACCGACTACACCACCGACAGCCGGGGTGATGTTGGAGGATGGTAAGGTGGGGCTAAAATCCAGGGCCAGGTTTGGTGTCTAATGAAAACCTGATGTGTTTTCAAAACCTCTTAGAAACAAGAGCTCCAGGCCTTGGGAGATTTGAGCTAGGCAGGAATTAGGAATGCACAGCAAGGAGAGAAGTAGAAAATGAAAGGCGAGGCTGATAAGTTTTGGTTTTCCTTCCTCAGAAGGTGGGAATATGGGTACTGTTACATTCAAAACTGAAGTTTTTCTGCTTCCGTGGGTGACATTCATTAGTAAATACTAGGAATGTATTCAGTTGCAAAGTAGGGATTTAAAACATGACTTCTCTTTCTTTGAAACCACGCGTTTGCTCCTGCCTGATCTCTCCTGCTGCACATTCCTGTTGTGGGGATTTTTTGCCAGGAGAGGGAGCAGCTGCATAACGTGTTGAGAGGGAAAAAAACTCTCAATTGTGCTGCAGCATCACCAAATCTTTTGTAAGTTTAGGGTTTCAATGATTTCAGATATGAGACTGCAAGAATAAATCATAAGTCTATAGGAATATGTTTGTGGATGTGAAATCTGTAGCATAGGTATATTTATAAGTTTAGTAAACTTGATTAATAAGATCTTAGTAATATTAATTCTACAGCAGTCTTATTTTCATGGCATTCCTCAGTCTTCAAGCTCCCTCTAATATGCAAGGAAGATTCAGTGTGTAACCCTGCATTCCTCTGAATACTCTGTATTCCTTCAGTAACAGTGATCTGCAAAGGCAGTTTCAAAATTCATGACTGTAAAGACTCTTCTTCTCTTGTGTTCTTCTTTGGGTTTGTGTTTCATTTCCAAAGCTCTAATTGAGGATGTGTCAGCACTTACTGATTGGAAATTCCTGCCAGCTTTGAATGGGAAAGATCATGAAGAGTTCATGTTATTCATGCCTTCCTGTAGAATTACACAGCACAGAAATGTGGATCTTACAAACCAAACATACTCCTGTCAGGGTTCTGTTCTGCACATATTTATGAGCAAAATATGTCCAGCTTGAGGTAGTACTTGTTAATAAAAAGCATTAAATTATCCTGTAAATTCCTGTAAATTCAGGAACAAGTCCAGTATCTGCAGATGTAAAATATTTTTGTTGCTGTGTAGAAGCCTCAGAGCAGTAACACTCAGTATAGAGATGCCATGAACTCTTTAAATGAATGTGATAGAGTAATTTTAGTGTCTTTTATTTGCAGTTAATTTTGAGTAAAATGCTGGTTTTGAAAAGTCCATTTAATTTTATTGTCTGAATCCATAATTTTAATTTGAAAGTGTACAGATATATGTTGCTTTTAGATATGAAGAATCAGCCTTGTTTACTCTGTGGGTGATACTATTTGTGTGGTATGCTAATGAAGTGGTAAAATAAATGTATTTGACCTGTCTGGCAGCTGCATGAAGTACCTCAGAGTACAGAGGTGTGTGTTCAGGATTTTAAATTAACAACCTATTGATAGTTCAGATCTAGTGTCTGGCTCTGCTTTTGTTCTGCTCCAGGCAGGAAGGGGCAAGTGCTTGAAAAGTATTGTTAAGAAATAATTCTGTTGGTTGAAAAAATTTTGTTATTTTCCCAGTTTCTTGAAAAAGTTCTTGTTCAGCAGCGCTGAGTCACGTGGGGTGTTTGAGTGGATTGTGTCAATCATATCTGTGCAGTGTTTGTATGAAATAAATGCTTTAGACAGTCACTACCTCCTTCCTGGAAGGGTGTTTTCAGGAGTGGTGTATGAACAGGAACGTGGCTGTGCCCATGCCTGGCCAAGCCCAGCGTGGTGACAGGTGCTGGCAACTGGCAGCTCTTTGGTGAGGCTCAGATTTGTTGTGTTTTTTTAGAGCTCTGTCCTACTCAGTCTTCACTTTATTTTTTGTCATTATTTCATTTGGTAGCCTCAGGTTTGCTTTAAAACAGGAAAGAAAAAGTTTATTATGATGCCATTTCCCTTTGCAGGGTTCCTCCTTGGGCACAAACGGGGCAGATGCTGTGAAATACATTTGTAAAAACCATATGGGATGGAAGCTGCTGCAGCACAGCCTGTAACCACCTCTTGTCTTGTGTAGGGAGAAAAGCTGTGATTGTGCTTTTTTTCCAACATCCTCATGCTGGATTATTCCTTGCCAATGATCAAACCACAGTCAGACCTTGCTGGTTGTGCTCTGTAGTCACTGGCAGTGTCAGAGCTCACCAGTTCCAGCCTGGGCTGCAGTAATTATAAATAGCTTCTCTGTCTTTGCACAGGAAGGGAAGTGTCAGTTCTGCAGCACAAAGCAGAAGAAAGGTACTTTGTGCCATGTTACTCTTGAGCACTTCTGTAACTGCTGAGTCTTGTCCCTTCAGCACTTCACTGCAATATTTACATATGTGTTGGAAAAGTTCATGGCACAAATAATCCAGACTGCTCTCAGCCCTAGCTGAGGTTTGTGTGTTTGGATTTTCCCTGTTTTCTGTAGTGGTATCCAACCTCTCAGCTGGTAAAATCTTTGTACAACAGGGAAATATTAACACAGGGCACGAAATCCGAGATCAGGAGGTGTTTGACATTTCCTTAGAAGAGGAGAGAAGGATGCAGTGAGGATCAGGAGCAGGTCAGTCCAGATTGCACAAGGAAGGAGCTTGGCTTTCCCTGCTGCCAGAGGAACAGCAGGGAGGTGAATGGGTGTAGCTGACAGAAAATGCAAGAGCAATAATACAGGGTGGGGAGGCAAAGAAAAGGAAGAGATACTGAGCTTTGTGTTTTCAAAGCCAGGTGAGACACTGAGGAGGATGAGGACATGGCTAAGTGTAATTAGGTATTCAACTTCCACATCTGAGAGCTCCCACTGCAGCTCCCCACAGCTATTGTTTATCCTTCGTCTGTGTCTTCATTTCAAAACAAAACATAGTGGAACTTTCAAAGAAATCCTGAGGAAATTAAATTCCCAACATCCATTAAAATTCAAATGCGCTTTGAGCACCAGATACTTTTTTTTTTTTTAGTTTCTTTTGGCAATTCCAGCCAAAATCAAGTCAAGAAACATGTAAATCAGAGGGGGAAGGGGGATCCTTTCTCATGGCAAGCTCCTGGCTGCTGAAGGCTTTTGTGGCCTCTCAAATATCAGTGCTTTCTCATTCTGTTTCTTCTAAACCAGTGAATAAGATGGAAAGATATGGAGAGAAATACCATTTCTCTGGAGAGATCTTGTCTTTTTTGTGTAATTTTTGTGTAATTTTTGTGTTTCTTTAATAGAGTCGTGGGAAAGTTTCACCAATTTGACTCTGCATATGCAAACTTTACCTTTCTTTTGACAGATTGTTTGCTGGGACATGTCTGATCTGTCTACAGGTGTTAGACATGAATATCTAAGTCAGATACAATACAAAAAAACTAGTAAAACACAACCTTGATGAAAGACTGCCAGACTTGTTTTAAGCTGCTTTGGAAAAAATGATGTAATTTACCTTTTTTACCATTATAACAAATGTCCCGCCCAGTTTTAGATTGCACCTGCAACTATTTTCAAATTGCTTTGGAAATCAGGAAGAGGAGTATTTCTTTTCATAGAAGGCTGGTGGGCCTTTTCAAATTTTTTTTTTTTTCCTTTTAAAAAAAATTATTGCTGAGAAAGGATGACATTACTCTGAGTTACTAATGCAGGACTTGGTCTTGTGCAGGGTCATGTAAACCACTGAGGTATTGCCCTTGTCTTAAGAAAGAAACTATTTTAAAAACTCGTGGATTGACAAAAAACAAGCATACTGATTATTTTTAAATTGAAATTACACCTTTTTTTCTAAGATTGTATTTAGACATTTTGAAGGGAGCAGATCATTATCTAGATAAGACTCGCTTCAAGCACAACTTTATTTTACATTGGTCAAATATTTTGTGAAATTAATTATTGTTTAGCATGCAGATTTAAGCTACTCTGAGTCACAAGTTGTTTTTAATGCTGGAAATATTAAGCTTGAAAATTGACAAGAATGTGACAGTCTTAACAGTCACAACTGTTTTTAATGCTGGAAATATTAAGCTTGAAAATTGACAAGAATGTGACAGTCTTAACAGTTCAATATCTGAGTGTCAGATGTGGGTTGGCCTTTTCAGAAAATAATTCAAAGCAGACAGAGCAGTTAAGTTTAAATACATCTACTTGCACACTAAATATTTCTAATCATTATCAGTTTTAACCTTCTTAAAATAAAGAATGAGCCTGGTGACATCTGGCTGGAATAAAAACCAGGCTGGTGCTGCAGGGGTGACTCTTGGACCCTCAGTGCAATGTGAGCTTGGATACTCCTTGTCCTCCCAAAATATGGGAACTGCTCTCAGAGGTCATTTCTTTTGTTATTATGAATTTTTGCTGGTGTCTTTATTGAAATGAGTGCTGGTGTAGCTCCTCTGATGTGTGTCTGTCTCCACAGGGTGCGTGAAGCTGCCATGACCAGCTTGATGGAGGTGACGCTGCTGCTGGTGCAGAACGAGGCAGAGCTAATTAATGCCAACATGTACGTAATGTGCAGTTCCTGTGTCTCAGAGCTCCATCCAGGCCCTCCAGGAAGGCAGTGCTTGGACACTCTGTGCTCAATTCTTTATGGAGTGTACAGATCTTGGACAGTCCATGCAGATATGGAGGATGTTGCATCTGGTTTTCAGAGGGAAAACCGTGTTGAGAGAACCTGGGTGGCAATTCACCCTGGAAATGCAGCAGAGCTGGGGGACCCTGAGCCAGAAAACAAACCTGCCCACTTATCCAGAGCATCATATCGTTAATTTGGAATGTGATCAAATGTGAGCATGAGTTGGGTTTCGTTTCTTTGCAGAATTATTAGTAAGGAAATAAAGAAAAAATAATTTACACTGAGCTCTTGATTTTTAATGTCATGATATAATACTCCTGATACTAAAAGAATTAATAATAAGTACCATTTTTGAAACATAGCTTGAGTTGCAGCAAAACTTTCCTAATAGTGGTATTAGTTTGTAGACAGAGTGTGCCAGTGGTTAGGTGAACATACACATGGTTTGGGTTTTAATTTTAAAAACTGCAAATGTTGAAGGACATCTAGAAGGAAAGTATTGGATTCTCTAAGGATACACTGCTCACTGGTGCCCATTTTCAGGGGCTTCCTCCTGTTCATCTGTTTATACCCAGATTGTCCACATGGAACTGAGAAAAGCATTCTTGCCAGCTGGATTCCATTGTCTAAATATTCTGGGTCTTGGTGTAAGTAAGGGATTTTAGCTGGTTTTACTATCATTAGTGGCCTTTCTAAAGGGTAAAGGGCCTTGTGGGACACAGTAGTGTAGCTGAAAGTTTAGTTGTCAACAGAAACAAAATAGGATATTGTTAAAAACGAGGCAGAATTGAAGGAGTGATTTACTTGGGATATGTGAGATGTAGGAGGGAGCTTGTCCTCTGCTGCATGTGCAGTATTGTACTTCAAAATGTGCTTTTCTCAAAATTCTGCTGTTTCCATCTGAAATGTAGCAGTTCAGCCAAGCCCTTTGCTAATAAAGCACTTTGTTATCTTTTTGTATGAAAGGTGGGGCAATATGTATAAAAGGTGGGTAAAATACTCTGTAACATTCATGTCATGCTGGGGTTTGATTGATTGATCTGTAGAAGATAAAGCCTCAAGATTCTGTCACCATGTGGATCTCTTAAATCACTTTTATGTTCATTCTGAGCAGTTAAACCAGAATACTTTCCTAGCAGGATAATTCTTATTCATTTAATTGAAACAATTTAAATCTAAATACACATTCCACTGCTTAAATGTTCTGATTAATTGTTTTCTTCTTTATAGCTGCAAGCAGATTATGTGCTGGCTGGCTCAACAGTCAGCTGAAAAAATAGATAAATTCCGAGCTCATGCAGGATCTGTGTTCCTTACCCTTTTGCACTTTGACCAGCCTCCAGTTCCACACATCCCTCATCGAGAAGAGCTAGAGAGGATATTTCCAAGGTAAGGTATTGAAAAATATCCTAAATGAAAGTAAAAGATAAATGCACACAGTTACACCTAAACCAAGCTGATGTAATTTTTGTGCCCAAATGCCCAATATATATATGGAGGAGTATTTGGTGGTGTTTGTCAGGATTTCATTGAATTGTCCTATGAATATGCATGAACATATTTTTTTCCCTCAACTGGAAAACCGGATTTTTGATCAAAATGATAGTTTTTAATGAATTGCATTGTTTTAATAAAGTTCTTGTTACAGTAGTTTTCCAAGATGAACTTCCTAGTTAAAACAAGAGTGAGAGCAACTCATTCCTGAGTGGTGATTCTGATACCTGATGGGAGTGAGGAACATCCAGCTCAGAGTTTGGGGGAACCTGAGGCTGCTGCTGATCAGTGCTGGGAGGGTGTGTTGGCCTTTCCTGGCACAGTCTGTCCTTGGATCAGCTGTTGAGTAGCTGCTGGTGGGAGAGAACACAGAATGAAACTGCAGAAAGAAACTTGATTTCTGAATGGAGGCAAAAGTGCCTGGGGAAGGGAAACTGCAGTTCCCATTGTACCTGGATCAGAGCAAGGATTTGAAGATTCCTTCACTTTACTGGCTGAAGCTTTGATTTGTGTTTTCCCCTTATGCTCAAAGACCAATGTCTGATTTGACATTTAGGTAATTCAGAGACCTGATTTCCTTCACTGGTGTGAAGGAGCAATGTGGGGAGAAGAAAAGCAGTGCACCCACACCAGGATGATTCTTTTCCTTCCCCTTTCAGGTCGGAGAAGGAGACGCTGAACTGGAACGCGGCGTCGGAAGCTTTCCCTCGGATCACGCAGCTGCTGGGGATGCCAGCCTACCAGTACTACGTGCTGCTGGGGCTCTCTGTGTCTGTGGGGGGCCTGACAGAGACCACGGTGAGAGCACCACTCCTGTTTGCTTTTAAACCTGCTGGGCTTCTTGTCTTTCACATGAAAGGTGTCATTATCTCGACTTGCTCCCTTCCCTCCCCTGAGCGCGCGGGGGACAAGGAGTGAGGGCACTTGGTTTCTCCTCTCCTGGCCTGGCAGGACCTGAGAGTTCCAGCCAAGTTCCAGCCAAATTCCAGCCAAGTTCCAGCCAAATTCAATGTGCTGACCCTCCCTCCCAGCTGGGATCACAAGTAGAGCCCCTCAGCTCAGTGCCTGGGGGTTGCTCTTCTGAAATGAGGTGAAAGCCAGTTCATTTGTCACCTGGTGCAAGGTGTTAACTGGCAGTTGTCAATAGGTGTTAACACTATGCTCAGGTTTCTTTTCTTAATTATTTTTGATACATTTTCTGCTGAAATACCAGTGAGATGTCAGAAGTTCCATTACAAAGAAGTATCATTCAAATGTCTGTCTCAATCCTCTGAGTTTTGCAACCCTTATTTCATTCTTCTGGCATGAACAATCTCTTTATCACTGGCTTTGGCAGTCTGCTATGCTGCCAAATTTTTCCCTACTTTCTTACAATTTTAGTGTATCCTTCTGCACTTCTATGACAACTTGGATTGGTTGTTTCAGAACTCTTGGTTTCCAGATATTTGGCTTAGAATGTTTTTTGATTTGTTGTAGCCAAAGATGTAAAATATAAGAAGGCATTTTTTGGGGTAAGGACATGGTTCAATATGACACCACAGGGAAATATCAGACCAGTAACAGAATATTTTAGACTATCAGTTAAGTCTTTAAATCCCAGTAGTCCTGTAACAGGAGGAGGAGGAGGCTGTGAGTCACCACCCCAACAGTGGTTAAGAGTGTTTCTAATTAAGATTTCCATCTCAAATTAAGAAAACTGGTAGAAAAGTGAAAAGTGCTGAGAAACAGAGTTTTTGTGGAGGGGGAACAAACAGCTCCTGCTGGGTCACAGAAAGAAGGAGTTAAAACCACCTGGAGCTTATCTCCCATGGCTTCCCCTTGTCAGTCACAACTTGCCCAAGTGATGTTTTTTTGCCTGGTGCTGTGGGTTCAAGAGATGTCTTTGAGCCTTTGGGTCTGATGGAGCAGAGTATTCGGTTTCTGTGCAGTCTCCTGTATTTAAACCAATTCTGAGCATTTTAATGCTTCTAAAATGGCAACTAATTATATGGCAACAGCTATTTTAAAACTTTGAAAACATGTGTGTGTTGGTTTGTGACAGTAATTATCAGATAGACAATAACTCTTAACAGATTTCTTTAATAGCAAACATGCACATGAAATTCAGCTTTCAGTCAAACACAGTTAATTATAGGAGGCTCCACCAAAACCAAAGTTATTTGTCTAAGTATAAAAAGAAGGAAAGTTTTGGAGAAACAGACATTCTGGCTGCTAGCTGGGGTCAGAGGAAAATTCTTATTCAATATTTTTTTTTTTTTTTTTAAGTCCCAGTTGCATTTAGTTATGAAAAGTTGGAGCAGTTTAGTTACATGCAGCTCCCTTCCCTTGTTACCATCTTCCAGTGTGTTAAGGGAAACTTAAATTGTGAAATGTTAACCTGTCTGTGGTCCTCCAGTTTCCTCTAACACTAAAGGCTTGTTCTGGCTAAATATTCGAGAGTTTTGGAAAGAAGATGACAATTCTCTCTTGAGTCAGCTAGAAAGGTGAGGGAGGGAATTACACTTGGGGATATATGTGTGTGGTGAATTAATTTTAATATCTAAAATGTGATACAGAAATTAGAATTGATGTGTTTTACAATGACTGGTATTCAGAGTACTCTGACAAAACCTCTAGCATTCTTTGCTCAATATCCAGAGTGTGATTTAAAACACTGATAGAAAATTTTAAGAACAATCCTATTAAATCCATATGAAAGAAGCAGCTTTTTAAAATCTTGGATGGAGGAAAAGGATTATTGGAATATGTGTTCTTGCAGTAATATGTGTGTTCTCTTCCCTCTCTCACTTCAGAAGTATCTGTGCACATGCACACATGGACATGGAAGTTAGAAAGAAGATTCTTGTATATACTGCGAGATAATCTGAGTTCAAATGTCAGTTTGTGTTTTAGTCATCTCAGGGAATTAACAGGAGAAAGGCTCTGTTGTAATTCCATGGTCAGTGGCAGTTTAGCTGCAGCTAAAATTGCTCTGCAGTATATTTAGCAAGAGTAGTTCTTTGTTTGGCTTTTTAAAGAGATTTTCTGGAATGAGCCGTGTGGGGTCTCTGAAGTGTTTTGGTGGCAGTGGGGCTGCTGGAAGAATTGTAGCTCAGGCATTGGAAGTAATCTGGAAAAACAGAAGATGTCATTCCCTGTGGGATTTGGCACTCTGCTCCATCACCATGGTTCAAAGGGCACTTTCTCTGTGTAAAAGAATCTTCTAATTATACATCTGGCCCACAGTGATGCATATTTCTTATGGCTGCATAAAACCCCTCAGTCTGTGCAGATCAGATGTACAATGCTATTCTTTCTCCAGTGCACAAACCCTGCAATTGCAAGGGTCAGGATATAATTTTGATATAATTTCATTATTGTTGAACTACATTACATTCAAAAATTTTTTTGAAGCACAGAATGTCCCGTGATTGCCCTCCCCTCTAAAGAGTGAAAATTGTATTTTAAAATGGTACAGAAATTGTAAGTAAAGCCTTTTTTTTAAAAAAAAAGGGAACAACATATTCTGAACTCTTAAAGTTCCTCCCAGGCAGTACCAGAGTTGTGTTACTGTGTTAGATCTCACAAACAAAATTATTGGGAGCTTAGTAGATGATATTCTAAAACATCTGGTTACTGGGACAAATTGTATGCAAATCAATGCATATTTGGTGGAAGAAACAAAATCTGCTTTTCTTGGTTGAGAGTTCTTGAGCTAAATACACTAAATACACTTGAGAATAATCTCAGGCATTCTTTTCTTGCAGTAAAAAAATAGTGTGAATTATGATATTCCTACTTCATGTAAGGTATCACTGCTGCAAGGTACAATCCAGAGCCCTTGGATGTGGATCAGGTGTCTTAATCACTGATGGGTGGCTGAGATTTTGGATGGAACAGATGCTCTGTTACAAACTGGATGCCTTAGCTAATTCTTTTTGACCATATCAGTCCCACCTGTTGTCTCAAGACTGCTTTTAGGAGTGCTGTACCTCTGTTCTGCAAAGCTGACTGGGAATGGTTTCATGAAGGTTTGTGTGGAAACCACTCCAGGCACCTGCCCAGAGCTGCCAGTGCCTCTCTTGCTGGAGCTGCACTTGCTCCTACCTGTGCCCTGCTTCAGGAGGTTAAATCTTCAGGATTTGGATTCTGGCATCAGGTGAGGGGTGCCTTTGAGCACTCTGCATTGTCCATCTCCTGTCACTGCAGGATCTGCTCTTGCCCTCAGTGCTGGGGCACTCACGTGAGCCTTGGCAAACCCTGGCTTTGCTGTTTCAGAAGAACAAGGTCATTCTCAGGCCTCCTCTCACATTTGTATCCAAAGTTGTCCCAGTTCCAGCCCATTACCCTCCTAATTTCCTTTCCCAGTCCTCGTGGAACCCCAGGGAAAGGTAAATGTCACACGTTTGATGTAGTGAGAATTTGTGTTCTGTGGAGATGAGGAAGACATTTGGAAATATTCTTCTTTGCAAAGACTCAGGAGCAGTTAAGGTTACAACTCAGATACTGAGCCTGGGACAAAAGGAGCTCACCTGAGGAGGAGATGAGGATTTAGCCTGTCCATGTCATGTTGTGCTGAAGTTTCTGTCAGGACTGGGGAAAAAAATCCCCAATTTTCAATCTCCCAAGCAGTTACATGATGGATTATCCACACCTGTGCTTCTGTATTGTTTAATTCCTTGTGCTGTCCTCATTCTCCAGTTTCTGAGATCCTGCTGCTCTGCTTTGGTTTGGCACAGCTCTGGAGCACCCCACCTGGAGCTGTGCTTGTTGCCCTTTACTTTCATGTCCTTTCTTGCCTTTTCAAGTCCTTTGTATGTGCAGAGAAAGCACTGAGTCGTTCAGCTTCCTTCAAAAAAAAATGATGTGAGATATCTGAGGAAGTTTGAGACAAAAGAAATAGGAGAGAAAATGACACCACCTAAGATTTTTTTCTGAGGTGGGATTTCTTCTGCCTGTTGATCTCTGCTCTTGGAAGGTGTTAAGACAAAATAATTCTTCTTTATTTATAATAGTCTTAAATGCACAGATTGTTTTAAAGGGGATTATATAATAATTAAGCAGATCTTGAATTTTCAGGAAATACCTCTTTCAACTGTATATCCTATGAAGACCTTTCAGTGTCAGGACCCAGTTTAAACTGGGCACACTGGGACACACACCAGTGTCACTTTAGGAGTGTGAAAGAGCCACACTGGGTTCAGTTCATTGCAGCTGCCTTGTACAGATTTTACTGAGATTTGGCTGTTACTCTGAAACTCAATAACTGAATAATTTCTCCAAATTGTTTGACCTTTTAAAAGAAATATCTGTACTCTTGTGTTGCCCAGGATGTTTCAGTACAGAACAAAGTGTTAAGGTTTCAGACTGTGCTGCTTCCCAGGATTGCTGGGCTGTGCTGTTTGCAGGCTGAAGCTTTGGGAAAATAGCTGAGAGTTTTGAGCTAAGGCTAAAATGTTTCTTTTGGGTACTGAGGAACCCATAAACATGATATGAGCTTTGTTAGATAAAAAGAATTTTGTTTAAATAGAGATTCCTCTCATTTGCTTTTGGGAAGACACTTGTGACGTTTCTCATCCTCATCATTTTATTTTCTTTCCTCGATAAAATGGTCAGGCCTCTGAGGAAAAGGGGATTCCCACAGAGGCTGTGCCTGCTCCCATCCCACTCAGCAGGTCCATGAGAGAGCAGCTGGCCTGGCAAGCACTGTGGCTTCTGGAGATCGTGGAATCAGGGAGTGGTTTGGGCTGCAAGGGACCTTAAAACTCATCCAGTCCCACCCCCTGCCATGGCAGGGACCCCTCCCACTGTCCCAGGTTGCTGCAAACCCCGTCCAACCTGGCCTTGGGCACTGCCAGGGATCCAGGGGCAGCCAGAGCTGCTCTGGATCTCCCCACCCTCATGGAGAAGCATTTCTTCCCAATATCCCATCTGAACTGTGGGGAGCTGCTGAGTGATGCTGCAGGCTGTGCTGGTTGATGGCCAGTGTGACCTCTGGGCTGTGTCCAGCTGAGCCTTGAGCAGCAGCTCTGAGCCCTCCTCTGCCATCCTGCTAAGCTGGCTGGTTAACTTCATGCAGTTAATCCATCAGGCAATATTTCTCTGAGTTGTGTGTAATTTTTAACCTGATTTTGCTGATGGTTTGTGTGGCCCAAGAGCTTGTCTACATGGTCCAGTCCCATCAGCTGTTTAATAAATACTGCTTGGTGAAATCCTGGGGTGCTCCTTCACCTTCAGAGTCATAACAGCATTATTATTATCTGAAGTGAAGCAGGATAATCATAGTGCTTTGAGGATGTTTTATTTGGAGAGAAAGAAAACAATGAGCCTTTAATGTGGTCTTTTGTCCTGCAATAGCAAACTTAGAAAAAAAAAAAACAAAACTATTTTTTTGAAAATGGGTTAGTGCAGGTGAAATAGCCCTGGTCCTGCTGTCACTGATCCTTGCACGTGGCTGCTGCTGGAGGAGTTCCCAGTGCAGCTGTGCTCAGCTGGGAGGGACAGGGCACTCCTGTAGTCCCTCTTGGGGTGTGCCTGTGGCTTTTCCCTGTCCTTCACTGGAGGTTCCTTCTGTTGCAGCTCAGATACTCTGCTCAGAGCCTGTTTGACTACATGAAGAAAATCCAGAGTGACCCCAGTGCTTTGGAGAGTTTTTGTGAGACACTGCTCAAGGTCTTTGAGGACAACCTGCGGAATGACCGGTAATGGTTTTCCTTGGCTCTTTTCCCTCTGACAGCCTTTGGAAATCAGATGTGTGGCACTTCTAGTGAATGCCCAAGGGATGTGCTTTTGCTTTAACAGAGCTGTCTGGTACAGCAGGACCTGTGGTAAAACATACAACCAAGGAGTGATGGCAAAATATTTTGTGCATTCAAGTTTTTAAATTGTAGAATGGTTTGGGTTGCAGGAGGCTCGGAGCTCATCCCATTCCAGTCTCCTGCCATGGGCAGGGACACCTTTCGCTATTCCAAGCCCCATCCAACGTGGCCATGGACATTTCCAGAGATCCAGGGTCAGCCACAGCTTGTCTGGGCACCCTGTGCCAGGGCCTCCCCATCCTCACAGGGAAGAATTTCTTCCCAATATCCCATCTAAACCTAATCTTTTTCAGTTTGAAGCCATTCCCCTTGTTTGTCATTACTGTATTTTTATTTTGTTTCTTGTCTCAAGCGTTGAAAACATGGCCATGGTTATTCCAATTGACATGTGTTGGATCATTTGGTGCTGTAACTTCTGATACAGTCTGTGGAATTTCTTGTTTATGTTCTAGAAAGCAGATGAATATTTTCTAATACTGTCAATTGTGTTTTTGGGACCCTGCAAATGTAAAGCAGGTGTGTTATTAATTAGGATTTTCCCTTTTGGCTGGGAGGGGATGTCCCCATTCAGCCAACACACACAAGGAGCTGAGCAACCCTCCTCTGTGGAAATCAGAGTTCTAATTTACCTGTGTGTAGGTATGTAGGAAGTTTCTTGCTTTGCTTCTGATTAAAAATAGCATTTGTCTGTATGCCAAGAAGTGTATTTACCTTGTTGAATTACTTTCTTTCCTCAGGGTGTCTGTACCTCTGCTGACAATGCTGGACCAGATGCTGGCCAATGGCTGTTTTGATATGTTCACTGAGCAGGAGAAGTAAGTTGCTGGAAGTCTCTTTGGTTTATTTCCCACTGCACCACAGGGCTCTTCAGTCCTACCCTGGCTGCTGCTCTGGGGGGTGCACAGGGCTCCAAGTGTGAGTCTATATTGCAGTGCTTTAACTTTCCTGAAGTGGGACAAACAGCCTTGAAAGGCTCTTGATAAAGTCCTTGACTCGTGTCTGTGTAGAAGTTTGTTATTTGTTCATTGTTTGACAGCCAGGACATTCATCAAATGCGATTTGCATGTTTCACCTGGCATTCTTGGACCAGTATCAGATCTATTCTTTTTTTCCAGCTTCCTAGATCCCTGCTGCTTGGAGCACATTCCTTGCTGTACTGGGAGCCTTGACCACTGGCAGTGTCTCTGTGTGGTGCTGCAGAACCCTCTGTGCCCACAAGCTATGGCTCCCCCAGCCCCACTGCTTTGGTTAATGTGAATATCTCCAAAGATATTAATTAAGATCCTAAAAAGAATAATAAAAATAGTGTGTCCCAGCTCTTCCACCCTGAGCTCAGTCTCATGGAAAGTGTTCAGTTTAGGAACAGATGAATGTGAGTGAGATATTCCAATGTGAAATCATGGGGTTTTGCACATGTTTCAGAAAAGAATAATTTTAATTTCAGTAATATTAAAATCTATTCCACAAGCTCTCCCAGGCAGCATCTTGGCACATCTGCAGATATTTATAGAATTGTGCAACATAGATCCTGCAAGGACAGATCCTGGATTGGGAACTTGTTGATTCAAGAGTTGCTCACAGCAGATAAATCTGAAAAGCCTTCATCATTCTGAAAGTTTTGATTGAGCCCACTCTTGTCTTGAAGTGTGGTTTTAGATGATATTTCTTAAATTGTATTTGGCAGTCCCTGTTTGAATGGGAATTTAAAGTGAGTCAGAGACAGATGGAGTGAATATTACTTGTTGAGTTTGGTAATTGTGCCAGTGATCTGGGGCTTCCACACAGGTTCCAGTCATCCCTGCTGGGGAAGGTGAGAGATTGTGGATGGAAATTCCAGTCAAAGTCTCCCAGGTCACTGACCAGAAACCAAGTGGTAGCAGCAATGCCTTTGCTGTGTGAGTGACTCAGACTCAACCCTGTGGTGCCATTGTGATGCTTTGTGTAAAAGACCTGAAATAAAATCCATTGCTATTATGGGGAGAAAGATTTTGAAGCTGATCCAGACGTATTTGCCTCCAGTTTGATGATGAAAAAAAGAAAATTAACAATGAAGCAGCCAAGTGGATCATGCTCATGTCAAGGGAGTGAAATGCTGGCCTGGAGTGCAGAACTTGTTACCATACAGAGCCCCGGGAGTTGGGCTCACACAGAGCAGTGGGGAATTGGAAGACAATTAAAAGATGGAGAGTTTAGTTTGTGCATGTGGCAGATTTTGGGAATGTTGGTGCCCTCCTGGTGCAGAGCTGGCCAGGGGTGAGTTACTGTGGGTATTACACAGGGAGACAGGTGAATACCCAGGGCTCTGCCATGCTCTGGGCATGGATCAACACATGGTGGGAAAGCCCAAAATTCCATTTCTTGGAATGTTTGCCTTTTGTTACTCTGGTAAGTCCTTTGGGTGTAGTTAGGGATGGATCCACTGATCCTGGCTCCAAGGCCTTCCTGCCTGCCCCTGCTGTTGGATGCCACCAACTCTTTTTTGCACAGAAAAATCTGACTTTGGGTCTGGTCTCTGGAATGGAACCATTTACTGCCTTTCCAGAGCAGCCTCCATAGAAACGTGTGAGAAATCACAGGGTGGGTGGGAAAACAGAGGCACTGCTTGGTGACATGGAGAGGCCACATGTGCCTGCAGGGTCAGGTGCTTTTGTGCAGAGTGTGCCTGAAATACAAGCTGAGATACATGAGATACATGCTTGTATTTTTCCTTGGGATGTTCAGCTCCCATTTAATTTCCTTCCCTTGTTATTTTTTTTACCTTTGGGCTGAGTGGAGTTTTAGCAGGGGAATTGGCACGTAGGATGTCTGGCATCAGGATTATACCTAAAGCAGCTGACAAATAAGCAACTGTTGCATTGTAAAAAAGTGTTTGCAAATGCATTTTGAAGTTTGAAATGGAAACTGTGTACTCTCCCACACATTTATTTTCTAATAAAACATCCACAGTCCAGAATAGGTAATATCCAACAGTGCTTAATTTAACCAGGATTAGGAGCAGGATCAGTTTAACCCGAGTGAGGGTTCCAGTTAAAATTAGTTGCCACAGGGTGTCACTCCTGCCTTGCACAGGTGGAACCTGCCAGGCATTTTCCTCTCTCTTCACACCCTACAGCTTGTACAGTTTAGAATATAAAGCTCAACATTTCTGGTGTGGTTCTGTAGCTGCAGCTCAGTGTTCAGGAGGCTCTGTGTGGTTGGTGTGTGATCTCTGCAAAAGGACAAGTGAGCCCTGGGTGTTGCTGCTCCACTGTCGTGGTTTGGATGCTCGTGCTCAAGGGAGGTGGATTTACCCTGAGTGGAGCCAGCAGGGGTGGGGAGTGTGGGGTAAATACCTGTCCTGTGGGGTTGGAAATGAATCAGCTTTAGTGTCACCAGGGTCATCAAAAGGCTTTCAGAACTGGCTCCTCTGTTGTGCTTGGCTTAGGGAAAGGAACAGCTGCTGGGCATATTCCAGCCCATTGAATGTTATTTCCTACCTGTCCTAAGGTGACATAAACCTGCTTATCCAGCACGAGAGGTTCCCCCTCCTGTGCTGACAGGAATGGTTTGTATCCCTGTGCCATGAATGGAGAACTGCTCTGGGTGAAAAGTGCTCTTCTCCCACTCAGCTTGAGGGGTTTCCTCAGTCTCTCAAGTTGTGCCAGCCTGGGAAGGGAAGGGAGGGAAGTGGGTTTCTCCTGGCAGCAGGGCAGGGGGGTGCTGGGCTGAAGTGTGGGTGATGCTGCAGCATCACTGACCTGCTGCTCCCACCAAACAGGGCAGCAGAGCCCTCAGCTCTGTGGTCATGCAGCCCAAACCCTCCTGATTCCATCCCAGAGCAGTTTGTGGAGCTGCTCTTGAGCCAGTGCAGGGAGAGTTTGTGGGCTGGGGACTGCAGGCAGCGGGCACACCTCGGAACAGAGCTCTCAGAAATGCAGCAGCATGGGCTGGGCTGCTGGGAACTCACCAGTGGCTGCTCTTAAAGCCCAGAGGTACCTGGCAGCTCCCTGCTGCTCTGGGGGTCCCTTAAGGCAGGACAAAGCAGAGTGAGCTGAGGCTGCTGGCAGAGCTGGCATTGGAGTGTCACAGGCTCCTGCTGCTCCCGTGGCTGGGGGGTCCCCGGGCTGCTGGGACTGCCCAGAGCCCTGTGCTCTGCTGGCTCCTTGCAAGTGTGGTAAGATGGGTCTGATACTCAGTGCCATGTAAACAGAACTGCCTTGGAATGACAATTCAGGATCTGGTGCTCTCTGGGGTACTAAGTGGCATTTCTCTCTTACATGTACATAGTTTACACATTCAATAGAAGCACCCATGTATTCTGTTTTTTTTCTGGTGATCTGCAGTGCTTTAAGAAAGTGTGTCCCCACTGATTTTCAGCTGATAATTTCCACGTATCTATGCTCCTGTGGATTGTTTTTTTAAGCACTTTTACTGCTCCTGCATGAACAGCCATGCAGCAGAGAGTGGCAGTGGCTGGTGGCAGTTCCCCTGGCGATGGCAGCAGCACTGCTGGGACCCAGCTCACCTGGAGGAGGGACAGCAGCAGCCCTGGCAGTGCCACCTGGCAGTGCCCAGCTCCCAGAATGCAAAGAGAACTCCAGACTCATCCCTTTTCCCCAGTGCTGTGCTGTTCCTGCTGGCACAATGCCCACACAGGAGAAGGAATTTTCTCAATTTCCTTTACAGAGGCCAAACTATTTGAGTCATTTGAGATCACACATAGGTTAGGTTTGGTTATTGCAAATGCAGAATTGGCAACCAACAGAAAGGAAAGTGCATCTGTTTTAAACACAAAATGCTGCTCATGAGGTTCCATGTTTCAAATTTATTCCAGATGCTCTTGTTGCAGTTGCTCTCTTTGTTGCTCCCCTTCTCAGTGATGTCCCTGTTGTTGAACCAGTTTAAATCTCACTTAATTCACTGTATGGCCTGGCCTGTGCTGGGGGCCAGGCAGGCACTGCAGGGGTTGTAATCAGCTGTCTGCACAGGGGCTTTGTGGAACTGGGGTGGGAGGAGGAGAAATTCCACCAAGGTAAGACAAAACATACCTCAGCATTCAGAGAGCTCTTCCTTCACCACCCACACAAACCCATGCCTGTAGACAGCCATGGACTCATTCATGGAGATGGCTGCTGTTCCCACCACCTGTAGAATTCTTTACCTCAGTTTACCGTGGTTTGTTCATGTTTTTTAAACAGGTCACTATTTGCCAGTACGTGCCAGGATTTTATTACAAATTTTCAAAAAATCATTAAAAATCACTGACTCTTGTCTGGAAAACTCTACAGAACAAGGCATATTACCTTAACAAAACATCTTGGCATTCCTATAAACATTTTAAATGTTCTGCCCTTCAACAGATGACAGTACCCAGCTTTCTCCAGTAGTTTTTACTCACAGCTTTGAATTGTGATAGCAGAAAATGAATGTTACTATTTTTGCTCTCTGCTTTCCATACACAATGCAGTGAGGTTTCCAAAATACACAGCCTAGGAGTTACTGTGCTCACTAGACAAATATGAAATAGTTTCTTTTGCATCTATGGCACTTCAGCCTTGAGTGTGGCAAGTAAAAGATTAAATAATTTGAACTGAAATAAAAGCATTAGTCTCTCTTTCCTTCTCTTTAATAGCTCTTTGGAATAACTAACAGTACTTGTGTTTGTACGAGTGTCTGGGAAAGAGCTGTGAGAATCACGTTTCCCAGACTGTGTGGAAAGAGAAAAGAATTTGTTAAATATATTTAAAGATGGCTTCATGGCCTGCACACGTAATAGAACTGTGAGCCCTGTGTTTAATTATGTTGTCTGGAATCACTGGAGGAATTTGGGCAGTGAAATGGTGGAGTAGTTAAGAACAACATTCATCCCCTTTTATGTAAAGTTTGGTTGGAGACCTTAGGGAATGACCATGATGATACACAGACTAAGGAAGTGTTATTTGGCTATAGGATAATGTAATTCCTGACACAGTATTTCTGATCATTCCACACTGTTTAAACACAAGCCATGGCAAGCCACTTACCCTGCATGGACTGAACCTGTTTGGCTAAAAGGAGTTCACTCTTCAGCACACAGACAATAGCAATGTAAAAAATTCATAACAATTTCTTCCTTCCCTTGTTAAAAAATGAAAAGTCCAGGACTGTGGTGGCCAAACTCTCCTGAGCTGCTGGAGGGGAAACACAAACCACCCTGCAGTGAGTCCTGCCTTGCCTTGGAATGTTAGTTTGGCATCCTGACAGTCATGAAATGTCTTTGAAATTCTGCTGAAACCTTCTGCTCATCTTTTTTTCTTTCCCATTTTCAGCCATCCCTTCCCAGTGAAGCTGTTCACCCTCTGTAAAGAAGAGATCAAAAGGTCCAAAGACATCCGGAAGCTTCGCTCCAGCATAGGAGTGTGAGTTAATGAAATCAATCTTCTCTCCTAGGAAGTGAAGAATCTTTAACTTGCCAGATGCAACAGGTCTGGTTCATGTAGAATTTAAATGGAAAATACACAGAGATACATGTGATTGAAGGTTGTGAGAGTCTCAGAGCTCTGGATGATCTGATAAAGTTGTTGAAGTTTTAAAATTCTTATAGTCCTAAAGATGCTTTAAGGGAATGGTTTGTTTTTTCTTTGTAGAGAGCACAGCTTCCCCTCCCTGCCTTTTTCCCAATGTCCATCTTCATCCTAATCCTCAAAATGCACTTGTGCAGTCATAACACAAGATCTGTTTTTTTCTGATATTTTCTAGATTCTGTGGCCTGATTCAGTTTCAAGGAGACATGAGAGAGAAAGTTTTCTTCCAGTTGTTCCTCCTCCTTTGCCATCCCTTTCCTATCGTAAGTGCTGAAGACTTTGCACATTATCAGCTCTGTTCTTTACCATACTTTACAAATGAAAAATAACTGAAAGTGTATTAAAGCAGCATTCTCTTTAGCAGGTATTAGTGTAGAGCACAGGCTTTATTTCCCAAGGATCTGCCCCTGACACTGCTGGCTGCCTGCCACGTACCTGCTGTGCCACATGTGCTGCCCTTCCACCTCCTGCCCTTACTGGTTAAACTGGGAGCAATGCAGGTGCCTCAGCCATTTGTTTCTGGGAAGACCTGTGCACTATTTAGTGCTGAAAGCTCCAACCAGATAAGTTACTCTCAGTTCTGTGCCATTTCTGAGAGTAGCAACACTGAAGAAGGGCTGTTCAAGGAAAATAAACTTTTTTTATCAGGTGTGATAAAAGCTGGTGCAGTGCAGAAAGGTTTAGCAGAATTTTTACCTTTTCCCTATAACTTAACAGGACACAAAAATCTGAGTATGTACAAGAGATCATGTTTGTGATGACACTATTTTAGTCCTTTAAAATCTGTGTGGACTTAAGAAGGCTTGGGGTTTTTTTCAGTGCACAAACCTGGGAGCCCCTGACCCTGCAAAGTTTGGTACTTGAGGTTTCTGTTCCATTTCCATGTTGTGTGTTTTTGCTCCATGAGGAATCCTTTGCAGGAGGGACACAATGTAAGAGATGAAGAGAAATAATTTCAGTTCTGTGGTTTATTGGTTTTTTACATCACAAATGTGTTTTGTTTTTACAGGTGGGTCAGTGGGATTTGGGTCCAGAAATAACCCTGTAATTCCTTTGCCTTCCTTTGGCAAAGTTGGGCCATTCTCACATGTTTGAATTCCTTCCCTATGAGGGACAGAGGTGTGGAAATGGGAAATCCTGCACTGAGTGTAGGAGCAGGAGTTCTGTGGGGTGCTGAGATGAAATTCCCTGAGGTGCAGAAGGAAGGTCCCTTCCTGCGGGAAATCCCTGTTGGAGGCAGGTGACACAAGGTGACAGCAGCCAGCTGAGGGCCCAGCACCAGTGACAGCTCTGGGCTCTTCCCTGTGGATCAGAGCATCCAAAGGAGCCCACGAGGATGGTGAAGGCTCTTGAGGGAAAGCCGTGTGAGGAGCAGCTGAGGGCACTTGGTGTGTTCAGCTGGAGGAGACTGAGTGGAGCCCTCAATGGTGTCACAACTTCCTCATGAGAGGAGGAGGAGGGGCAGAGGAAGGGCAGACACTGATTCTGCTCTGGAGTTACCAGTGACAGGACTTGGGGAATGCCCTGAAGCTGTGCCAGGGGAGGTTTGGGTTGGATTTCAGGGAAAGGTTCTTCCCCCAGAGGCTCCCCAGGGACTGGGCACGGCCCTGAGGCTGCTGTGGACACCTCAGGGTGCACAGGGGCTGCTCCTGGGGGGGTGCAGGGCCAGGACTGGGCTGGGGGATCCCTGGGGGCTCTGCCCACGCTGCCCCTCCCGCAGGTCCGCAAGACGACGGCGAGCCAGGTGTACGAGATGCTGCTCACCTACAGCGACGTGGTGGAGCCGGCCATCGTGGAGCAGGCCATGGCCATCCTCAGTGACACCAACTGGTGCGTGCAGTGCTGCTCTGAAACACCCCCTGTGCCCTGCAGTCACCAAAACACACTGCCTTTGAAAGCTGGGGGAGGAAGCTGTAAGAAGTGGGTTCAGCTCTTTAGTGCTTGCAGGCCATGAAAGCAGTGCTGCAAGAATTCCTCTCCTCTCAAGAACTCTCCAGGATACTGGCCCCGCTGCAGGGGGATGTATAAAATCACCATTAGATAAAGTAAAATACCCATATTTTTCTAACTACATAAAAAGGGAGGAAATCTTGGAAATTTTCCATGAACCAGAGACTGGGCTGTGCAAACAGTCAAACTTCAACTGTACAGACAGTTTCTTGGCATTTATGAGCACTGGCAGGATTTGGGGAAAGGAAGGATCTCTGCAAGCTGGAAAACAACAGAATTAGCAGAACAGCTCAAATCTCCCATGAAATGTAATTACTCAACATGCTACAAGCGTTGTATTCAAGCAAAGATTTGGAATTGGAGCAGTTGAGATGTTTCCCAGGCATAGGATGGCATGAATTAAACAACCACTTCATGGAATGTAATTCATTTTTTTCCCTCCTTTTACCTGTACTGTTACCTTCTTCCAGGGACAAGGGAAGAGGGTCCTGTTCTTCATGAGCATGATCCAGTGACTTTCAGAGCAAAGGAATCATTCCATGAGCAGCTCTGCAGTGACAGGAGCAGGGAACCAGCACTTTGGAACTGGATTTTCCCCTTTCTGAAAATTCTAGCATTGGGCATTATCATCACCTGGGCAGACTGATAAAAGGTTGCATAGCTGGGAGATTTGAGAAAATACAGAATTTGAAGATAAATGATTACTTGATTAGTTTTTCTGCCTTGTTAAATATTTTTCCTTGTCACAGACCTGGGCCAGCACAGCAGTCACAGAGAACAGACAAATATAGAAAAATATATCATTTATTTAGTCATTATATTAAATGGCTGTCTTCATTGACATTTCATGGAAATAAATTTATCCCAGACAAGCTCAAAGAACAAATACAGATTAAGAGTGGGTGACAGAGTTGCAGACTGCATGTTACACTGTTTGGCTTTTATGCAGTTTCCAGTTTATTTCCATGCTTGAGTTTATAATAACTTTATATTTGTGAAAAGAAAGCTGAGTTTATCATTAGGAGGGGTGGCTGCTGCTCTTTTTCTGAATTTTCCAGTGCAAAATTAGAACAAGAGTCTCAGGTTTGAAGGGGTGGTTGCCAGCAGTTCTGCCTGTGGTTACAATTCCTTGTTTACATGGAAATTTAGGATTGTGTTGGGTCTGACTCAGAACTCCATTAGGAAACCTGCATTTAAGAGCAGGCTTGCTCAGGAATTGCATGAGGAATTTGTTACCTGGCACTGAGCAGGATGAGCTGAGTGCTGTCACAGGGGATGGCTCCAGGGCCAGCACTCACAGGGGTGCAGGAGAAGCAGTGGCAGTTCAGCTCTGCTCATAAGTAACTGGGTTCCTGAATCCAAACAAAACACTTCCCCAGAAAAATGAATATTCTCTTTTCACCCTGTCATTTTTAGGGTGTGCCTGGCTTTTTCTGGCTTGGAGCAAGCCCTGGGTACCCTGCTGCACTATGGCCATTGCTCTGAGATGAAAGACAAAAAGCTCATGTACTCAAAACTGATTTATCTTGGTAGATTTGTTTGCAGAAAAAGAGATTTGAAGTTCTTGCTGTCACAGTGAGCTGCTTGTTTTCCTCAAGCTTTCCCAGTGCTAAAATAATCAGTCTAAATTCTGAATTACCCTAAGTATTAGCAGCAGGAAGACAAATGAGAATTTGAAGGGATATGATAATTACTGGATACACAAATTTTCCTTGTTGGGACTCCAGAGACTTTTATCATACAGTTGTGTCATACAGAGTTTAAACAAATTACTCTATAAATAATAGATTTTGTTTAGCCACAGGAAGGTTTCCAGTAAATAAGATAAACTGTCCAAGGTGTGAAAAAAAAAGTTGAAGTGATTTCTAACTCGCCCTTTTTTGCTTTTTCTCTACAAAGAGGATGGGAGAGTCTTCTCCAAATCAAATAACTTTAGAGAATCAATTAAATGAACTTCCAGTCAAAAGGGCTGTACAAATAAGTAGGGTTTTAGTATAAAACTCTATAAAATAATAGTCTTGGTCATTTTATTAGCCACTGGTTACCTGTGGCAGATCTGGTGGGTATTTGTGGTTTACCTGACTTAGGGTGGTACAAAAATGGTCCATTACTCTTCAGATGTGACACAAGAACTGCTGGCATTTGAAATCTGCACGAAAGGACAGAGCCATTGTGATGCAGGGCTGACCTGGATCACTGAGGGAGTTGTGTGGATGTGAATTAACTGAAACAACCTCTGCTCTCCCAGGGAAGCAGAGCTGCCCGTGGTGAGGGAGAGACGAAACTGCCTCTGTGACCTGCTGCAAGTGCCCCGACCCCAGCTGGTGACCAAGGTGAGGTGGGAAGTGCTCCAGGGGGTGCTTTGTTCATGGAGGTGTCCCTGAGCTGCTCCCAGCCAGCTGCAGCACACGTGGGATGGCTGGAGCTGCTGCCTCAGGCCCTTCCAGCCTCATTCCACAGAGCATTCCAGGCTGGCAGCGCCACATTCCAGACACAGATGTGCAGCCACTGCTCCTCTGCCCTTCCTGGGGAAAGGGAAAAGACAGGAACTTCTCAATTTCAACAGCAAGATGATGACAGGAGGTGGTGTGCAAACCACAGGATTGCAGCACTGCCTCTGTGCATGAATAGCATATAAAACCATAAAGTGCATGTGTGTGTGTGTATATATATATGTAATATATGTATATGTTATTTATATTTTTAGATAGTTTGGATGTGCCCACCCAGCTCAGTATGTCAGAAGTACAGAACTTTCTGCTTTGGTAGGGGTTCTAGAAGAGGTTTTTAGTGTTTTAAAGAATATGGGTTACTGTGTGTATATAAATATTTATCTTTCTTTAAAGACTCATACTTAAGACACTGTGAATACCCTTCAAAGACCTCCTGCTGCCTCATAGCAGTTTCTTCACTCATTTTCCAGTTTTTACCATCTGCTTTTAGTACAATTTTAAGAAACCTCAGCTAACATTTTTATAATTCTGGAAAACAAGACTCTGAACCTCCTGCCCAGACAAGGAGTTGTTTTTAGAATGAAAACTGACCCGAGCGTTGCTTTTAAAGATTTTCTATCAAGTAATAGAAAGGTTATGCTCAAAATAAGAGATCTTACAAGATGAACTCTCTGATCACAAAAAACCTCCTTATTTTAATTCTTAATTATTGAAGGCTGAGAGAAGATTGATGCTTAAGGAGAAAACTGTCTCTGGGATAAACAGAATAATAAGAAATATCCAAATACACGTCCAGGTATCTCCAATGGAGCTGGTACAGGTGGGATCTGGATCTTTTGTGCTCAGTTTGGAACTCTCCCCTGAGCAAAAGCAGTCAGAGCTTCCAGCCCAGAGCTGAGCCTGCAGCTCACGGTGCCACTGAGGAGGAGGAGGAGGATCTGTCCCAGCTGTCCCTGTGTCCCCAGTGCTGCTCCCAACAGTGCCCAGAGCTCAGCTCAGGTGGGAGAAGCTGAGAGCTGAGAGAGGAGGCCAAGCATGGCAGGAGAAAAAGGTGAATGAAGTTGGCTTCAGCTGAAATCAACACTTTCTACTCCTTTAAATTTAGTACAACTAAATCTTGCTGGAGGACATTTCAGACCGTGGTGTTAAAAGGACTAAAAGGACAGCTTTGCCTTTTCTTTGCTGTTCAGGTTTGTTAATTACCTGGCTAGGACAGTGCCAGGACAGCAATGCCAGACACCTGCTCTATGTGACCTGTCCTTTTCCTTTCTCTCTGGCAGAGCTCAGCATGAGGAGGAGCCCTGGGCTGTCCTGGAGCTCGTGGTTCCTGTGCTGCCAGGATGGGAAGAGGCTGAGCCGTGGCTGGATCCCCACGTGCTGGATCTCAGCAGAGCTGCACAGATCCTGCACTGCTGCACAGGAGAGGCAGAGCCTGTCTGAAAGCACAGATTTGCCACAGGAAGACAACCAAAATTCCATGTTTTCAATTTTTAATGTTGCTGTCTGGCAGGTTCTTGTCATGCTCTGTCACACTGACCTGTCTGGTTTGGTGTCAGTGGTTTGTGACTGAACGAAGCCTGTGCTTCTACACACACCAAGAATTAAACCTGACCTGCTGCACTGGTCTCTTCAAGATTTATTTTTCAGAGTGAGAATGGCAACACTCAGTGATGCTGAAATCACCCTGAGTATCAAGTGTCTCTGTGGAAAAGTCTGTCATTCCTATGTCACAATCAAACAAAAACCCCAGGTTTCACTTCAGCTGATGTCAAAGCCTCTCCTACCAGCTCGTTATGTAACTGATTCAGGCAAATTGTTTTTGTGGTACACTCAGTTTTGAAGCAGGTGACTCAGTTCTTCAAGCAGCTGCCAGGAATCCAGCTCATTTCTTACCCCTTACAAAATGAAATAGCTTCAAAATTGATTTTTAGTGAGATCAGTGGGATGGGGAGGTCAAATGCACAGGCCACATCATATTGTAATTACACTGTTATTTTATGGCTGTAATTAAATCCCACTATCCCAACACTTGAACAGGGGCTGTGTGTGTATACAGACACTTCTCTACAAATTTGAAAGGAAGGAAAAGTTCAGGCAGAGAAGCTAAAACCAAGCCAGTTTCTCTGTGAAGTAAATGTTGCAACCTGCAGGTGCTCACTTCCAACGCTCCAACCCGGCTGGCTCAGATGCTGTTTGGTTTTGAAGAAAGTAACTTTAAATGAGCTTATTCAACACTTCTTAAGGATTCTTGCAAGCTGGACTGGCAGGTGGAATTAGTGGAGCTCAGGGTTCTTCACTGACTGTTTCACTGAGCTCCCACTGAGCAGAGCTATTTGCCACGTGCTGCACACACCCCAGGAGGAAATGCTCCTTCACCCACAGCCCCTGCGCTGCCCCACTGCCACTCAGAGGGAACTTTCTAGAATGTTCTTGAGAGATTTTGGGTTGTAAAGTTACACCTGTAGGTCCCTGCTGCAAGAACAGCACAAGCTGTGCTGGCACAGCCTGAGTATCCAGCAGGGGAAGGTGCAGTGGGAATGGTGAGGAGCTGCAGCTGGGCTCACCTGGCTGCCAGGTGCTGCCAGAGCCTCAGCTGTGCTTCTCACACAGCCCCAAAGCTGAGGATGCTCCCTTTGAACCAGCCCTGGCCTCTGCAGAGCCCTGGGAAACACCAGCAGCTCTCAGAGAATGTGCTGGGAGTGGGGAAGGGCTGAGGGCTCCAAACAGTGTGTGACAGAGAACTCTGCACTTGCAGCGCTTCAGGCTTTGCCCAAATCTTCCCTGTGATTACAGTGCTCTGGAAACCCAAAAATGGCCTGTGCCTGGTGGGTGTTAAAATTAAAAACAAAATTAGAAACAAAATTTCCCACTCCAACTGAGTGATGTGCAACAGTAAAAGTGAGCACACAGCATTACCCCAGTGTAACTGTGACCTCCCTTACAAAGGGGTTACTCAGCCCAAAGATTAAATTAACAAAGCACAGATGACTCAAATGTTCTAAATCCCTGAAGAATTTGGTCTTCCTGCACTCAGAAACACAGAGAGCTGCACACTTCAGTAGCACTGCCTCACCTTGGTTTAGTTAAAGTGATAATAATCAACTCCTTCCTTCAGGTTCAGCGTGTCCAGGTTTGTTTCAAAGGCTCCACCTGTCAAGTCCTGTGAGGAAAGAACAAGAAAATGAGATCAAACTCATTTCAGGTTGGGTTACTGATTCTTTAGACCACAGAAAAAAATTCCATTTGCAGAACTAAACAAACCGAGTCTCAGGAAAGTTTCTACTCAAAAATTCAGGATATGTTGGAAAGTTAATTGTTCAAATCAGTGTGGGGAGAATATCAGACAACTCCTCAAAAGGGCTGCTCAGCCCAGCTCTGCTCCTGTGTTTGCTAACCCAGACATGGGCAGAAAATGGACCAAGGGAGTGAGCTGGACAAGTGCTTTGGGTGGATTTTGAGCACTGATTAAGTTGTCTGATAAAACAAGGCCTTCATCAAGCGGGTGAAATACTCTGCAGAGTTAAAGGTGTTTGCTCTGGGCCCCAGTTGAGTTACCAGGACAGGAACAGGGTGAATTTGGTCCATGAGGAACCTCAGTGATGTCATTAGGATAACAGGGAAACTTCAGCATTCCTGAGCACTGGGGTCTTCCTGGAATCCTTAATTACTGATCTTAAAGAATGGCACCAAGAAACCCCCAAAAATGAATTATAACAACATCTCAGGTGGGGGATGAAGCAGTTGCTTGTGTTTGTGTGGTTGGCCCAGCACAGCAAGGGTGAAGTTTTAACTGTGAATGTTTAGGATGGGAGGTTACAGAAATGGAGTCTCAATGAAACTGGAATTAAAGGAGTTTGGAAAAATAACCTGCTTTATAGAGGGGTTAAAAAAATACATAAGAGACCAGATGCTAAAAAAGTGGCAGAGTTGAAGACAAATCTTTCATTCCCAGAGCACAGGACAAACCAGGCAAGGCTGTATAATAAGAGATCTAACCACCAATTTTCTGAAAACTTTATACAATCAAACTAGTTCAATTACTATGAGAGAAAAATAAAAATCCCTTTCATTTCCAGCCACTGGAATCCAAGCCAAGCCAGGGCTCAATGCAGCATTTTTAAGTTTGTTTTTACCTCCAAGTGAGAGCAAACAGGGAGCACAAACCCTTGGGTGAAGTGCTCTGACCAGCTAAAGCCACACTTCCATTCTCTTCAGCAAAAACTCAGACACACAGAGCAGAATTCCAGCTCCAGCTGTCTGTGAAGCCACTATAAAATGCAAACTGAGCAAAGATCAGAGGATGCCTGCTTCTTCCAGAAGGATTTGCTCTGGTACCAAAACCACACCAGTGATCACAAGGGAGGAACTGCCTGAAAAATTAAATGAGCCCAAGCTGCTCCAAGTACTTGGCCAACAGAGTCACTTCTTGTAAACAACCCACTTAATAAACACATCTAATCCCCAAAATCACCCTCTTAGAGCTGCATAGAAACATGCAGGTTTTGTCTGTGTCAAAAGGAAAAATAATCCCCTACCACAAACAGCAAAATAAAAGCCAATAAAGCCCTTTAAAGCACACTTCCTTCTTCAGAAAATGGTGATGAACTTTGGATGGTAAAGAATAAGCAAGCAGAAAATGCTCAGTGGCCATGAAAAGAAAAATGGACTGAAATCCCAGCTGAAGTCAGAGACCAGAGTTTGCAGACAAGATGTTGTATAATAGTCTCATTGTAAGGGCTTCACAGATTAAATGTGCTTTAGAACAGGTTGCACAGATGTTTTGTCTGGGGACTTCCACCCACTGTTATATGCAGTATGAAAAATTAAATTAGTTGTAATAGTACTTGCTGATCCAAGAGTTTTATCAACCAACAGTACACAACAAAGCCCTGAGGCACTCTCAGGCTGGCTTTACAACCCTGAGTTAGAGCTGAGTTGATGATGAGGCTGGGAGTGCCAAGTTAAAAGCAGGCTGGAGCAGAGGAAAGGAGGTTCAGAGGAGAAGAGATCCAGCACAGCCTTAGGATGTCAGTGTTGTGTGGAGCTGCAGGTTTTAGTTGCTGTCAGAGGGGTTTATATTGGTGCTCACCACTGCAATGTATTTGCTATTTTAAAGCTTCTGTGTTATAGCAGCTTCAGAATTGCTGGTTATCATCTTCCAATTATATTATCAGGGCAATTAAACCAGTTGAATTAAGTTACCACAGTCAGATACAGAAGATGCTTCACAACTGGCAGGGCCAAACGAAATGGCTTTTAAGGTCTGATTTAAAAGAAAGCCTTTGCCATACATGGGGCTGCAAAATACTTGGCCCAAAGGAGGCTGAGTGCATGTGCTCATTGGGGTATATTTGGTTTTGGGCAAGGAAGTTCAACAGATTCAGCTCCTTCACAGAAGCTCTCCCTTTTCTTATTCTTAATTTTACCCAATACTGATTTAAATCCCAAAATACCTTGTGCAATCAGTTTGACAAAAAAAAAAAAGCCATTCAACTGTAGAGCAAAAGCTTCTGAGAAAAGCCACTTACAGTAAACAGAAACTCATTTTCCTAAGGAGCAAGTGCAGCTCATGAAGCCAAAGGTGGAACTCACCAGCTTCACACAGATCACAAAGGGCGGAGTCGCGTCCCTGAAGTGACACACTGGAATTTTGGGTTTTGGTCTCTCCTGCAGGAAGAAGGGGTACAGAAGAATTCAGTTTACTTGGTAGCGTGGTTTTAGGATCTGCTAAACTCTAAAAGGGAAAAAAAGTATGTTGAACCATGATGCTAAAGAGACCCTGCTCATTCTCTGCCTGTTGTTTCAGTGCCCATCACATTTCAGTGCAATTGTGTGAAGTGACATCAGATCAGAGTTTGGAGCTTCCTGCTGCTGAGAGAAGCAGCTCTCACTGCTTCACTGCTTCCTCCTCACCTCCAAACTCCACTTCCAGCCCTTTCCCAAACAATTCCCTCTTTGATCTGAAAGCAAGGTATGCAGATTCAATAGCCCATCCCGTAACAAACGATGTTCCTTCTTTTTTTTGGTTAATTTTTTGCCATTTTTGTGAGCTCAGACTGTGCCCTCAGAGCAGGCACAAGAGCAGAGACAGAGGAGGAGCTTTTCCTGCTGCTGGGAATTGTCAGAGGGCTTATGGTCAACTGGGACTTCACCATGGAGCCAAGCTGCAGGATTTTCTAAGGATTCACAACAGTTGCAGGACAATCTTCTTTACAGCTGATCTGAGAAAATGGGTTTGTTCTAGGAAGATGAAAGCCCAGGGTCTGTCAGTCATACTGACAGTGTTACTGAACTGCTGGGCAGTGAAATGCTGACTCCCAGTTGCTTCCATGCAGTTCAAAGCACTTCATGTTTTACCAGCAGAGAATTGAACAGCTACTCCAGGCTAAGCACAAGCTGTGCCTGAGGAGGGGCCCTCCTGTCCCTCCTTCCCAGATACCTTACCCCTTACCCCTGGCAAACTGAGGGTAATTTGATTCACAAGATAACTTTCTGGAAAACTTTTAATTTTGAGGGTTCCTTTCCCATTATCCATCATAAACCAAATTCTACTCCCTTTCAGAAGACAAACCTGTCAGTGAAGACTTTCACCCCATCATCAGAATCCTTTCAGAATAAGTATTTTTGTCTTTCTAAACTGACTTGACTGAGTGTGAAGCTGACAGCCCTGGCTCCAGTTTGCATTCCAGTGTCCATTCCCAGCCCTCCAATCTTCTGTCACGGCCTCTTTACCAAAATGAGCTGCTACACAACATACAAGGTCAGTGACAAATTCCTTCATCACATTCCCCAGGACACTTCTAGATCACAATAAAGAATGCAATGGTTATAACTCACCTCAGATTCCTCATAAGTGTAGAATCCTTTTATTATTTTCTTTTCATCGACATCACAAAATGCAGTTACCTGGAAAACAGAAGCAGAATGTTTCAATAGCAGCATTTCACCTGAAATGTACCTGTGAGCAGAGCTGCAGGCATGGGAATGGACACAAGAATGGGGTAAAGCACCCTGGGCCTCCTTTGGAGCTTAAACTCTTATTAAATCATTTCTGTATCTTAAGATCTTAAATCCTTTGTGTATCTTAGGGAGTTGAGAAATTATGCAGTTGTCTATGAGCACACTCTGATCAAAGTCACTGACCACAACCCCATCCTCAGGGAGTAAACTAAACCAGAGACCATCTCCTCGTTTGGGCACTTCCACTAAAACCCAAGATGAGATGGAATAAAAACCTCTCTTGTCCACCCCAAGCATGGACTGCACCCCCAGACACCTCAGGACCGTGGTGCTGCACCACTGCTTTGGGTGCTCTGCAATAGCAGCCTCAGTTCCAGGGCACAGTACACCAAATTTGGGAATTCCTATGGTTATGGACTTGAATTTTTCAACTGAAAAGTTCAGCAGATCTGATGTTTAAACACAAATAATTACTGCTTTGCTTATTCTTACCAGAGTTATGAAAGCATTATTTGCAGCCCTAGGTGCCAGATATTTCAGATGGATTTTTATTTGCATTCCTCATAAATATGCAGGCAGAATAAATGCCTGCCATCTAAAATACACAGTGGCCTTATTTTTGAGCCACTAGATTGCCAGGAACATCTTGCAAGAGTTTTTAAAATAAACATGGCTATGTTTTCCTTTGACTTCCATTGGATCTATTCATATTATCTACATTGAGCTCTTATGCTGAAGCAGAACACTTGAGATAGTTAAGGTCATACAGAAATCAATTATTCTGGTGAAAGCTGGATAGCAGCTTTCATATCTTTTTAATTGCTCCATTAAAAATTGATTAACAACACTTACTGCTGAGAAAATCTGAAAAGCCAAACAGCTGTTTATTAATTTATTAAGTTAGAGAAGGCTGAAAAAGCTGGCTAGCTTTCCATGTCTAAAATCTCTCTCACACATTTTCTTCCTGTGATTAAGATGGTTTTCTTTTACCTAAAGTGACCTCATTCTGTTTGTGTAGGGGGAAACACTGTTTTTCTAATACCATAATATCACTTCCTTCATTAAAAACATCAATGGCAAGAGAATGCAACCAAAAGCACCAAGGGACTGCAAATAAGGCTGCAAAGCACCAGTGGCCCAAGCAATGAGGAAAATGAACTGAGAAACTGGAGGGGTGGGTAGGGCCAGTCTTGGAACCCCTCAGAGACCTGGAGAAGAGGTGGCTGAAAAACAGGCACCAAAGGAAGAACAGAACCTTAAGGAAACACAGAATTTCTACGGTGGGGCTGTGTGAGTGAGGAATCACATCGTGGGCACATCCAGAATTTGCTCTGGGTGATCCTGATGCAGGGACTGCACTGACTTTAACCCTGTGTCAGCACTGGAATGGAAATAGAAAGGAAGGAGGGAATTCAGGAAGGTGCTGGACATTGTACAAGGTGTTTGTGGCTGGTGCAGCTGGCTTAGATTAACACACACAAACAGCTCTTTCACAGATTAATACTCTTTTCATCCCTGGCCCTATTTCCATGCCCACTGCAATGCTTTCTTGTAGCTGGAAAATCAGATGGTGTGGATGTGTTCACACACAGATCTATAAATATGTGAGCAGATGAAGTCACTGTGGGGAGAGAAGTTCCCTGGCTGTTCTCTTCATTCTGTGCTAACCACCTTTAAAATTCTCCAATATTCAGCAAATCTCAGTTCTGCCACTTGTGTTTTACTGTCCTAGAAGCTGTGATCATAATAAACAATATTTAGCAGGATGTGCCTTCAGTGTCAACCCAACAGAGTTCTAGGAACAAATACAGTTCAATATTTTGACTTACTGTCCAATAAATGAAACTATTTTTGGAGCTGCTTATGCTCTTATAGATAATAAAACCCAAAATAAACCACCAAAACTTACGACACAAGGAAATTCTATTTATACTTTTGTCAGTAACTGAGAATTCAGCTGCAAGATCTGTGTTGGAAAGTCTCAAAAAAATCCAAAAAACAACAGAAAAAACTGTTCACCCTCAGTGTGTTATAACCCAGTTAACAGAAACCCCTGACTGGTGCCTGAACTTCTCAGCATGAATCAATTTCTTTCTAATATCCAATCTCAGTCAGTTTAAAGCCATTTCTCCTTGTCCTGTCACGGCATCCCCCTGTAAACAGTCTCTCTCCAAAGCCACTTTTTGTATCACTAAATTGCCATTAATTCCAACCCTCTCTCACCCTGGGCCATCACTCCAATTTCTGGGGGTAGAAAACTCTGTCCTTTTCCCACCCACACAAAACCCCTCTGTGAAAAAAATATCACAGGTGAGTCTGTGACAGATTTCCTTTGGAAGATGGAAAGAACTCAAACTCTTTATTTGTTATCACTGAGGTATTTCCCTGTGTAATTCTCAGTGATTCAGGCAGCTTAGATCTGGTATTTACAGCAGAATAAAACAGGTCAGACTTGAATGGGCGATTTTTCTGCAGGCTGCACACCATGTGGGTGGCCAAAATGGAAGTCAACTATTTTTCTGACACAAACTATTTATTTTCCAATTAAAGCAAAGCTATGTTTGGAGTCTAAATACAGGACTTAGGCACAGTTGTTTATCCTGTAAGGAGAAGTCAGGGCATCAGGCTTATGGGAGTTGTTTACTTTATACACTATCAGGATAAACCCAGAGACACCTATTTATTTTCCTGCATTAATGGGCTTCTTTCTTGTAGCTTTTATGAAGAACATGTATCCACACATGAACTCCTGCCTCCCTGTGAGAAACCATCAATTTATAAAGCCATGAAGGAGTCTTCAATTTACTTTTTCCCATCCCCCTCCCTCTCCTTTTAGCAAAATTACTCTTTGGCAATACCTCTGACAGTATCTGAGTCCTCAGATCACACTTCGAATGTTACTAAAATATATGAATTATTACATGTTTTTGTTCTGAACATCACTTGTATAAAAATCTGCACAATTACAAAATTGCCAAAGGAATGAACACTGCTAATTCTCTCAGCTCAGAACTGGGGGAGACAGCTGGGTATCTGCTAGAGGCAAGCTATGGAACTACTGTAAGTCATTTTTATAAATATGAATTGCAACTTCCATTAACAGTGGTGTAAGGGGAAAAGGAGAAATCGCCTTGTCCCTCTTAAGAGAAAGTTTACATAGCTTGAAAGATAAGAGATTTACTCAGAAACAACCTCTGCTAGGGGAAGACACTTTTGAGGAAGATAAAAGCCCTTCTCTGGCTGGCTCTTCCTAATAAACAGGGGCTCTGCAGGGCCAGGCTGGGGCTATCAGACCTCCCTGGGGAAAAGGGGATTAATGGGCAGCAGATCCTTCTCCAGTGCCCAACCTGGGAAGGAAGGACCAGGAATGACAGAAGAGTGCCTTGGGGTGCAGCTGGGACTACCTGCCTGTTTGAGCTCTGCTGTGATTACACAATTTAATTGTTTGTTTCCTGTGTGACTGCTTGGCTGCTGCAGAGAATGTTTCCTCACACTTCCCATTCCACTCAGATTTCATAATGGAAAAACTGAAAGATTTCATCAGCTTAATGATGTCCTTTTATGGTGAATGGCTTTCACAGGATTTTATTCCCCTGTCTTATTTTCACCTGTGGTTTGCTTTGGGTCTGTAACAGCCATTTTACAGAAAGCAACAACCTGTAATCAGCACATTCTCAAGGGCCCTTTGAGCTGGAAGGACACGAGAGGCAAGTTTCACATGGGAGAGTCAATAACTGAGAAGAACCTGACAGAAAACTGGAAAACCCTTTCAATAAATGGTCACCTGCACACTGTGACTTCTCCCTCCTCATAACATCAGCTGGTTTCCTCAGAGTCACCTTCAAAGAGACAAGCTGCAAACCCCACAAAATCCTACTGAGCAGATCTTCCCTGCTGCATTCCCTCCACATCCCCATCTGTTTTAAACTTCTAGTGAACCCTCTTTAATTCTCCTATTTATAATTCTTTCATTGAAGCTTGTAGAAAGCCTTGGGAGCATGTTAATATACATCTCTGCAAAAGCAAAATCAATTTTGGCCATTCATGTCAAAACATAGTAACTGAGAGCATTACAATGCAAGTTTAAATAGATAACTATTTAACTTCCTTAAAGTTAAACTTCCTTTCACACTGCCATTCCACTGTCGAGGTGGGTGTAATATTCTCCCCTTTATTCATGTTTCATGTCCCCACTCCAGGCTCTGATGGTGCCACTCACACACTTTTAGAATGGTTAAAATGCTACAAAACTTGAGCTCTCCTTGGCTGTGGGAACGAGCTGAAGGCCCAGAGCTGCAACATAAAGTTTGATGATGCTGCTCATGGAAAAAGGCAAAGGGAAACCCGAGGATGATTTTGGAAATGGGAAAAGGGCCTTCAAACTACTTTTTCTGTTTGCCACCAGCAGACAGGGCTGTCACAGAGGAATGGCATGGCCTGGCTGTGTACAAGCACTGTTCCCAGCCCACTGATGAGCTGATGATCATTTGGTCCTGTCCCCTGCTTCTCCATGAGCATGAACGCTATTTTCAGCCATCGGAAATGACACAAAATGTTAATGCTTAAGTTCTTCTTTTAGCTAAAGTTTGATGGAGAATAAAAGAGCAGACAAGACAGCTCAGAAACCCTCCAGGCACATGGAGCATCCCAAAAACATTTGGTTTCCATCTTCAGCTGCAAATTATAGACACAACGGATGTGTTTTAAACAAAAAAAGGTCTGTTTGACTTCATTCTTGCAGAAATGCTAATACTGAACCACTGTCAGCAGTGTGACTCAAGAAGGGGACAGCCAGGAAGCAGAATTTCCCTAAGAATACTGAGATCATGGTAATTAATTCATAAAAAAATCTACTAGTGGAATATTTTTTTTCATGTGTTGCTGTTTAGCAAAAATACTGAGCCTTGGATTTTTGCCTGACTCCTTTGGAGACAAAGCATCACTTTAATATTCACCTACAGATGGCTGAGGGAAAAGGGAGAATTGCTGAGGTGTCCTTTTCTCTTTTACCATAACCATAATTCACATTCACACTGTTTTCCAAACAAACTAAAGTAATCATTTGTTAGTGAGTATGAACATAGACAGACTGCTGCTTCCTGGAATTGCCTGAATTTTGTTTTCTAAGAAACAAAGCTCTTTGGCACAGGGCAGAGCTGGGCTTTTCAAACATCCCACAAAGACCCCGTCAGCATAAGAAATGCAATTGCTTTGTTTACCAGGTTCTAAAAATACTAGAGACATTCTTTTCTTTGAAAAAGATGTTTTCTTACACACCCTAAGCCTGACAGTTCAAATTATTTAATTCACTTCCTGAGGATTTAGCAGAGTCCAGGTTTTTCTCAAAATTATAAAATAATACAAGCTATATGTGGTAGGTTTTTTTTGGGGGGTTATTATTTATTCTAGAGTATGTGTCCCAAATTTTCTACAGGTACTTGGTGCCAGTTGAGAAAACAAACCTGCAGTGAGTCCACACTCCAGCCAAAGTCAGTCAGGACATCTGATGAAATTCTGCATCTCAATAAAAGTCAAACAGAGCATAGCTGAAATTTTCAGAAGCCTAAACTGACTTAAAGGATAAAACCAACTAAAACTAAGTTTAGACAGCTATATTCTGTCTAAACTTAATTATAGTTGGTTTTATACTTTAAGAGATTTTTATATCTATAAATAAAATATAATTGTCATTGTTATTATTATATATAATGTAATAATGATATAATATATAGAATATAATTGTCATAATAAATTAATAAATAAAGCATACATATCTTTAGTTCAATCTTAGTTAAATTATACAGCTAACTTTGGCAATCTCACCTGCACTTCCAAAGGTATTGGACTTTTTAAAATCACACTGTTTTACACAACTGGACCTTCCAGAGAAGAAAATGGTAATTATATGGAGGCAATACATCATCTTTTACCCTAAGGGGCTTTTGAATTTATGTTTTAAAGGTGATTTGCATAATTGATGAATTCATATTTCAGGGTCTTCATTCAGAGATTCCACTTGCAGATTCAAACTGATACGAAATCTCTGGTGTCTCATAATTAACAGAATATATGAAAGCTTAAATCTTGTTAAGTTGGTTGTGAAGGGTGACACAGGAAAAGCATTTTATTGTTTTCAGGACTGGAAAGGATGAAGCAATAACTATTTACAACCTTTCTTCATATGGGATTTTAAAGTCTTTGGAAAGAGATTAGTCACAAAATACCTGAAGGATTTTTGAGGAAAAGTATCATGTGGAGTTTCTCTACTGGCCTTTTACTGTTATTCATTTGGAATAAAATGAAAACTGCCATGAATTACCTACTGCAAATTATATTAATTTATTTTCTGAAACTCCAGCAGCATAATTCTTTGAATAGCTCCTGGAGAAGTGAAATGTTTTTCCTATTTCTAGAGCCCTGTGCCAGTGACTGATATGAAACACTAGGACAACATTTAAGCTTCAATTCTGGCTGAGACAAACAGATTTGGGATCTCACTTTTGGAAAAGCTAGGCAGTTACAGTGCCAATCATAATTCTGAACAGATATATAAAACTAGTGCTTTAATTACTTCAGAGAACACTGATTTAATCAGAAATCAACCATCCAAAAGCCTCTACTCTCACCTAGGATGACACAAGTCCTTTTCTGAAGCGATCTGAGAAGGCCCTTGAATACTTCAGACCACACATCAGACTGAGGGGATGGTTTGATTATTCTGTACAGGGTGTTAAGGATCACTGTGCCTGCATTTTACAGCAGTTTTCAGCAGTACCTGTGCAAACTGAGCCACACTTGGCTCGTGCAACTGCATCTGGCAGTGGGTTTGCTGAACCCAGTGACTCAGGGGTTAATGCTCAGTGCAGAATTTCTATATCCAAGCAAACCATGCTGCAATATGTGCAAGTGTAACCTTGACAGAAGCAGAACAGTGTCCCAGGCTGAGCAGTGCCAAAGCAAATGTTCTGGGAAGGTCAGCAGGGCATGGAGCTCATTCCCCAGGAAAGGAGCTGGGCTTGAGGTCTTGGGCAGGAAAGTGGCAAATCCCCAACAATATTGGTTTCCTCTTGCCTTTTGTGTCCCCTCTGCTGTGACATCTTTAAGTTGTCACTCTGTGTTGAACGGGACATGAAGTCCTGGAGGTGGCACATGTACCTAAAGCCTGGGGCTCTGTCTTAGCAGCAATTTCCATTTTGGCTTGGTACAAAAAAACAGCTAGAAAACCAAACCAAACAAAATCCCAACACCTGAGATGGTGAGACAGCAACTACAGAACCAACATGGTCTATTTTTTTCTGTAACATCTCAGAAATCTACCAGACAAGCTGCCATCCCTTCCCTTGGAATCAATTGTCTAATTTTCCTAATTTTAAGGACAGAGAGGCACAGTGGTTGCTGAGTGTCAGCCCAGTGGCCACAGCCAGTCAGTGAAATTCCAAAGGAGCTCAGCAAACAGCAAGGAAAGAGAATATTTCCATAAACCCCCCAAAATCTTGTACACACTGCACTGCATGACCAAGATAAAATCTTATTTAATGGACAGGGCTGTCCTCTCTGAACAAAGCAACTGATTGATAGCATTTCATATCTTTTCAGACAGCTCACCCATAGCCACGTGATGGCAATGACTGAGGGATGGCACTGGAATGGCACTGGAATATCAAGCAGGAAATTCAGTTCAGTTTTTGCTTTGTACCTTTACTGCCTCAGAGTCTCCCATGCCTATTCAGTAATTCTAACTATGTGTACACAAATGTCTTCTATTTTTTTTAAATGTGTGTGGTCTGAGGGCCACAACATTAATCAGGTTTTTATATGTATTTGTCATTTTGTCTTCCCATCCATATTCTTAAGAAAAGAATAACACATGCAGCAATAAAATGAATGTTCTGTGGCTCTTTATACAAAATAGCCATTTGACATTAGCCCTAAAGCCTTTATCTAACACAAAGTTATTGCACACAAGAAAATGCTATAAAAATAAGGTATTTAGACTCTTGGACAAATCTATCTTGAGAAATATTTGCCACTGCCAAATACAAGCATTTTCAGCTGACTGTGAATGGGACAGTCACATCCAGCAGTTTCTATTCACCCTTTCAGCCCACACCAAACCCTTGTTTTTGGCAATCAAGCTTTCCAAAGGGAGTCACAGTGACCAGGGATGTGTCCAGTATCCACTTTGGAACTGGGCAAATATTACACAGGTATGGATGACCCTGGATAAGGCAGTTCAGTACCATACAACCCAAATAAAGAGTTGCTCTACTCACCCTGAGTACCTGCCTACTACAGCTGTGTCTCTGCTGTGCTTAGCAGAAACATGGTGCAATTCTTACTCTCCATGCCCACCAAAGCTCTAAATAAAATATCATGGCATTTTAAAAGAAGAAATTCATCACAATATTGAGAATTGCCCCAATTTATATTAATTATCAACCTGGGGACAAAATATCTTAGGAGAATTTTGCTGTGTTAGACGAGAAGTATCACGGGGGAATATGAAGAAGAAGTGGGTTTGTACAAATGTTACTTTCCAGCTCACCTTTTTCTGATTTGCTGGTGACAAGCTTCTGTAGAGCTTCTTGCCTTGCTTGCCAGCATTCCAAATGGTGAATGATGTCAAGGAGCTCAGGACTCTGTCCTCAAGAAACCTGACTCGGTGATTCCAGATGGTTCCCCTGGAGAGTTGGAAAAAGGGCAGACTTTGACCCCCAAAACACTTAGCATTATTATAGACCTATATGCACATGTCCACACTCACCAACATGTAAACCTGACCAAAGTGATTCATGTAATACAAAAAAAAAAAAAATCCCATCAAAACATTAGACCGGAAATTTCTGAGGGAAATGTAGAGAAGAAATTCTGTGGAAGTTCTCAGACAAAAACCATTCAGATAGATAGGAAGCAGTAGCTAAACAACTTGTATTTTCAAGAACCTGCCCAGACCACAAGAATAGGAAAAGCTGCAGCTGTGGTAATGAAATTCAACCCTTCCCACCCCTGTACTCACCTGTGAGCTGCTTTAGAACCCTGCAGTGACACAGGCAAAGCATCTCCTAAACCCAAGCTGAGCTCCTCCTGCTCCATCTGCCCATGGGACCATTCTCCCTGGCTGATGTGGAGTTGGAATCTCACAGATTTAGAAGTCCAGCTTGCCCCCAGCCCCAGAGCATAAATGCATTTCCAGTGTGGTACTTGGCTGAGCCTCCAGCACAGCAGTGTCAAAGCTCTGCATCAGTGACTCCCTCCAGCAACAACCCCAGCGCTGCCCAGTCCCACCCAAACCCCCCTGGCACAGCATTCACACTGCCCAGCCTGCACACACACACATTTCACACCAAATAAGACAGATTTAACTGTAAAAGTTCCCAGTTGTTATTCAGCAATGACACAAATGTGACTGTCCCTTTATTTGAAGGCAACTTTCGTAAGAAACTGCATTTCTAGGAACAAAAAGCAGTGGGGTTTATTTTTTCCTTCTAAAACACAGTATGCCTCATAGAACTTTTTAAAACATGCTTTAGGAAAAAAGCAAACTGGCAGAGGTCTGTGTGCAATTACACCTTTAAGTCCTCATCTTTGGGGTAACTTCCACAGCATAATTAAGCCATGTGGCTGAGGTAAACAAGGGTGACACAAATACCGAATGACAAATCCCACGGCTCTGGAACCATCCACAGCAAGGGCCCATCCAACAGCCTTAGATACTGAAGATCTGCTGACATCTTCAACAAGTTCAAGACAGGTTCTCAGAAAGAGAAAATGTCAAGGAAAGCAGTTTGTTCATTTCTCCCAACTGGCAAATCCACTTGGACAACTACAGCTTTTTTCATGTTTGAGTGTGTGTGCCCTACCCTGTAATGTAATATTTAAGAGTTTATCTTGGATTACAGAAAACTGCCTGCTGTTAGAAACATATGCTTTGTTTCCAGCATTCACTTAATATTCATTAATGAGGAACCCACCTCAGAATTATTAATTGTAAGAGAGAATAAATTGACTTTTCTCAATTTGACAAATGAATCTTCCTAACCTACATCTCTTGACTAAAGCACCTTGAGCTGTAACCTTCTTTCCCAGGAAATTCTGATGAACCTCTAGTGGTGTCTCCTTATTTAAAGCAATCCAAATGGGGATTTCCATTTGCTTATTTGCATCATTCTTTCACAGCCCCATGTTCTGAAGACCACACAGCCCTCACAGGACCCAGTGACTTCCCCTTCCCTTCAGCACAGCCAGATCCTGCTCAGCACTTCATCACTGAATGTGTGATAACTTGGAAAAGACCTCGTGCACAAATAAAATTTCCCCACACTTTCAAGAATGATGGCTCTGCACCAGCATTTCAACTAATGGAGGAAAAGAAATTCTTGGATTTGATCAAAAATCTCTTCTAAAGCAACCACAAGATGCATTCCTGCTGCAAAGCTTTAACTGCTGCTGGCATCCTTTGACACTTGCCTTTTTCCATGTTCATGACAGCATACTGTATTCCCAGAAGAGAAGCTTAAGGAGCAAAATATGAAGGTCAAGTATTTTACCAGGATCACTTTACTAGACATTTTAGAGCTTCTGCGCTCTTCTAAAAAGGAAGATTATTGCTTTGCACATAAATGGAAAGGCTTTAAAAGTGATTTTCCTTTGAAATGTGACTTCAGAAGGATAACACTGTATTACATTCCAAAGGAACTTCAGAATCTGTTCTGTTGGCTTGAGTGACACTGGCAAGTTTCTTTTCCACTTGAGTTTGCAATATTAAGAAAGCTAAAGTGAAAAACCAGGCAGCCTTACAAGGTATGAAAAGAACTTCTACTTTCTAGGTGTGGTGCAAACACTGCCATCTACCCCCAGGCTTATAAAAGATGTTTCTATTTTCATGGAGATTGATGTCCTGGCTCTTTCAGACAGTTCCTGGTTGCTGTCTAGGCCATGAGAGCCTCAGTGCCACAGGAGTCCCTGCTGAGGTAAAATTCAATCAGAGCAAATCTCAGTGTTAACCACCCGTGAAGATTTCAGACTGAAGCAGATTTACTGACATCTCACCTATCAATGTTATACTGGAAATGCAAGTGGGGAAAGCTTGCAAGACAACTGCACTCTGAAATAAAAGGTATTAAACTCCAAATTAATTGGCCTGTTGTTCAACCACAAGAATATTGTCAGACAGCTTCATTTAACACCAATAAAAAACTTTCTTATATGTGTACTGTGGGTTGTAAAAACCAAGCAAATATACCCAGCAGTTGGGATTTTTTTGCTTGCATCACTATGAGGCATTCTTACGACAATGCCCACAGAAAAGCATTTGAAGATCACACCTCTATATTGTGTGTTTTCAATGAAAAAATTAAGTTACATCAAACACTCTGAAGTCTTGAGTTAACCCTGAAATACTTTTAACAGTGCAAGCTATCAGATAAACACAGAACTGAGGGGAGAATTTGTGACTGAGCTTTTAGAGTGGCACTCACAAGGCTTCATCTTTGTGAGAACTCACTCTGCACAAACAATCCCACACGCTGAGGCAAAAGGGAGCTTACAGGTGTCAGAGGAGAGAGTTTCGGTTATTCCCTTCAGGTTTCCGCTTCACCTAATTTGCCACGTTTTTTGATGTTTCCAGAATAGATAACTGGGATTCCTGCCTCGAGGGATAAGGGAATGCCATTTTCCCATCCTTCACGAGCCAGTGCAGGTGCACCAGACAGGAGCTGTAGCAACATGCAAAGGGTAATTAAAGAAAATGCCTGAAACGATCTAGAAGTTGTACAAACCACTACTCTGAGATGATTCTCACAGCTATTTTCAGATTATGAGTTATTACATATTCACAGCCACCAGCAAAACCTAGGAGGTGTTATTATTCTGCATCCCCCCAGATCAAGACAGCTTTTCCTACCCATCTCAGAAAAGATGAGAGTAAGCAATTTGCAGCAGCCTTTAGTACCATGTCCAAGCCTGTGTTCAGGTCACAAGATTTTCCTCAGCCAGAAGGTGGGACAAAATTCTTCTCACTGTACAAATTTGTTCCCACATCCTAAAACTCTTTCTTGATCCTAAGTCTTGAAATATATTATTTCCCCCATTGCTTTCATTTTGTTGTCACAACTTTGTAAAAGAAATGTTAAAAGTATTTCCACTTGAAATGTCATTTTTGAGGCTTACATGATTTTCCTAAGATCTCACTTGCCGTGGCCCCTCACTGCTCAGCAGTTATGGAGCCTGGGAGGAAGAAGAGGAGCCAAAATTCTGCAGGAGTGAAACGAGGGTATTCATGCAGAGGGTGAGAATGACTACGCCGTGTGTTCCTCAGCCCCAAGTAGTTATTAGCAGACCATCCACCCAAGTAATGCAACAATGGAGCTCTGTTAAAAATGTGTGGTGACCTACTGACTGAATACAGGAGTCAAGAAACATCTGCTCTACTCCTATTTTGAAATGAAAGATAATGTGACAATAAAAGCAACATGATTTAATGTCTGAGCTCAGTCAAACCTCGCCATATTGTTGCACTGCCTTTCCCCTCCTTCCCCCAGTGAGGCCACATAAGTGAATCCACAGAGCAAAGACAGATGTACAAGTACTTGAGCAATGCAGAAATACAAGCCCAACATCCTGAACAGTACTGGAATTTGAGGCATCGATTGCCATGCACAGAAATACTAGAGATCCATAAATCTGACCTTTTCTCCCTGTGCTGGCCCTGCACAGTGCTCAGGTAACGCCAGGCAGGAAGAGGAGCTGCCCAAGTAAACGGCCTCTTCCAGGGCCTTTTTTATTGATGGCAGGGTAAGAGAGTTCTGTATGATAGGTGAACCCCACCTAATCCATAAACCAGAGATTGAGGAACAGAGAACTTCGTCATCACAGTGAGAGCTGAAAAAACAGATCCCTTACAGCCAGGGTTGCATGCAGAATTCAAGCCCTTACCATCCACAGGAAATTCAGAAATAAATTGTGTTTGAACCTTGGCCATACTGGTGAATAAACGGATTTTTTTCACTGTTGTTGTTCTGTTGAACTTCGTGTGAACTTATTAATTGCTGGACTATATCGTCCCACTGAGTTATTACATTTACACTGTTAATAGGTTCTATTAATGTCTGAGTTCATCTTCAGGTCATGGGTCATTAGCTGAGGCATGGTTTGCATTGTGGCCTATTTTTCATGAAAGGCTTATTAAGAGAGACAGAGACTATCAATGTTAATGGCATTTACTTTTCAAGAATCTAATGAGGTCATTAGTTTCCATGTTTAATTGAAGTGCCAAATGCAAGCTTAGAAGATAAAAATGAAGTTGACCTCATCTTAATTTCAGCTCTACAGGAATATGTTAGGCTACTCCCCTGTCCTGCTTATTTTTGGTTGTGTGTGTTTGTGCAGGAAATGAAGGAGGCATTCCTGTGCTCGCCACAGATCCGAGACCTGGCCTCAGAGCACCTCTGAAACAGCCAAATGTGTGTTTCACGCTAATGCCTGTTCCTCTTCACTCAGATGACAGTGGAAGCTTCCAGAGCCTGAAGCCAGATGTTTTCAATAGATTATGTAATTCTGCTTATTTCTGCAGAGCAATATCATCCTCCTTCTGAGCACAGGGGATCTGAAATTACTGAAGGTGCACCTCACCTTTTCTGTGTAAAAGGGAATTGCCTGGATCTTAGACAGAAGGTCTACAAAACCTTATTTTCCACATGTATTAAATCTGCCTTGACTAAAAACCTGTAAACTGCTCCAAGGATTAGCTGCATGCCCCAACCACCTGTCTTTATGAGCAGCACTACCTAAAGACAAGTGCAATTTTTTATTGCTCACTTCACTCCAAGCTCACTTTCATCTTGCAGTGAGGTATTGTTGTATATACAGTTCCTTTCTCTCCCCTTTGGCAAGATAAAAATCTGTGAATTTTAAAATGTTTTTATTACACATTAGACTTTCTTGCTCCAGTATTCCTCACTCGAAAGCCAACTCTGATATGGTCTCACATCAATTTAATGTGGCCGTGCAGCACTGAGTACACACAGCCCTAGGATACAACACCAAATAAAGTGATTTAGATTCAAGAGATATGAAAAGTGGGATTTTGTGTTGTGAATTCCTAGCTGAAGAGAAGTTTCTCAAAATCCATCACAGACTTTGGACGAAATGACAATGAGCACATTCATATTTCTGCATGCACCTAATGCAATCTAATACAGACACTGAACTTCATGCAGATTCTGTCACGCACCCAAAACATTTAATAATGCAGACTGATGCCTCCAGGGTAAGGGAGAATGCAAATATGATTTAATTTCCTGCTTCACAGATATTCTCAACTCCAGATATTTGTTCCAGAAGGATACTAATCATAGGAAGTGACCTAAAGCACATGAATGTTTACAATTATACATACTAACTAAAAATAAAAGAACCAAATGTCACTTGCCAAGCAATTTTATATATATTTTAGGAGGTTTGAAAATGCAATGAGGCTTCTTTCCCCCTAGAAGGCTCTGAAAGACACCCACATAAACTGAAACCATCACAGGCTACAAGTGACTGCTGAAAAGAATGAATGATGCACCTTTGTATAAAAACATCATGTTATGGCTTTTAAGACTGAAACTAGGCATGTAGTGTTAAAAAAAAAAAAAACAACTTTACTACAAACATCATTTTGATCTGAGACAAGATATTAATTTGGATGGTGAGTTACTACTTCCAAATCCACGTCTAAATCAACTCAAAATTAAAATACGACCTGGGCCAATGGCAAAAAGCAAAACACCCCAGAAAATTCTGAACAAAATATACTATATAAAGAAAAAGGCTGCTAGAAAAGCCAGAATATGCATTATCAAGTGTGGAATGACCAAGAGGAAAATTAGGGAAGACCCAATTTAAATGATAAACTTAAACCTTTGTGATGAGTCCATTAATCTCCTTTTGCTCAACGCGCACTTCGGTCTCCAGGCACAAACACCGGGCAACCCTTCCCAACTTGGGCAACAAACAAGGGAATGAGCCAGGCCAAAGAGCTGTTGCACAACCTCATGTTTGGAAAGTCACACCAAACATCATCCCCAGTAGTACCAGCAGGAAGCCAAGAGGAAAAGCAGATTCTGATTTCTTAGAATGAGACAAGAAAGGCGCCAATTTGGACGCGCACCCCGCACATCTGAAACAGCTCACAGCGTTTCCACATTCCCCCAGGATGCTGTAATTCAGGGTGCTTGTGCCACACAACCTTGGAGATCTGAATAAGCAACAGCTTGCAGTAAATTCAAAACAAATTAATTTCCAAGAATTAGATGCTTTCCCACAGATAGAAGCAAAAGGCTTCCAAGAGTTCTTAGTGTCTCATAATGTGTGGCTGAAAAGTTGGTCACTAACTGCCAAAAGGATCACACAGCTAAAAAGGAAAAAAAACCAAAAAAATCCTTACATTTCAACATGGATAAAATAATTTATCTCATGGTTGTTTGCAAAATCAAAATCATATGTAGTGTTTGCTTGAATGACCTTTTCATAGTTAAATGATTTTATATAGATAAGCACATTTATATGTATTTCTAAAGATCTGTAGTGACATTAACCATGAGTGTGCTGTCTCTGGGACTTATTTGTTTTACAGTGTATTTTTGTATGTATGTATGAATTTTGCTATGTACAGCAATACAATACAGGGATGGACAACAAAAATGTACACAGGAACGTTCAGTTTTACAAAGCCATAAAACCAGGACTGACTGAAAAGTGTACTTACATCATTAATCAGTAAGAAAACAGATTACTTAATTACCGCTGTGAATCTGGCATGGGATTCCTAAAGGACAGCACAGCCCATGTAATTTTTTATTAATGTCAGTGCATGAGAGAAAGGAACAGCTTTGGCTCAGCTTGCAGCATGTAGAGGAATCAGCAATTTAATACCTCGTTTAGGGGCTGAGCAGCCCAGGAAAGGCAGCAGGCAACAAAGGCACCTTCAAGGAAGCACCAGAGATAATTATTCCTAAACATCCTCAGGGATTTTTCAAACCTCATTATCTGATTTTGGTGGTTTAGACCCTTTAAAATAAGAAAATAATATATGTAAAGACAGCACATTATCAGATTAAAGGTTTGGTTTTGGTCTGGTTCTTTTTTCTTTTTTTTTTTCAAAAGAGTGTTTTTGTTGGTATTACAAGTTTCTGTTTACTTTTTAAATATCCAGGCAGTTGATTTTGAAATCAAAAACACCTTTTACATTATGGTTCATATGGCAAAAACCATGAGAATGAAACCCTCGTATATTACATATTAAAAACCCTAATGAAATCCCCAATGCAATTTCACCATCTCTGCTGCCTATGATCCAAGACAAAACCAACTTTTAAATTCTCCAAGAAACCACAGCTTACTCTAGGACAGAGTGGGTCACAGCCTGGGGGTGGTACCGGTAGAGCAGGAGGCAATGGTTCACTCGAAAGACTCCACCACCCTTCTTGAGATGTTCATAAAAAAACAACAAATCCTCTGGGACGCCCTGCAACAGAAAACAGTTATTATATCAGTATTCAGTTACATCTGAAGATGTTTGGTTTTTTTGCCAAATGAATATTCAGCAGGATTGTTATTCAGAAATACTTCTTGCTCAGGGAAGGTGTGGATTCCCCATCCCTGGAAGTGTCCAAGGCCAGGTTGGATGGGGCTTGGAGCAACCTGGTAAAGATCAAGAAAATCTTTAAGTTCCCTTCCAACCCAAGCCCATCTCTGATTCTATAATAATAATAATAATAATAATAATTATTTGTGTATGTCCCAATGAATTTCTCTAATGGGTCATGAAATAAATGCAGCTAATGCTGCTGAATGATCAGTGCTATTTAAAAATGAAGTGCAGCTGAAAGCAAGGACAGAGGTGGAAAAATCAACATCATCTCATTTTGACAGGGATCTCAAGCTTGGTGCAGGTGAATCCAAAAGGAGAAGAAACCCAGCTGCTAAACAGCTTGTGCAGCCTAAAGTTCCATGCAACCAAATAGATTATACTGAAAAGTGACTTGAGAAGGGGTTTTTTTTTTCTCATTTTACTGGAATTCTCCTTTCTCTGGCTGTCATACAAATAGGAAAGGTGACTCAGGCCCCATAATGACAGACTTCAATAAAAACTGCAATAAAGGCAACCTCAGAATGAGGCAACATCTGAAAATTATTTTTTTTTCTTGAAACTTCCTTCCATGGTACATTCACCCTTACGGGATTGCACCCACTCTGCTGGAAATGCTACAGGATAAAAGCTCCTGCAATTATGGATCTAGCAGGCTCTAGGAAAAATGAGGGGTTTCACAATCATTTCAACATTTTCCACTTAAAAATCAGAGAATTTTCATGCAAGTGATGCAGTGTCAGAAGGGCAATTATAGCACACAATTCCATTTTGTGGCATATGAAAGCATAAACCCACCTTTAAAGCCCTGCACAGAAGGTAAAAAAAGTAGTGTTTATTTATATTTTGCAAAGCTACAACTTCTTAAAATACTAGAACATTTCATCTTTTCATGTTTAAATACAGATATTTCTTCCCAGCAATACAGTGTTTTAAAGGTCACATGGTTTTTACCAGACTAAAAAACTCCCTTTTATGGAACCAGGTGGGTCAAAGAAAATATTTAAGTGTAGCTTAATAAAAAGATAACATGACAAAATTGAGAAGGAAAAGAAGGCGAAGAGATTGAAATACATTTCTTTCTGTGGACAATATCACAGACATGAATAACCAGGTCATAAACCTCAACCTCAATTTTGACCATTCTATTTCAACACAGAAAAATAATAAGAGTACAAGTTAAAAAAAAATATTAATTGAAATTTTTCCCTATTACTACAGCTTCTGATTTTCTTCCATAATTAAGAAAATGAGATTCTATAATTAAAGTGCTGGACTGGCCCTCTACTTATGAGAGCAATACAGTTCACCAGGCTGAGTAGCCAGAGGGGTGTGGGAGTGGAAGAGAAATGAGACAAAAAAATCTCTGAACCCTGGAAAACAGCTCCAAAACACTCAGCTGGACACGTTTATCTTGGGAGAAATCAGAATCCAGTCAAGCTCTGGACTCTGCAGCTCCAGCCCTCACTCTGATTCATTTGTGACACTGATTTGGGCCACGCTCCCTCATTGGGAATTAAATAGATTCTGCTCTGGCCCACGAAGGGCAGCTCATCTGCAGATATTGGTTCTTTGCAGACATTTGTCTGACTTCTGCTTTAAGAGCTGCAATGCAGAACAAAACTTTTAGACAAGTTCATACAATCTATGCTTTATGTGAATCTACTTTGAAAGCCACAAATGAAATCTGGGAGAAGCTGGAGTGGCAGCCAGCAACCACAGTCACCAAGAATACAAGAAAAAACACAAAATCAATTTCTTTCCATTTATCTTGTAGCCATTTTTTTATTTTCCTTATTGTGGACTTTAAGGGAAATACTGAGCCAGCAGCAAAGTTTAAACCTTTTTCTCTTTTCTGGTCACACACTAGACCATGTCTCAGGGCATAAGTGCAGCAGGTATCAGCTTGCTGCAGGAGTCAGATTTTGATTGAGATCTATGATTATGTCATATCCATCTCAGCAATTCCTTCTCTTTTGGGTAAGCATTGGCATTATTCAAGACAACCATTAAGATATATATTTAAGAAGAGTTACTGCAGAAGTAAAAGGATCTTTCCAAACGCTGTTTGGTTCCAAGGGCTCTTTTGCTTTCCTTTAACTGTCAGAAATGCTCTGGAATAAAGTGCACCCAGCCCTAGGAAGGAGCAGGTGCCTTGTACTGCTCAGCAGTGGCCTCTCACATTACAAAGGAGCAGCACTGCCACGCATTTTTCAGAGGAAAGATGTTGACTGTGTTACGGATCCTGCAGGGATGGGACTTCCTAAGGCTCTTGAGCGTGTAAGTTTGCTGCAATACAAGAGTTCCTTCCCAGTTGAGATCTATTATTGGATCCAGATGGCATTTTAAACACCAGGAATCTTTGTGAAACAACACAACTTTGAAAGAAAAAGCTGTTTAACCACTAAAGGGATATTTTAATGTATTTTTTGAAAATTAATATCCATAGCTAAAAGTCTCAATTACTAACCCAGCATTTCAGCAATAGGCTACCACATCAATAGCTTTCAGCAATAATAAATACAATTAAATTGCACAGTTTACATGTTACTGGACTACATGCAGAATTTTCCACATTATAGGCAAAACCCAACCCCACATCCTCTGCTGCAAAAAGGGATAAACTAATTACAGCTCCCAGAGAAAAGCACAGCCTGGCCCTGCTCTGCTCTAACCAGCCAAATGCAAAACCACATTCCCACTGAGCAGGGGAAGGGTTTCTGTTGACCCAGTATTTTGGGCAGGTACTGCTTGCTGTGCTGATGGTTGTACAGATGAGGGGACTGACTTTTTATACACCATGGGCTGTCAGAACCCTGTCTTGAATCAAAGTAATTCCTGGTTCAGGGACCAAATTAAATTATTATGATCCTTCTCTTGCTGTTCTCGCTCCTGGCATCACACTGTGCTCCAACTGCAGCGACTTCAACGTTTTTCCAAGTGGTTCAAGCATCTCCCAACAAGCAATTCTGGCTACAACTCCTGCACCTCCACCATCAGTAATGATGAGGAGCACCACTAGGGATGATCAGCAGTTTTTGGAGGAGTTTTAATGTAAGTCATGCCCTGTACAATGCTGTAACCATTAACCCCTGGTGAGCTCATGCTGTAGCCCTGGGATGACCAACAGCAGCACTCCAGGCTGACAGCAGTCCTTTCATTTGGTCCCCCATCCTCCATTTGGACAGAAACCACCATGGGGCTGTAGAGGCATATATAAAATATATAATATAAAATATAAAAATAAATAAATGTAAATATACATAATATAAATAAATATAAAAACTGACGTTTACTGCTAAACCAAATAGGTAAGAGTGATTCTGCCACAGAATCAATCTGTCCCAGCTTCCCCATCCATCTCTACCATTGCAGAGATGTGAATGTAGATTTATCCATCTCAACCTTGTCTCAGTCACATTTGACTCCCTGCCCTCTCCCAGTTCACAGGCACTCTGCCAGAGGTGGCAGATCCTTGTGAGCACAACCAGTGGAGATTTAGCCTGTGCAGAGAAGTCTGACTGGAGAAAATGGGAGATCTACCATTATATTTCATGAATATATGCACTTAGAATAAACAGCAATGACAAACAAGACAGGAGAGACATCAAACCACATGGGGAAAAAGGTTTGGAAAAGCTTGGTCCTCCCTTTTGATCAGGGGCATCAAGGAAAACTGGGATGTAACTTGGTACGTATTTTGTAAACCAGTCAGCACTGTCAGGGTAACTGTTGGACAGAAAAAATCACTTTAATTCCTCAGAGGAGCCTAAAATTGGTGAATGGAAAGAACTAAATAGCTATTAATAGCTTTTCTAGAGGATTAGCCAAGATATTCTTAAGTCTCCCTTTCCACATATCTGTCCCTTCATTTCTTGGCTCTCATCCAAATCATGGCTTTCCATCATTTTGCTTTGATTATAGGACCTGGAGCCCATTAGCATTTATTTCATTGTTTGGGAAATAACAGGTTAAGGGAAACTCCAAAAGCTTCCTTTCAACCAAATGTCTTGGCACAGAGAAATGCAGTTAAACAAAGATTATGGGGAAGTCAAATGGAAGGGAGGTGGTAAATTGTAAATGATATTTAATAACAGACTAGCGGAAAATATAATTAGACATGGGGTATGGGGTGAATTTTCAAATAGCTTATAAGTGTAATTAATCACTGGCTCCACCACTTTTTCTCTGCTTTTTAGATCAAATATTGATCTCTGTTCAGCCTTAACTATTTCAAGCCAAAACCAAACAAAAAAAAAACCAGTAGTGCCTGTATTTTTTGCCCGATTTTCCCCAAAGCATCTTGATAGGTTATTTGACAGACTGACAGTATTTTAATTCATGTTCCAAAAAACCAAAATCCTACTTAGCCTTTTACCTCTCAGGCATTATTGTAACCACTTGCCTTTCTGAAGGGAATGACATTTGTGTGCTCTGGCAGAGAAACATGGAAAATTGCATCAGTGAGTGCCTAACAGCTACATTTACCTCAGAGCTTTACACCATGGCCTTCAGCCTCCTGTGCTCAAAAGGATATTTTGACACCTCCTCAGTTCGTGTTTTTTGTGACCTTTTATCACAAAAATAGAATGAAACTGAGCTCCAGACACTTTGTTTGGAGGCACAGTTTGTATTCAGAAGGGCTGGTGGCTTACAATGCACGATTCCATCTGGGGCTCATTAAGAATAATTTCCCCCTGTTTACACTTTGAGATTAGCTCAGAACTTTAAGGCTGTCACTCCATTTTCAGTTTTCATACACTTAAAAAGGAAGGATAAACACAGGGGTGACAGGAAATTTGGAACCAAGTTGTGGTAAAATCCTAGAGAAAGAGACAAGTTTGGCATGTAACAGTTGTGATGTCAGGAGTAATTCTGCCTGGAGAGAGCCAAGACTGCAATTTTCCACCCTTGCATGGAGTGGAGCCTGCAGAGTAGCAATGATCATTTATTCAGCTCTCCTTGTACTCAGCACTTCTGTCAGACACACGAAAAAATAACTTTTCTTCACCAATAACAGTCACCTCATCTCCCACTGCACACGGCTGGGGAGTTCCCCTCTCCAACAGATGATCCAGCTTCAAAATCTGCTTTTCACATTAGACCAGAGCATGGGCATTTTTTCCTCAGCACAATTTTTTGTGATGCTTTTGGACACGGTTATTACTTTTTAACAATGGTGCTACTTATTAGGAGACACCAAAAACTCCAGCAGCAAAGCCACCCATGGTAATGTCACACACTAAGTGTCAAATGGGAGTTCTGAAGGGTTTAGTGAAGTGCAGCTACTTCTTTCCATAAGGAAGTATTGCACTCTTTATCAAAAACTGCTTAAAAGATCAATTTTTTTTTAGATTCCTAAAAAAAGTAAGTAAAATATATGGTTCATCACATGACTCTTCTTCCAGCAGGGGATACTATTTGAATTTTACTTTCTAGGCTTGTGACCCCTTCCATTGTATTATCTCAGTCTCAGAACGCATCAGAGCTTGCTAAAATATTTTCAGTACTCCTGCTTTAATTATCATTTACCAGAGATTGCATCAATAAAACCTCTACCATTTTAGTTAATTAATATATAAAACAAACCTGTCAGGTCCTTAGAGACTATTTATGAAGGTACTATTTTGTTTGGACCTAAAAGGAATACACTTCCAACAACTGCAGATCTCGATCACAAAGAACTTAATTTAAATTAAAAAAAATTTGAAAAAAACCTGTTTCACCTAAAGCCTAAATGGCTGAGAGAGACATACATATCCACCTGAAATAAAAAAAGGATTACACCATAGCACATCTATTTGTATTTTATCCATCCACCCACTCTGTCACCATAAACATCAAATCACAATTTCTCCCATGGAAGGATTATCCTCAATTTTTTTCCTAAGCACTGAAATATGAAGAACAGGTGTTTGGATTTAATTTCAAATGAGAAATGCAGCTTTTTGGCAAGAAATAGTACAGCAAACAGAGAAAACATGGAGATTTGTTGGCCTGTTCCTGTGTTTACTTCCAGCAGTATGACAATCACAAGTCTCATTAATAAACACTAACGCAAAAATGGAGATGGAAGTGATCAGATTAACACAGATCCTGGCTCAGGTCACAACATACACACAGGGATGAGACCCTGCAGAGTATTCTCAGCTCTGCTGGTACACAGAGGAAAACTTTCTTTGCCTTAAAGGGATTCCTTTCAAATGAAAATGAACAAGTTAGAGCAATGCTAAATACTTTGTAACACTAAATGCTGAAGATTTAAGACTTGATTTTTCTGTCCTCTAAACCCACAGAAGACAAAGGTTTGACTTCACTGCTTTGTTCAGATCTGTTCTGTTCATAGGGTATTTTTCTGAAGGTCCTCTGCATCAGCCAGAGTCTGAGCTTGGACATGTTGGACACTTCACAATAGGGACAAACAATATGTTCAGCTTATCACTGGTAATTCTTCAAACTAGAAGGACATATCATGCATTGTGGCTGGAAAATCATCAGGATTAAGACTGTCAGTGTACTACAGCTGAATAAGCAGTGGCATAGTTCCTACACAATTACACAGAGAGAGCAAAACAGAAAAAAACCAACTCATAAAAACAAAAGGAGGAGGAAAAAAAGCCAAAATGAAAAGCAAAAAGCACAGAACAATAGTCTATTTAGCTTAACCTCTTGAACTTTATCATTAGGCTTGCTGTTCTATTGTTGCTGCTGCTTTAACTTGCTTGCTTTCTGGAGCTTACTAACAACGCTCAAGAAGTCAAACATGCTTCAGAGAGTGAAAACACAATGATAAGAAATAATAATAAAAAAGAAATAAAGAGCATGGGTCAGCAAGTGTAGCTTGTACTGGGAGCCAGGCACCATTCCCAGCTCTTCCACTCACCCACCATGTGGGCAAATCTTTTCACTGCTATAAACAGTTCAGTTCTCTGCCTGCTGTCTACTTATAATTAGAATTTTTTGGCAGCCCAAAGAATAATATTTGTATATACTCATACATACATACACATGTGTATATATATACACACACTGCATGGCACTGAAAGGCTTCATTTAAAAGCTATAAAAATAATCATCATCATCATCTGTTGTAGTTTAAATAATAAAATAGGAAATAGCCATAGCAGATTTTTTTAGAGTGCTAATAAATGAAAGCTTTAAAAAAATATATAATCAGAACCACCCATTTTAGCCCTAAAATTCACCAAAACCACTGAAAGCAAAATCTCTCGGAACCAAACCACACAAAATGGATCCAAATGTGTATAAATTAGATCTATTTGTCAACATATTTCAACTGCCACAATAAATACTGCTAACAGAAATCCATGGATTTTATTCCATAAACATACTGAGGAGCTTAAAGCAATCCAATTGAACTCATAAAGGAAATTCATAAAGACAAAGAACCTAACTGTCAGGGATGGAACACTTCTGAGACCACAGGTATTTAATTTGTAACCTCTGATCCTTGAGGAGAAGCTACCTAAAATCTTCCAAGGACAAGCACAAGAACTAAGATTGACAAGAGGACATGAGGCAGGTGGATAAATGAGTTCTACTGGTAATGATTTTATGGCCTTTCTGTTTTCCTCTGAGGGATATAAACCTTCCCCCTTAGGTGAATGTACTTTTATCTCTCTGCCATTCTGCACTTTTCTTCCCTCCCAACCTCTGTCAGCAGCCTACCTCACCTTGCAGGGACAGTTCATAACAGAACTATGGCCCTGTTTTTAGCATCTATTGCAGGGACCCAAGAGGAGCTTGTATATCTGAAACCTTGCATTTTTCCAGGTTTACTGACACAATAGATGTATTACAGTGTTGATCTCAGGTAGGTCCTTCCCTCACCAGGGTTATTCCCAAACAACTTTGGTTGATGGGAGGCTGTTTTTTTAAAAAACATTGTATGACCCAGGTGTTTTTAGAGCTCAGTTTTCACCTATACCCCTTCTCTATTGTTCCTTAATAAGAGAGGTAGAGAGCTTTCAGAAGCTGTTAAACAAAGGGATGGCTCCTGGACTACAGATCACCTGCACCACTCACCTTTCCACCCTCATCAAATCTTCCCACATGAAAAAACCATTCTCGAGAGCAGAACCAGGTTGGCATGATCACAGTAGGCCCATGGGAGGTGAACACCTAGGAAAGAGGGAAAAAAATCCATCAGTTAACAAAATGTCAAACCTAGCAGCTGCTGAGGAACAAAGCAGACCTTACACATTCACCTGAAATTATGCCTGTGGATAACCTCCAGCGATTTCAAGCACTGAGAAGAGCAAGAGCTGGAAATTTAGCAGGTGCTTAGTGTTGGAAGTGCAGTTTGTACCAGAACCTCTCAGGTACCACAGCCCAAAAGGTGAGTCTGGCTCCTGCTTCATATTCCATGACCTTCTCTTCTCTCCCAAGCTCCAACACATGCAGAGTACTCAAAACATTTTTCCAAATTTAGAGTGTTATACTGGAGTTGGCACTTTATTTGGCATGGAAGTGAAGTAACTGAGAAGAATCATGGGAAGTTCAAGTTCTTAAACTGAAAGATCGCTAAGCATTGATTTTTTTTTCCATTTTATATTCCTTACTTATATATTAAGTATGAACTTTCATTTACCTCAGAGCTTTACACCATCTTTTATTTCTGATCTTTTATTTCTGCCAAAGACACTTAAATCCTAATCAAGCTTGGACAAGTAAAATGCAATTTGTTTTAAACATTACCTGAGTACTGTGGATTTGCTACCCAGGGGTATCTACAATAAAAGGTTGTTGGAAAGGAAGAGCTTTAAGTAGAGAAAAGGGAGTAACTATTAAGTTCATCTCTTCATTTTTGACAGCCAAGAACTATACAAACGGGTCTTTGAAGCTTTAAACAAACTTCTTGTAAATACAACTGTGAAATAAGCCAGAAAGTGGATTACAGGAGGTAAACTGGTTCTTTCTTTTAGCACAAGATGAAGTATCCAGGCAAAGAGGAGAGTGAACTTGTCAAACACAATGTGCAAAACGAAGGCAGGAGCTTGTGCCTGCTTCCAGCAGCAACACAGAAACGACAGAGTTTCATTCCTGGGGCATGAAGGCAGAAGAAACCAACTGCACAACTCCTGTCAGTCAAATGACAATGCTGATCCTGTAAGCTGACAATTTCATAGCATGGTACAGTGGTAATATTAATATTCCTGTACATCTGAGTATACATTTGTCACACACATCTCAGCATCTACATTTTAAAGGTGTTCCTCTTGATGTCAGCCTGAGGGAGCTCCACAGCAAACTCTTACATCTGGCAACTTCCATTTCCACAGATAAACATGGATTTAAAACCAAATAAAGACATTTAAATCAACTATCTAGATTAATTAAATTAGAAATCTAATCAAAATTTGACAGATTACCTAATCCCACTTTTCTTATGGGCATCTGCCCAGACTTCATGGTGAAGCACACAGCATGCCAGTTCCAAGAGCACAATGACAGAACTTCACTAAAGGGATCCTAGGGTGACTCATTTTCATCCAGACACTTCAATTCTAGGCACTCATATTTAGTGAGAACAATCCTATCACCTAATGTGTCTTAACACATCAGCATGTTGCCCAGAGCTGAAATACTCTAGTTCAGAGGTGTTAAATGTAAAAATCTCCCCCCAAGAGTCAGTGGGAGCTGAAAGAGTCCAAACAACCCCAGAAAAGCAGAGCAGCCATGATTACTCAGTACATGGTTATTAGCTCCACATTAATTACAAGGGCAATTGAGTATGGCCTGAACCAAACAATGACCAAACAGTAATCCCAAAAGAAAACAGCAGCAGGGAGAAAATCCAGGCCAGAGGGCATTGCACTGAATCTCATTTCTGAAAGAAACAAAAACTTCAAAAGTAAATCTTGAGCCCATCACTTGTGAAATGTGTCTGAAGAGGCCAGGATGCCATTTCCTGGGAGCTGTCAGGTCCCTCAGAGAACAGAAAAGCACTTCACCTTAGAGATGGAGCTCCATGCAATTAACTGTGCTCACGTGCCAAGAGCATCCACCCAACCATCCGAGAGAACGCGTGTTCCACGGGCACTTCAGTGAAACCAGACAGAACAGATGGGAAAAATTAGAGACAAAACATCCAAAAGCCACTCATGTTAACACAGAGGATGAGATGATGATTTCACAGCAGACCATCACACACGTACAGCGATGTCTCTCCTAAATCCAGCAGTGTTCTGTGCCTCACTGTCCATCTCAGGAGAGATACCAGAGGAGAATCTCATGGGCAAAGCAGAGACTGATGATGCCACACATAATTTGAGGATCTTATCCTTCAAAAAAGTTTTTAAACCTGCACAGCACAGCAGCTGAAAGTCAGTGAACTGGGATATAAACTTTTTCTGCATAAATACAGTACAACATTTATTTGTGCTGCTGTCACAAAGGACAAATTCACACTACCTTGTCCCTTGCTATGTAAGAATTACTTTTGTGAGGCTGAAATTCTCTTTTTTGTTGCTGTTAGTGAAGTCTTCAGCCGAACCCCCAGATCCAACAAACCATAAATCAGCAGTGCTACCCCAAAGGAGGATGTAGGAAAACAAGGCACCAAGCAGAGAGAACAAAACTCTTCAACAGGAATAGAGATAATCCAGAAGTAATCTTTAACCTGATAAAACTGCTAGAAATCTACATTCACACCACATTTACATTAATTGAAGAGCTCTCCCACTCATCCTGCCTCTGGCTACACACCCCAGTCACAGCACCAGCACTGGCCTGACCCCAGGATGGATCAGAGCACTACAGCACTAAAAAGCCATTATTTTCCCTGGTTTTAGTGTTAGTTTTCTACAGCCTTACTTCTCTGAATCAGTTCACCGTGGGGTCAGAGCAGCAATACCACTGACACACTGGAGAGGGAAGGAAAAGCTCTGGTGAGGAAAACAAGCCCTCCCTTTTTGGTCACTGCCCATAGTTAATGAGTCCAGCTGTAACATAAAACTGCATCCTCTGAATACCCACTCTGATGGGAGGAGAACTGGCCAGGAAAAATACTAACTCCTAACAACTGTTCTGAAACACTGAGGCATCTGCCAAACTTCTGAAAATCACCTTCCAGAGCTTTTGAAATTTTATCTTCAAGAGAAGGAAAAAAAAAAAAAATAACCTCAACCTTCCACACTTTGGAAATTCTATATTTCACCTTGGTTTAGTCTGATGGGAAAGTTTCCTCTGTATTTCTTTTTTGTCTATTCTTGTCATAAACTCTTGCCAAGGTGTTAAAAAATGGTCAAATTGTCTTATTCTGTGATAAAAACTGCAACTTTTCACTTTGTGAGACTGACACTCTAGATTTTATCCATAAATCTTTTAGATTGCATGGACTGGAATGAGAGAAACAAAGAGGACAAGCCAGTCTTAACTTGAAAATCAATCAGAAGCAGAATTTGAACGATGGTGACATAACTATGTTTAGTTTTTCTGGAAATATTCTCCAACTGTACTTAACAAATGTCTTGTGTCACCTTGGAACACCAGTGGGTCTCCATACTCCCTGAGGAGTTAATTCAGTATTCTGAGAGCAGGTTGGATCTGTGAACCTTTCACACCCAGCTGGATTGAAAGATTAATGCTTATTAATAATAATTGTCATTAATTACAGTACACTGTATGCCGTAAAAAATATCAACATATATGAATATTTCATGTTAAAATCCAGAAGATGAAGATATAAATTCAGGTTTAGAAGTCCTGAAGAACAGCGTTGTCATAACTTAACTGGAATCCATTTCCAGATGATGGGCAGAAATTCCTATTTCAGCATCCTATTTACTAATTTATTTAGAACTTTTATAGTTATCTGGGTTTATTCCAAGGATCAAGTAGCAAGTAATTGGAACTGGTTTGTTCTCCTTCACTGTTTGGCTATCAAATTACATCCAACTACACAGATTCTCTGAAAATAAATCTAAAGAATACAAAGAGTTGATAAAGTGACTTTCATTGTTGTGTTTCAAAGCTGTCAACAGCACATGGAACTCTGGTTCCCACTGATGCTCACTGCAGATCATGCCAGCATTCAGTGCAAAATTTCAGCTCCAATACAGGGAAAGGCATTTGTGTGTTTACAGTAACTTCTCAAGGAAAGTTCTATTTCCTGAAGCAGCAAATCAAAGTCTAACAGCAGTGTTAGACAAAAGCAGACATGGAGATGGTGAAACAACCTTATCACATCAGATCTCATCGTGCCGTGCAGGACATGCAGGGGAAACCAGGCAGTTCACAACAGCAACAGATTTAATCACAGACTGCTTCCCAAAGCAACAACCTGATTTCCCCAAAACACACCACACATTTAATTCTATTTATGCTAAAGCATTTCTCAAAATTATATCCACACAAATCAAGGATTAGACCAAATCTCCTCTGTTAAGATAAATGAAGCTTTCTAATATCCAGGGACATACATTGACATGTTAGAAGGTGAAAAAGAAAACAAATCCCATGGAGAAGGTCACAGTGATTCTGTAAGCTGTAGGCAGAACACAGACTGAAGGGAACCATTCCTCACCCTGAGGCAATGATGTGTGCATTGTTTCCTGTGATGTACCAGGACCTTGTTACCAGGTTTACATCCAGAATCAGCTCTGTGTGTCTCAGTGTGAGAGAACAGCTACAGAGGGTAGGAAAGAGAAAAAAAGACTCTTCCTACTTCAAAAACAGGACTGGGCAAACAAGATTTTTTCAAAAGAAAGTAACTACAATGAGCTTTATTAAGCTTTTAGGAACCAGACAGTGTGGTATGGACTCCATGCAGTTAATTTATATTGTACTGAAGTGCTGTACCCTTTCCCAGGCCTGCACAAATAACTGCCTGTGTCACCTCATCACTGCAAGCTTCGAGAGCAGCTGAAAATCCTTCCCTAAAGAAGCTGGAATCCAGCACAGCAAAAAGTAGATTCTTGAAATAAACCATACCTTGCCTCTCTGTGCAGAAAAGCTGGTGTATACACAGTAATTCTGCTGCATACCTGACTGAAAATGAGTATTTCGTCTTCAAAATCCCAAACTCTAGCAAGCAACAAAGCTAATCAAAGAGAGTAAGAGAGTCCTCAGAACTGCTAATGCCAGTGAAAGCAAAGAGCATTCAGCACCTCTGAGAAGGT